TTCAATATCATCTTCAGAACCGGGCTCATGTTCATCATAATCAGCCCACGGGTGAATTCCAGAGAGTCCCTTGCCTTCATTTGCAGCGTCGAGGAGATCAGCGATTTCAGCAGGGAACGCGCGCTTGCTGCTTAGTGTTAGATAGAGAGCTTCAGCATCCGTGGTGCCATCGTTGTGACAAAGTCGAAGGTAAAGGTCCACGATCTGGTGCAAAGTAACCTGAGATGCGTGGAAAGAGTCCTGGAAAAGGGGTTAGTTCGTTGATCGACTGGGAAAAAAAAGGGAAGAGACATACCTCTGTCATTTGGATACCAAGCACGTCGATATCAATAACGAGGACCTCATTGTCCGCCACATTACCCTGGAGCACCAGGCGCAGAGCCTTAAACAATTCACCAATGTTTTCATAGGCCACATCTTCATCGTGAAGGAAGAATGTCTCTGCGGAGTCACCCTCCAGAGGGGGGAAAAGAGCAATTTCATTGTCCTGATAATAAATTTTCACAGGATGTAGAGATTCATCTCCATGCTCAGCGTGGTCCTCTCCTTCATGCGAAGACTGTGTCTCAGCATGCTCAGTTGTGGCGGTAGCAGCTTGGGGCTCTTCAAGAGAAGCCTGGACTTGAGTGGTCTCGAGGCCTTCAGTTGCCTCGAGGTTCTTATCGGTCGCTGAGACAGAAGGGGTTGCTGCCTCATTCACCTCTCGCCCAAGATCGGCGTTTTCGTGATCTTCGTTGTTTTCGGTCGTAGTGACATTTTCGGTCGGGTTCTGGGCAAGGCCGTCATCTTTGGTGGACACGGCTTCGGTGCTAGGGACCTGAGCCTCAGGTATCTGAGGCTCAACTTGATCGTGTTGAGATTCGGCAGGGGCACTCGGGGTTTCCTGTACTTCCAGTGTAGGTTGCTCGGCCATGGCTGAGACTCTCTCATTTACCTCGATGGGTTTGCTTTTGCTGGTATCTTCATTGGGGGTCGTGGTTTCTAACTGAATAGTGGGGACTGGAATATCAACGTCTTCGACTTGATCGTCTTCAATCATCTCAGCTTCGTATGTCTCTTCCCCAAAATTCACATCAATATCGTTGTCTTGGTCGACGTAGTCGGCATCGACCATCGACCCCTCGGAGGGCTCATCGGCCATGTCGGCATCGTGTATCGTCTCGTTGAACTCGGTAGGCTGGGATGCGTTGGTGTATTCCTCGGCACCCATCATATCACTGTCCATATTGGAGACTTTCTCATGGTCCTCCATGAAGTCGATGTCGATGTCAAAATCGTCGGCCTGCCCCTGGTAGGGCGAGGCCATTTCCATAGAGTCTTCCACGGCGGGGAATTCCATGGCGGGGAAGGGTACAGAAGGAACTGCTGTCATGGCAAAAAAAAAAAAACGCGTGAACTTGTTTGAGTGCCACAGGTACGTGATGGAAGGCTCAGTGGTGAGCTTCCATGAAAACGCACGAAGTGGATGTAAAGTTGAACGAGAAACACCTCTCGGTTCTCTGTAAAAGTAGAAAACCTAGGAAGAGAAAAGAGAACGATGAAGCGGGTGCGGGCAAGGCGTATCAAAAGCGTGGGAAAAAGGTGAAGTGAGGAAGAAAGTGGTTGCGGACTAAGCGAAAGTGGTGCACGGACCATCCGCCGAAGTGAACAGAGTAGCTCCCTACCGTTGCCATCACCGCATATGCTTGTTTAGTCCACTCTAACTGTTATTCTGTGGTCTCTGTGCCATTTCTTCCCCTGAATATTTTCACTGTCATTGACTGACGCCTCCTTCACCATGGTATGCCCCTGTGTGAGCCATTTCGCGGGGTGGATCAACTAATCAACACACAACAGGTCGTTCTGGCAGCGTCGATTTGTACTCGCGGAGGCAAAGCGGTCCTCTCGCGCCAATTCCGAGAGATCTCTCGGTCGCGAATCGAAGCCCTCCTCGCCTCTTTCCCCAAGCTTGCGGACTCCGGAACCCAGCATACCACTGTTGAGCAAGACAACGTGCGCTTCGTTTATCAGCCATTGGACGAGTTGTACATTGTCCTGATCACCAACCGCCAATCCAACATTCTACAAGACATCGACAGTCTCCACCTCTTCGCGCAAGTCACAACCAGCATCTGCAAGAGCCTGGACGAGCGGGAGATCCTCCGCAATGCCTTCGAACTCCTGAGTGCATTCGATGAGTTGGTGACATTGGGATACCGGGAGAACCTCTCTCTGTCTCAGATTAAGACCTTTTTGGAAATGGAGAGTCACGAGGAGAGAATCCAAGAGATTATTGAGCGGGTACGTTGCGGGATAGCACGCGGGTTTGGTCTGTGGCTAACAGGCATCGATAGAACAAAGAGTTGGAGGCCAGCGAGGAGCGCAAGAGGAAGGCGAAGCAGTTGGAGATGCAGCGCAAGGAGGCTGCTCGCACAGGTCGTGGTGCGGCCCCAAGAACCCCATCCTACCCCGTCTACACACCGCCGTCCCGTCCGTCGGTGCCCGACACCTACGATTCATATGAGGCCGAGAAGAAGAAAACATTCTCCAAGTACGTTCGCTGGACCCGTCACCTGTTCGTTGCCGGGGCATTGCTGACTGCGTGATACTAGGCCCATTCCCACCCGCGGCAAGGGTATGCAACTTGGCAAGAAGTCCAAGGCAACCGATATCTACGAGAAGGTGCGGGGTGATCTAGGACCCGAGCCTGAGGAAGAGAGCCCCTTGGTGACTCCTCAAATCGCGACCCCCGTGCAAGAAACTTCCTCAGCGCGCGTGTCCCTCAATGCGGACCGGGAACCCATCCATCTCACAATCGCCGAGACCATCTCAGCCACCCTGACTCGGGAGGGTGCCTTGAAATCATTCGAGGTCAAGGGTGACCTGCAGCTTCGCATCACCGACCCTTCATTCACCAAGCTCCGACTTGAATGTCAGGCTGTCCCCACACATGGCGCACAATTCCGCACTCATCCCAACGTCGACAAGGCCCTCTTCACCAGCTCCTCCGCCATCCAATTGAAGGATACTACCAAGCGATTCCCCGCCAACAACTCCATCGGTGTTCTGCGGTGGCGTGTGGCCAGCTCGGCTGACAATGCCGATATTCTTCCCATCACATTCACCGTCTGGGTAAACAAGGGCTCTGACTCAACCACGGTGACCGTGGAGTATGAGCTCACTGGCGAGGACAGTCTGCGGGATGTTGTCGTTACCATTCCTTACGGCTCAGCGGAGCCCGCAGTATCCAGCTTCGATGCAGTTTACGAGGTCTCCGGAGACAGTCTGGACTGGAACCTGGGTGCTGTCGATGAGTCGAACGCTTCCGGCAGCTTCGAATTCGAGGCGACCGACGCCGATGAGAACGAATTCTTCCCCATGAGCGTTCGCTTCACAAAGACCAAGCCCTTCGTGGATGTCGACGTCCACAGCGTTTCTCTCCTAGAGATGGAGGGTGAAAACGCCGGCTTCTCCAAGGATGTCCGTAGCGTTGCTGAGAACTTCCTCATTGAGTAAAAAAATGGGCTTGGATTACTATTGTATAGGTTCCTAATGATGTTCGGACTGTGGTGGTGTTCTATTTTGCTTCCAAGATCGTGTTAAGCCAATGCCTGATTTGATTATCTTCCCAGCCTCTTTCTTCTATAGTCTTGTGCAAAAGATTAGCCCTTTTTAAGACGAATTAGAGCTAATGGGGAAATTTAATTCGTTCTGAACTACATCTCTAATCATAATTTAGAATGTCCTTTGCTTTTAGGCTCGCTTCCGAGCGATATATATCGTAGCTTGTGCAACAGCCAACTTCGGTTTCAAATATGACTATCGCTATGTATAATGGCCATATCTGCCAAAAACAAACAATTATTCCCGTGCATACCTAGTCATGGATTAATAGATTAGGTTAACTCAAACTTTACGGCTAAGCCTACTACACCAGCCCTGGAGGCCTCACCATAGAGTCATCTCCACGTAACGCCGCGTCAGAGATATGAACGTCATATACCCAAACAAACGAGAGATTCTCGTACCAATTGCCGTAAAGCTTTGCGTACGTTTCCCCTGTTGACACACCTTCCCCTTCAGGTCCGGCCTGAAAGTTAACCAGGGACGAATCTCGAAATCGCGCCTCCGTTTACCGTCAAACACGTCAGATTGACTTCAATCGGCCTGGTCTGGCCACTACATTCGACTACTAGGAGAATTTATCAGATCTTGAATATTCGGACAGAGGGTAGCATGTCTTACATTGGCAGTTCTAGCTCTACAATATGACCTGTGTTTAGGGCTTGCAAGAGCTTCTGGCAGCACCATTGTCAGTCCATGATTGGAAGCCTTGACACTCAAATTATTTCTTATATCTGGTCCATTGGTCGTCTCATCGGAGTCCAGAGCCAGACGGTTCCAACAACCGAAAGCCAGCCTAGTCAAGCATGAATTCCCGGGGAAATTATTAAATGGTTAAGCCAATACCATAATTCCCCTGGTATGTGATAAGGTGCTAGCCTATAATTATGGTTGGTTGAAGGCAAATAGCGTGATCAAACAACTGCGAGAAGGATGTGTTGCTCATAAAAACGTTGAACTTTTTGCCTCATCTCCTAGCAAGGTACCTAGCTATGAGGTCAAATACCGAACAACTATTCCTAGTTCGGTGGTCGGTGGCCATGATGTACTCCTTGTCAAAACGACAAAGCATTACGAGCCGACTTGCGATTCCAAGCGGTGCTGGAAACCCGAACCTCTCTTGACACATACTTCCCCGGTATATGCTTCTTCTGGGTCGAACCTTGGGGTGGTTTTATAAGACCCATCGCCTCCTGATCTATTTCCATCTTTTGCCCAATGTCTCGGCAAGTGCTTGCGGATACCGTCGCTTCAATATATTCATAGTTCTATGGAACTTGGATATATTTCAAGATCAATCTACACATTCAGGCAAGTCTTCTGGGGTTATATATGACTCGAGCAACTCTTCCTAACAGCATTGAACAGCTTCAGTCCTCATAATCCGATGATTTACTATGAGTAGCTTACATTTTCCGCCATGGAGCGAGCAGCAAAACCTCTTTAATATATCATGCGCCGATGCTGAGACGTATAATCAGCTGTCCAATGTGGTAAGTGCTCACGCGAGCAGGAATAGCAGCGACTCTGATAAATGATCTATAGGATAATCCAGTGCCGCAACTCCAACGTCGCGATACTGATCTTGGTAGCAAGAAAATGGCAATTCCGCGACTTGCGGAAGGAGCTGAGTCGGCTTTCACCTCGCCTGGTAGGTTCCATCGTCGACATGTTCGTCGGGCTTGCGAGTCTTGCAGGCAGCGAAAGACGAAGTGTACTGGCGACAAGTCTGGCTGCCGCAACTGTCGAGAAGCTGGAATCATCTGCTGCTATACTGATGGCAAAAGAGAGAAGTCTAAACGGTAAGAACAGACTACATGTTTCGGTCTCATTGCATATATTGACATCCTAACCACTTGAAAGACAACTTGCAAGCTTATCAGCAAAGGTGCAGGCATATGAAGATGTGATCAGCAAGCTGAGCAATCGATTTGGAGTCTCTGATGAACAGCTGGTAAACATAGCCCTAGCAGCGGTATGAGACTCGATCCACGCCCACGAGCAAAAAAGGCTAAGACCAACCAGGAATTGGCCCCAGACGTGGCGCTTAACCCAGATGCATCCATCACAACAGGCGGAGACCAAAAATTCATACTTTGGCGCTCTGGTTCGGAGCCACCACCCTCTCGAGCTTCATCTGTTAGTCCTCTGGAATCCGGAGACCAGACGGAGGAAGACTTCAACCGGGACGAAACCGCGCGAGCAACAGGGTTTATCGGGAAAAGCTCCGAAATTACTTGGCTCCAGAGGCTCAGCAAAGAAGTTAACAACGAATGTGAAGCATGGCCGGCCACTCTTCTCAACACAGATGATGTTAACGGTCTACCTTCGCCAACTTTGACGCCTAGACCAGAAAATCCCAGTGATCCATGGGTGGTGTGTTCCAATTATTACGTTGATGATATGGATATTCCAACTGCAGATCATGGTGATGCTTGTGCAGTTCCATCTCGTGAGCCAGCAACCAAATTGCTCAATGTCTATCTGACCTCGGTGCATCCATCGTTTCCAATCATTGGGATCTCGACATTTGTCTCCCAGTTCCAGGTTTTCTTCAGTCAGCCAGCTCTCAAGCCAGGAAACAAGTGGCTCGCCATACTGAATATGATTTTTGCCATTGCGTCAAAGTATGGCCAATTGACCTACGCGGAATGGTTGGATGAAGAAGATGACCACCAAATGTATTTCTCAAGGGCGCGGGCTTTGAGTCTGGAAAATCAGATTCTCCATCATCCTGATCTGCAACAGCTGCAAGTTGAAGGACTCACTTCGTTCTACCTTACCGGGGCGGGTCATATCAATCGGTAAGTTGGTAGATCTGGCAGTTTGGATATATACTCACAGTGCTGGTCTCTTTAGGGCCTGGAAACTATCTGGAATTGCGATTCGAGGAGCATTGGCTCTGGGATTACATCTCCGCAATGTGGGCGCGAGCACTTCTGATACTTCCAAGGAGATTCGCTATCGGGTATGGTGGTCGCTCTATACCCTTGAACATCTCCTGACTGTCATGACTGGCCGTCCCTCGTGTGTCATTGATAGTTCTTGCACTACACCCATGCCGGTACCTTACGACGAAAGTGATTTCCAGAAAGGAGAGGTCGCCCGACTAATCAGCACAGACAGACGGAGTTTCTCAATGTACTACGACCAAATGCCAGCCAGCAATAGCGGCGAGGACCGAGAGTCATCAGCGGAATCCGAATCAAATGATGCGCCTGGAGAAAGCGATATAAAGATGAATAGAGCAGAGTATCTCAAGAGCCTGCCTCCATGCATTTCATTCTACTTCCTGCAGCTGTCCTCATTGACTAGCATCTCCAAGCGGATGACAGTCAAACTCTACAGCCCAGAAGCACTGCAATCACCATGGGCAAGCACAGAGTTCACCATCCAAAGCCTAATGCTCGAGATCGATTCATGGTTCATGAACCTCCCCCCAGCCTACGATTTCACTTCAACACAGACATCACAATGCCCCATCAACCAGCGTATGGGTTTAGCCTTCCTATTCTACAGCACCAAAATCGGCATCACCCGACCATGTCTGTGTCGCCTGAAGCAAGCGGAATCAGAGGACGACAAGACATACGAGTTCTGCAACAAAACTGCCGCAGAGTGTGTCGAGGCCGCGTGCCACATGCTCACACTGTTCCCCGATACACCAGATGCAGCCCTGCTATACCGCATGTCGCCGTGGTGGTGTACCCTCCACTACCTGATGCAGGCAGTTACAGTGCTCCTCCTGGAATTGGCATTTCACGCCCAACACGTCCCCGAAAAGGCAACCATGGTCTCCAAAGCCGCGAAAAAAGCTCTGGACTGGTTGTCCACTCTATCGAAGACGAGCCTTGCTTCTGAAAGAGCCTGGAGGCTTTGTGATGGATTCCTTCGCCGCCTAGCGCCACACATTGGAATCAATGTCAACGATTTCCCCAGCCATGAAGAGTGTTCAACAGACACTCTCTTCCCTGACACCGCAGACCCTATGGGCATGGCAGAAGACCCAACTGGTGATTTATCATTGGATTTGGATCCATGTGCCCATTTGCCTACGACTGCAGCTGTTGATGCCAATGCCACAGAGCTGGATCCTATCACCTGCTCGCCCATAGATCAACCAGATAGTTCGATTGGAGTGCAGCAGCCATACGGTCTCGAAGCGCCAGATTTCCTGGATCAATTCATCAAGCAAGAGATGGATATCTCGGATCGCAGTCCTTACGATGAGTACTTCCCCTATGACCCTGCTACAGGTCAGATTACGGGTTCATTTTTCCCTTCTGGGAATCTGGACCTTGACATGGGGTATTTCTGGGGTGACCCGGTCTGTTAAGGTCGGATAATAATAAGATCAAAAAAGAACAAGACAAAGAAGAGCGAAAAAAGCACAGCAAGATAGAAGGAGAACCAAATTGGAGCATCTTTGAGGTTATTTGGATTTGGGTTCTGTTCCTCCTGTCGCTTCATTGCATGCTCGAGAGAAAGTTAGAATGCATTGCGACTGATTTTATATAGACGCTGAAGTTATAGAGAAAAGTTATTATTGCTTCTCTGGATTTCACTTGCCTCTAGGTCTATGTTGAAGTACACTAACATGATCTTCAATTGATACTGACTTTGTCCAAGATGATATCTACCCCGAAAGCTTTCTTTCTTATTCGAACCTCGAGTTTGTCATACAAGATAGCGATGCCTCCAACAAGAGAGTTTATTTTAACCTCCACTGTACACAAAATTAACTCCCATATTCCTCACCGAAATGCAACCAGATCCCAAGACCCTAAAAGCTAAGCTTCTCTCAGAACCAGCTTAACGTGGCATATGGATATACCCAGTTGCCGACGAGACTAAACCCTTGGGCAGAACAGGCCCAGACCGGTCTCAACCCATCTGATATCTTCTCAGTGTCGTCATTCTGTCGCGTTCCCACGCACTCAAAAGGGAGAGAGATAAGCTTCTTGGACCATTGCTCATCGTGACGTTTACAGGGAGGATGCATCATGTTGGGGTTACAGGGATCTCCGTATTTAGCAATTGGACCTGCGTTTCTGTTTACTTTGTTTTGTTTACTAACGGTGAAAGTATACTTGGTATATATCGTATATATCTACTATATCAACATCCAAGGTTTGATCCAAGCATAGCTTATGAAGATTCAACCCGAACTCGCAGTCCAATCTCGCTTAGCTGCTGTGAACAATAACCGGCCGACCTCTTCTTGCGGTGTAGAGCGGTTCAGTTGGTTTTTCTGTGGTGTTGACGGGTAATGCACTGCAGTAACCCTCGCGAAGGAAATCTCGACTGTTTGCTTCTTGTTCACCAGATCGGCCCATGGTATCCACCTCGCTGGGTGTGAGATATCTGACACAAGAGGGTTTAAGGCTGGTAACATAATACCGAGCAGACCGCGATCATCCCAGACGAATTTCTCAATGCATTCCAACGGAGCCATAATTCGGCGCCGGACACCGCAGCCAGAATGTGCTTCGTCGATGGGGTAATCGGGGTATTGTTTGAGAGAGGCGATGATGGCGGTTATATCAGACGGTGGACCTGCAGGAGGCTTACTCGAGGAGTGGCCATTTATCTCTTGATCAACGACATGACCATCTTCGTTGGGGGTTGCGCTGAAGTCGGGGTCTATCAGGGTCGAGCCTAGGAAGATGGTTTTGGCGCGCAGTGAGAAGAATCGGGTCATTTGGCCCAATTGAAAAAGATCGCATTGACTGGCGTTATTTAATCCGCCTCGGCATTGGAATTGACGCAGGTGGACGGTTAGCGGCGCGGATGTTGTGAATGCTGCGCCTGGTGTTCTCGTGTTGGATGCCGCTTTTGCGCCGTCAGGATCTTCGAGACCTCCATAGACTCGTAGGAAATAGGCTTGGAGGTCGGTTATGGTGTTCAAAACGCATTGGCGTCTATAGTAGATTTCCTCTGTTGGTCACCGGATTTAGTATTCGAATAGTGTTTTGGAAGCATGGGACTGAAACATACCTTCTAGCCCGTTTGGTAGATAACGCCAGCGTAAAGTTCCTTCCTCCGGATGCTCTAGTCCATTGATCCAGAATCTGGATCCAATGACCAACAAAGCGTGGGTCATGATTTTAGTCACTCTTGAGTCATTGAGGAAGGCAGATATCAAAATGATCTGCCGAATCCGATCTTCCTTCATCTGTAACGAAGAAACGCTAAGCTTGGCAATGAGCGAAGGTTTCGTCTTGCCATATGAGTATCCAACTTGTCGCAGTATATCTTGAACAATACGTGGAGAATTGAATGAGTCGGCAAGATCAATCAACCTCGCAACAAGTGATGTAGACAGGGACTTCAACTCATGTTCAAACGATGCAGTGTCTTCCTCGTTTAGACAGTTCACGCATAATATCTGCAAGAAAAGCTCGATAGCGTCTTCCCCGCACATGCTGGTCAACATGCCCCCGGGGAGTCTCACCGTGGGTAACATATGCTGTGAGGCAGAGTTTGATCCTTGGGCTTCGTTCCATGCTTGCTTTTGAGCATTGAATTGTCTTCCTTCAGAGAATTTCATAGGATCCAGCAGGGTATGAAAATATGGACTATTGGAGCTGAGAAGCTCGCTTGCCACCTGCCATCTCCGGCTTGTTGACGTGGAGTCACCAGGAGCAATGTACTCGATGATCAGGTCTCCCTGAACAGAGATCACTTTGTTAAAAGCGTATATGCCCTCTGTATTTGGGCCATTGTGACTGCCCAGTTCGTTTTCACCGTGGCTCATGATTGTTGGATCCCAGTGTCAATTTTTGGGACTCTCTGAGGTTACGTTGTTGTGATGTATGATTTGTGGCAGCGAAAAGAAAGCATTGAGAGTTACAAATTCTGAGAAATGCTTTGTCCAGAATGCTGAATTGGTTCCTCTCATGATAGCATGTTGGACTCTCAGATGTTCATGTCGAAGATATGGCTAAGTTATGTGTGTGATTTGCAACGAGGTGAGGTATTGGACAACCGAACACAAATCAATTCATGCAGCCGAGTATATGCAGATGTGGAGGAAAATAAAATGTATAATGTGTTTAGTAAAGAAGGGTGTATTGGTAGAGTAGAAAGTGCCCTCTCTCTTGACATGCCCGATTTCCAAGGTGGTGACTAATCATGAACACGTGAATAATATTCCATATTAGGAATAAGTATGCCTGATTAAAAGGGTCACGGTCCAGAGTCATGTACTTATAGTGGGCCAACAGGCGATTACCAGCAGTGTTTAATATAGAAAATTCAAGTGAAATATGTGCTTCCAATTCATTTGCATATACAAGACTTTTTTTCTTTTTTCAAGTATTGGCGATGGACAAATATCCTAATAGCATCGATGCCAAAGAGTAAGACAACATTGGCATCTAGAATGCAAACGAAGTCCAAAAATCGTCAAAATGGTCGTTAACGTTCGTTGACAAAACATCAAAGAGCATGCAGAACAGCCGGCGCTAGGGTTCGAAATTATGCAATGATAACCGCTGGGAAATGCAGGAGATTGGGACCGACTTGTTCACTTCTCGATCCATTGGGTTCATGCTCTTGTCGACTCTGCTCCCGGAAAGCAACTGCTTGGCCGACAATGTGGTGGAGATATTGCGCCGAAGCTGGGATTTCACTATCTGACACAGTTCGTCCGTTGGGCTTGAAGTTGGGATCGTATTCAAAGCCGTTGCCGAGCGGCGGTGGGATGAGCGAAAATATAGCCATTGAGCCTTGCTTATCGACATAAGGCGAGTTGGAGAGTAAAGAACAGTCCATGCCTTCCTGGGCAACGCCGCAGCCGTCCATTAAGGCCAATTCAAATATATCATTGCCTCGGTGATTGATGAAAAAGGGCTCGCTGGTGGCGAAACCCAGAACGAAGTCGGAGTTGGCCAATGCGGCGATGATCGAACTCTGGCGGAACTCTGGTTTGAAACCGGTGTTAATGGAACTGGGTAAACAGAGCGATATACTCCGGGCCAGTGTGGGCGGGGCTGGAACGCCGTCATCTGGTTGGACGTCGGGATGAGGTGTTTTGTATTCTGTGACTGAGATGGTTGACAATTTGCGTAGCGCGCCACCCATATTATCGGGGCTAAACTCTTTCCAGCCAGTGCTTGTTGACTCAAATGAGTGAGACACTTCCATTTCGTCCTCGGACAAGTCATTATTCCTTTCAACGGAAATTTCCGTTTGGATGGTCTTTGCGGTTGTCGCAACCGCCTCGCGGGCCGCAGTCCGCAATGTCGGGATTAAGGCATCCTTTTCTTGTTGGTTGACAGCCACAGCGGGAGCCCAAGAAGTGGCCACGTTGGCCCAAGTTGCCGTTCTTATCGGACCACAGGCGTATGACTTTTTGATCAATTCAGAAAGAGCTTGGCGCGTTTCCAGCGGCGCATCGCCCCGACCCATAAAACCAACCAGTGAGTTCAGAATCTTGCTACCTTCCCAAAGCAGAAATCCGTGTTTTCGCGCGAGATACTGCAATTCATCAATGGTATCGCTACTCCAGTCGTCAATGACTTCGGCTGGCACTTGTAAGATGGCGATGTGGGGACCCAGTTCTGCGGCCAGCCGCAGAAGTGAGGCCGAGTCAGTGTGGCTATGGGAAACATAGGCGGCCACTGGTTGCCCATGGGGAAGATTCTTCTTGGTAGCGATTAATGTTTGCAAATAGGCCAGAATTGGATTCTCAGGGATCCAATCCCCAGCAGTCGACATGGTGTAGAGGTGGAGGGGGGAAGAGAGAAGAAAGGGAAAAAGGGAAAAAAGACAACAAGAGGGGGGGAAACTCCACAGATGTCTAACCCCTGCCTCAATTTGGAATCGAGAGATAAATCACTAAATCACTGATGGAAACTTCCCGGCCCCAATTCCCGCGCAGGATGCGCTAAAGCAGTGGAGTGTGCCGAGAGCATAGAAAGGTGCTGGATCAGGATCGGGATCCCTCTGTCCCACTCATGGGGCCTGATGGGTCTGTCAGCCTGATCGACCCGGTAAGAAGAGAAAGCCAAAGCCAAAGCCAGTTGAAGCGCAGTTCTAACTCAATATGGCGTATGGTGGTTACGAGGTTAGTCATCGAGGGAGTTCCGCTTAGGTCAGCAGACAGGCTATCAGCAGAATCTAGATCGATCAAATTATAATGGCCTGATTTATTGTGTAATCATTAACTTACTGTCTACTCAAAAGATCAATAAACACTGGTTGTGGCCTGATCTGCGTGGTGGAAATATCAGAGATTTCGGAGCGGGCGGATCCCCCGATCGTTTTTTCTCGTCACGCCACTCCCCTGAATAATTTATCTCCGGTTCTATCCCTCGTTTCCTTACTCGAACTACGCATACCTCTCTATTCCATTTTCCCTTATCATGCCTGGAAGGGTCTTGCCGACATTCACCTCCGCCGAGGTTGAATCCCATAACACCGCCAAGTCCTGCTTCGTTACCTTGGGGCGCAATGTTTACGATGTCACCGATTTCCTGGACGCCCACCCCGGTGGCGGTGATCTGATTCTGGAGTATGGAGGCAAGGATGCTACAGATATCCTCAAGGACGAAATCTCCCACGTACATACCGATGCTGCCTATGAAATATTGGACGACTACCACATTGGCTTCGTCTCCAATGGCTCGACGCCCGGAAAATCGTCCGCTACTGCCATTGAGACCGAAACAGGTTCAGCTCCCATCTACGCCAGCACCGGATTGTCCCGCGCGGAAGATCTCTCGATCGACACGGACTACACCCAGGATTTCAAGACCCACAAGTTCCTGGACCTGAACAAGCCGCTCCTCATGCAGCTATGGAACAGCAACTTCTCCAAGGAGTTCTATCTGGAGCAGATTCACCGGCCCCGTCACTACCGGGGCGGAGAGTCTGCTCCTCTGTTCGGCAACTTCCTTGAGCCTCTCAGCAAGACCTCGTGGTATGTTGTTCCGTCCATCTGGCTGCCTCCGGTTATCTACGGAACCATGGTCGGATTATCAGGACTTGGAAACATTTCTGTCACTGCCTCCTACTGGATTGGCGGTGTTTGCCTGTGGACTCTGATCGAGTATCTGATGCACCGATTCCTCTTCCACGTTGACCACTGGCTTCCCGACAACCGTGTCGGTCTGACCCTTCACTTCCTGCTCCACGGTATCCACCACTACCTCCCCATGGACAAGTACCGCCTTGTCATGCCCCCGACGCTATTCGTGATCCTGGCTTTCCCCTTCTGGAAGCTAGCCCACACAGTCTTCTTCTACAACTGGTTCGCAGCCGTGACAGTATTCTGCGGCGGAGTCTTCGGATATATCTGCTATGACTTGACCCATTATTTCCTACACCACCGCAAGTAAGTTTACACTCCACTTCTCCGCAGAGGTACAAGGCTAACGTGACTCCAGCCTCCCTCTGCACTATAAGGAACTCAAGAAGTACCATCTCCAGCACCACTTTGCCGACTTTGAGAATGGCTTTGGGGTGACAAGTCGGTTCTGGGATCGTGTCTTTGGCACTGAGCTGGAGACTCCCCCTCCCAAGGGAACAAAGGCTCAGTGAGCGTTTCTATACCAACCATATCTAATGGCTTCGGCCCTCGGGTCACGACTTCACGTCGAGTACGATAGTCTCTGTGATCCGACTCTCTACTATTCATTGGCACCTACGGAGTTTGCGGTTTTTTTTTTCGGCCCTGGAGGGTCTACTTATTGTACAGTGGAATTCCTCATCCGATTCCGGTCATTGTACAATGCTGGATGACGAGCCCTATATCTTCAAGCATTTTTATCAGTCTATATGCACATTAATCATAATGCAATCAATAATGTCCCCATTAGCCTCTTGTGAATGAGTATTCTGAAATTGTAAATCTTCCACATCCACTGAATCTCACGACGATTCACCAGAGCACAGCTGCTAAAACGGGTGGTAAAACCCTGGCAGAATCCGGGGCAACCGCCTGTCGCCACGTAAAACTCAGTATATCACGTGATTTATCACCTTCACCGCCCTTCTCTTCCCCCATCACTTTTCCCCGATAATTATATGATATCCACAATCTAACCCATAGCCATTTCAACCTGTGCCTTGCCGAGAGACCGATCTCCTGCTCAGGAAGGGTTTGACTGTCACTTTTGCTTCATCTGTCGCTGTCTGACCGCAGCCAAGTAACATCCCTCCCCCGAGTCGCAACGCCACTCATCATGTCGGGACTCAACGTCGAGGCTCTCCTGGAGGCCACTGATGCAGCCCCCACCGAGACCCCCACCAGGTCTGATGACCGTGATAACCGCTCCCCCCGTGCAGACCCCGAGGACCAGGGTACCCGTTCCCGCGAGAGACGCCGTCGTCCTGACCGCGATATCGATGGCGATGAAGACATGAAGAGCCCACGCAGCGAGCTTGGCAGTGCTAACGGAAGCCAGAGAAGCCGACGCCGCAGCCGCAGCCGCGAAAGTGATCGCCGCCGCCCTCGCCGCCGTGGTGATGATTACCGTTCTAGCGGAGATTTCTACCGAGGTGGAGGCCGTGCTCGCTCTCGTTCTCCTTTCGATGATCGCCACTATCGTCCTAACCGTCGGGAGCGCGATGACGAGCGACGCCCCCGCCAGGACCGCCGTGGCGGAACTCCCAGCCGCCGGGGCAACAGCAAGTCCCCTGTGCTCAACGAGGATGAACGCGACAAGCGCACTATCTTTGTACAGCAACTTGCTGCCCGTCTCCGATCCAAGGAGCTGGCTGAATTCTTCGAAAAGGTCGGCCCTGTGAAGGATGCCCAGATTGTTAAGGATCGTGTGAGCCTCCGATCCAAAGGGTACGTCTCTTTTCCAGTCCTTCCTATAACAAACATACTAATCTTCATACAGTGTCGGCTACGTCGAATTTAGGGATGAAGAATCGGTCCCCGCTGCCATTCAACTCACTGGCCAGAAGCTTTTAGGCATTCCCATTATCGCGCAATTGACCGAGGCGGAAAAGAACCGACAGGCCCGTAACCCCGAGGCTAGCTCCGGATCTCAACACACAGCTCCCTTTCACAGACTTTACGTGGGTAACGTTCATTTCAGCATTACTGAGAGTGACCTCCAGAACGTCTTCGAACCCTTTGGCGAGCTCGAGTTTGTTCAGCTACAGAAGGATGAGACTGGCCGCAGCAAAGGATATGCGTTTGTACAGTACGTCTTCTTTTCCATGTTTTCACCTTTCATTTATTGACTTTGTTTAGGTTCCACGACCCAACCCAAGCTCGTGAGGCATTGGAGAAGATGAACGGTTTCGACCTTGCTGGACGCGCCATTCGTGTCGGCCTTGGCAATGATAAGTTCACCCCCGAGTCGAACGCCACTCGTCAGCAGGGCTCTCAATCCAGCAGCCAACAGTTCCAGGGCTCTTCCTTCTCCGGTCAAGGTGGACGTGGTATCCAAGCTGGTGGCTCCAACAACTTTGACCGTGCCGGCGGCCGTGAATCCGAGAAGGGCGGCGGTGCCAGTGCCCTTGATGACACCGATGTTGCCGGTGTGAACTTCAACAATTACAGTAGGGACGCGTTGATGAGGAAACTCGCACGAACAGATGACCCCCAACCTTCGGCCGAAGACCAGCAGAAGGTCCTCCGACCCAAAACCGAGACCAAACCCCTTCCCGTTAATGTCAACATGGCTAGCCGCTGTGTGATGCTGCGCAATATGTTTGATCCTGCCGAGTAAGTACCCTCGATGCCCATTATAGAACAAGTGCTAACATCTCACAGGGAGACCGGCGAAACCTGGATTAAAGAATTGGAGGACGACGTTCGCTCGGAGTGCGAGCAGAAATATGGCCATGTTGTTCACATTTCGCTAGATCCCAACTCCCAAGGCGATATCTACCTCAAGTTCGATCGTGTCCAGGGCGGTGAGAACGCAATCAAGGGCCTCAACGGCCGTTTCTTTGGCGGCAAGCAGATTACCGCCCAGCCTGTCGTGGATGCCGTCTACAGCAGTCTTTTCTCTCGCACCAAGGCCATCTAATCGGCTATTCTCAACAGCCATTGCCGTGGGTCCCCAACTGGTTCTTTGATCTCTAACCTGGCACATTTTCTGAAAGCAGATTCCTTGACTTCTTGCCTGGGCCTCTCTGGATGATTCTGCTCCTGGTAGGTGCCGATTTTCTTAGCGTGATTTTTTTGTGGCCACTTCATGAGCCTGAGCCTTTTCTTCTTCGATATGATTGTTTAAGTAGCGTGGCCTACATATCGAATGCTCTACATTACCAAAATCAAATTATCGAAACATCTTCCATTTGTCGTAGTGATGTAACGTTGCAAAACGGAGCCCATGTGCTGGGTCTTTGACCTGCATGGCTCTATGTAGATGCATTGTCTCTGCTGATACGGTTACTGATTTGTCCCTTATATATTATATCGTCTAGTATTTGTGCAGTACACCTTGAAGTATAGAATGTAGTATAGAATGTAGTATAGACAGTTCTATAGCAGAAGGGATGTGCCGACCCAACTCTTCTTATCTGCCGAAGCTCGGGCCACGGCTCCCCCACGCCCGGTTCATCTCTCCTTTGACCTTCAACTTCACTCTCTACAATGGGCCAATGACTCTCCTTGCAGCGAGGCGAGTAACAGGCCGAGTCTGGACCTCGGCCGACCGTTATAGTATGTGCGGACGCCATATCCCTCTAACATATAGCTAATCGCAACAGGCTCCGCCCTTCTTCGAGCGCGATACTACAGTTCCGACCCTGCGTTACCCAATGGCCAGTCGACGGCGAAGAAGCAGCCACAGTTCCACGATTACTTCGTGACACATCTGCCCTCGTCCTCCCTCCACCCAGATCCTCGTGGTCCATCCTCTCCGTTCCATAAGCTACCTCGCTCCGCCTCCGTACCGCATACCGGAGATACGCCGCAGTCGCCAGCTTCTGCCTCGGCTTCATACCAAGCATTAATAGATCGCGAGACAACCGTTGTCCGTATTCCACTTCGCAGCGCGAAGCACCATTTCGGCGCCGTTACCGCCCGTGGCACCCGCCCTGCCAATGAAGACACATACCAAGCTGGTGTCATTGATATTCCGGCCTTTGCCAAGCGGCCTCCAACGTCGCTGACTATCCGACGGCGGAATAACGGAGATCCTTTGCCCAAGCCGCGCGAGTCGCGGGCTGCGGAGACAGCTAGCGGTGATCCGCAAGTCTTCTATTTCGGTGTCTTTGACGGCCATGGCGGAGTTGATTGCAGTGCGTTCTTGAGGGACTACTTGCACGAATATATCCAGGAAGCAGCGGTAGATATCGATCTCAAGTCCAGCCTCCAGCTTGGCGCGGAAATGCCACCTTCCAACAGCGAGCTACCTGTCATGCAAGAAGGCAACCGGAACAAACTCGGAGATCTGGAGAAGAGCCTTGTACAAAATTGGAGACGCATAGTGGGTGGTTACTTCAAGCGATTCAAGCCGCCTCATTTCTCCTATCATGGCCTCGAATCTGATGACCCCAGCATCTCAAACCACGTTTCCATCGAAGAAGTCATGGAATACGCCTTCCTCCGCGCAGACCTCGACTTCATCAAAGCGCAAGCTTCCAAACGAGCCGATGACCTTGTCCAAGCCGAGAGACCTCTAAACGATGATGAAATCTTCCACCGACCCAGCATGACCCGTTCCCCCAAAATCGGCGGACCCAATCGATTCAAGGGCGGCAGCACAGGGAGCGTCGCCATGATTTCAACACCCACCCCTACCCCATTCTGGCACCCCGTCGGACCCTCAAGTCTCCTAGTAGCCCACGTCGGCGACACCCGTATGCTCCTCTGCTCAACAACAACAGGCGAAGCAATCCCAGTAACATCAAACCACCACCCCTCCTCACCAATCGAAGCAAGCCGACTCCGCCGCTATGCAGCAACCTTCGTAACAGACTCCTTCGGTGAAGAGCGCATGAGCGGGCTAGCCAACACGCGCGCCTTCGGCGACATGCAATCCAAGCGCATCGGCGTCTCCGCCGAACCAGAACTTAAACGCATTGAAATGGGACCCGCAGAGTTCTCTTTCTTGGTTATGGTCTCCGATGGTATCAGTGGTACCCTTCTTGACCAGGAGATTGTGGATATCGTCAAGGAATCCAGGACGCCTGAGCAGGGCGCGCGCGACGTGGTCAATTTCTCCACTGAGGTTACTAAGGAGGGTGACAACGCTACTTGTCTTGTTATTCGTCTTGGCGGTTGGGAGAGAAGGCTCGAGGGTGGTGTTGGGAGTTTGGGGACTAAGGAGTCTCGTGAGTGGCGTCGTCAGGATGCTACTGATCCGCGCAGGTCACGGACGTGATGGCTCTTCTTTTGAGCTTTGTTCTGTATATACTTCTGTTATTTGGCCTGTTGGCTGTCGCATATAATTGGTGGTGTCTATAGGTTGAGAGTATTTTACATCAAATGGTTGTGAATAAAAGATGTTGCGGCCTGAGGCTGTGACTTTTTGCTATACACGGATCAGATACGCGTGTATTTGAGAGGTCTTATATGTTCTGTATAATAGGGACACTAGCTATGACATAGCTGCCCGGGCGTCTATTCGGACAGATATTTTGTCTGACTAAGAGGGCGTAAACAACCCGGGAAGTTAAAGTTAGAGATAAGAAAGATATTAGTATAAGGACGAGTAGACAACGCTCCTACACTGTACGCACAAAATATTCACTGTTTCAGTTAAGTGAAGATCCTACAGTGGGTTCCCGGGAAGCTTCCAAGGATCCGAGTAATCCGTCAGGGACTGTGGACATTCCAACTCTCCTGATCTTCAATCTTCCATCCCTTGTCTTTCTTTTTTTTTTCATCTTCTTTTTTATTGCCTGCCAACTCGCGATCGTCAGATCTTTGACCCTCCTTTCACCTCTATCTCCTATCCTTATCCCACCTGGGAACTCCTTATCATTATCTGTTCTGGACAGCCTTCACGGTATGCCTATATCCGAATTCCGTTTTGTTGCCTGGCCTTGGCTGCATCAAGCTGACAGCTGTGATATCTAGCTATAAAGAATCGCGATCGGCCCGTTTCGAGTCGACTCTGAACCCATTTCAGCTCCCCAAGTCCCACCACACATTTTCACAATGAGCGCACGAACACGACGACAAAAGGCCGCTCTCGCCGCAGAGGAGAGCGAAGACTCACCTAGCGGAAATGGCTCTGTGTCAACGCCATCTAAGCGCACACCTTCCAAGAAGAGATCTAAGTCTGCCGCGCGGGAGGAGCCCAAGGAGAACATCTTCCTCTTTGCCCCTAACATCATCGGTATGATGCCTTTCCGGACCGTGATCAGTTCTAGCGTCTGACTAGCTCCCAGGATACTCCCGAGTCGTCCTGACCTTCGCCTCCCTATACTACATGCCCCTCCACCCCCGGACATGCTCCTTCCTCTACACCGTGTCATGTCTGCTAGACGCGCTGGATGGCTACGCAGCGCGTTACTTCAACCAGTCCACCACCTTCGGTGCAGTCTTGGACATGGTGACTGACCGCTGCACAACCGCTTGTCTGCTGGTCTTCCTGAGCTCCGCCTGGCCGCGTTGGGCAATCGTCTTCCAGGGTTTGATCTGCCTCGACATGGCCAGTCACTACATGCACATGTACGCGACTCTCAGCATGGGCGGATCCGACCAGAGCCACAAGAAGGTCGATTCCAGCCGCAGCTGGATTCTTTACCAATACTACCACAGCAAGGTAAGCCACAACGATAAGCTGTACTTACCAGCCAAGCTAATCCGCTCCCTCACTTAGACCGTCCTGTTCATCTGCTGCGCTCTCAACGAGGCCTTCTTCATCGGCCTCTACCTTCTCTCCTTCTCCTCGCCCATTCTGTCTCCCTCGCTCCTGCAGCCCGTCCCAGACGCCCAGGCCTCCTCCGCTCAGCCCGGAAACCCCGCCCACCCCGAGCCCGCCAGTCTCTTCGCCAGCCCATGGAGCGCCGGTGCCCTCGAGATGGCCCGTGCCAACAAGCTCGAGAGCACCTGGCCCTGGATCATCACCGGCATCTCGCTCCCCGTCATGGCTTTTAAGCAGTTCGTCAATGTGGTGCAGATGGTCAATGCCGCCCGCTGGATGGCCGAGGGTGACCTCCAGGCCCGCCGGGCCAACCGCAAGAAATGAAGGCGACAAGTCTGAGGCATGAATGGCTACCAACACGGTAGCTAGCTAGTCCGCTGATTGTGCATCTAGCAGATGTCTCATATCTCTCACCTTATTCATCCCCTTCTCCTTCCTTCTTGTCATGCATGTCTTGGAGCTACGGTCTGTGTTTTCAGGGACGATCAAGCGGACAGCAGTTGGAGCTGTCCCTTCCTCCCTATGGCAATGGTTGGTCTGGTAGCTGGATCCTATTCATGAGTTGTCTTGACTACTGCTCGTTTTGGTGGCCCAGACATAGTCCGCTTTCTGGAATTTTGTACAGTACACACGTGGGTTGTGTTTTTACTACCCTTTCGCTTTTCTTTTTCTTCTGTTTCCCCTCTTTTTTACTCTTCACGTTTACCCATTTTCTCGGCTCGAGCTTTCTGCCTGGCTTGTGTTTTTCAATCTTGTTTCTTTTAGTCATTCTTAATGCCATTATACATCCTTTAATGCTTTTTCCTGTGTCAAAGACGCTAGCCGCGGTGGACTGAGTTTCATTTTTGGAACGAGGGATCTGACGACGGCCATTGTGTATTGAATATGCTTTTAAGCTTAGTCTTCCTTGTTCCATGGACTATTTGACTTTGTTGATTCAATTGCCTCCTGTTTAAGATGTAATCTGACTAGCTGTTACACGTGCATCGAAGAAGTTCACTGGAATGGCAACTAAACCAAGACCAGTGTTTCAAATGTCATGAGTCAGAGAGCTCACAGGGCTAGCAGAAGCTATGCATTGAAGATATAGATGAAGCTATAGACCGGGAATAAGCGACTCCGGGTTTATGTCATCGGCCGCCGATTTCGGAGATGGCGGGGTCGAATTCACCCGCCCGCCGTTTTTATAACTGCAGCTCCCCTGAACACCAACTGAGTCACTTTCATTTGTATTCTCTGCTTCAATATGTCTGCCTTCAACATCGTTGTCTTTGGTGGTGACCACTGCGGTCCTGAGGTACGTGGTTGAGAACCCCACCATCCGTGCATCTACTGACATTCAGTATAGGTTACTGCCGAAGCTATCAAGGTAAATTGACAATTGCGACAGGAGAGCACAGAATACAGATGCACATACTAATTGCATTGGCGTAGATCCTTCGTGTCATTGAAAAGAACCGTGATGTCACCTTCAACCTGCAGGACCACCTCCTCGGCGGTGTAAGTATACATATACCACAGTCCAAAGCTCAATATCTAACAATTGCAGGCCTCAATTGATGCCACCGGCTCCCCCCTGACCGACGAGGCCCTCACCGCTGCGAAGAACGCCGACGCCGTTCTCCTTGGTGCCATCGGCGGACCCGTACGTCAACTCACCAACCCAACGCAAAGCAAAAGCAACCACTAACACACACACAAAGAAATGGGGAACTGGCGCCGTCCGCCCGGAGCAAGGAATCCTCAAGCTCCGCAAAGAAATGGGTACATTCGGCAACCTGCGCCCCTGCAATTTCGCCGCCCCATCTCTAGTCGACAGCTCCCCCCTCAAGGCGGAAGTATGCCGGGGCGTAGACTTCAACATCATCCGCGAACTGACCGGCGGCATCTATTTCGGCGAGCGCAAGGAAGACGACGGCAGCGGCTTCGCAATGGACACAGAGCCCTACAGCCGCCACGAGATCGAGCGCATCACCCGTCTCGCCGCCAACCTGGCTCTGCAGCACAACCCCCCTCTGCCCGTCTGGTCCCTGGACAAGGCTAACGTCCTCGCTACTTCGCGTCTGTGGCGCAAGGTCGTTACGGAGATTATGGCTAAGGAGTTCCCTCAAGTCTCTATTGGTCACCATCTCATTGACTCCGCTGCTATGCTTATGGTTAAGGATCCGAGGAAGCTGAACGGTATTGTTGTTACTAGTAACCTCTTCGGTGATATTATTAGCGATGAGGCTAGTGTTATTCCTGGTTCGTTGGGTTTGCTGCCTAGTGCTAGTTTGAGTGGTGTTCCTGATGGCAAGGCTCGTGTTAACGGTATCTACGAGCCTATCCACGGTATGTTTTTGTCATTCTTCTTTCTGGTTTGTTGCGATTTGCTAATTGAATATGCAGGTTCTGCCCCTGATATCGCTGGCAAGGGTATTGTCAACCCCGTTGCTGCTATCCTCTCCGTCGCTATGATGATGCAGTACTCCTTCAACATGTTCGACGAGGCTCGCATCATCGAAAAGGCCGTCAGCAATGTTATCGAGGCTGGTGTTCGCACTGGCGACATCGGCGGCAAGGCCAAGACCACCGAGGTTGGTGACGCCGTCGCCGCCGAGCTGGAGAAGTTGCTCAAGTAAATATGGAGCAGCGGCTCCACTGTTTCTATATGAGATATGACTAGCATAAAAAAGGCCCAAAAATTGAATACCCGTTTAAGATGCAACCTATTGATTCGCCTGGACTTGCCTAACGATATGTCCACTGACACTGGGTATCTTGAACCTGAAAGACACGAATAAACTCCCATATGAACCACGTTTTCGGCATTTGGATACCCAGCAACGCCGTCCTTTATTTCTCTTTCCTTTTCAACTCATAAACCATTCATCGTATCACCGGCTCACCCATCCAATCCGGCTCATCAAGACCAGAAGGCGCAGTCAACCTCTCCGTATCAACACCATCGCTCACCCGCCCACGCAGATCATGAGAAGCACGAAGCGAAGGCCGCCTCAGCCTCACATCAGCAGAAGCAGAAGGCGCAGCAACAGCCCGGCGTCGACTATCATCAGCCGCAAAGACCTGGAAGCCCCGAACATGCGTATCCTTCCCGTTCTGATGATTCTCCATAATCCGCATCTGGATGACCATAGCCTTAAGCACATTACCCGAATAAGGATCTTCCTGGTCGTCCTGGCTATCACCCTCCTCGTCTTCATCTTCGTAAAACGGATCACACTCCTCATCATGCTCGTGGTCAGGGCCTGTATTGTCACAGTTCCGGTACGTAGTTCGGCGCCGTCGCCGCATACTCGTCGACCGACGTTTCCTTCTTCCCGCGTCATGCTGTACCCAGCCGCCGTTTCGTCCGCCGACGCCTTCTAATGGTACATCTACCCACCCGCATGGGCCGTCGCCTTCCCATGTTGCGAACTCGACTAGGTCGTTGCCGCCCATCCCGGCGGCGAAGATCATTTTCGTAGGTGTGTAGCTTTCGTCTAGTTCAAAGTCGAGGTATACCCGGATCCGGACAACAGCGACTAATTTGAAAAAATGTAGCGTTAACGTATGTGGCTGCGGGCCGTCGGATTGCCAGTATTGGGATGGGGAGGCGTTGCGGAGGGCTGCAACGCCGCAGCCCGGTTTGGAGGTCGACACGGTCCAGGAAGCTAGAGATGAGATCTCACGCAGGTTCGGGGGTAAAGGGGAAGGAGACTTTTCTGTAGAGAGGCGGGTTAGCACCGGGGAAGCGTGGGACCAGTCGCCAGCTGTAGGATAAGGAGGGTAGTCGTACCTCGATCGTGCATCTCCTCGTCGGGGTCTTCTTCCTCGTCGAAGTGGTCCTGGATAACCTCCTCCTCTTCCAGTTCCTCGCCGTCAATATCGGAGTCATCGTATTGCCCTTCAGTGCCGTCTTCGACATCGAAAGAATCGTCGTGGTCGAGTGGTTCGTCTTCGCCTGTCTGCGTCATCCCCCGCGGGTCATAGTCCTCGTCGAATTGGTCGTCATCCATTGTCTCTGATGGGGGTTGTGCCGCGCCTGGTCGGCCGAAGATTGTAAAGGGGTTTATTTGGACGGGGTGTCCCGCCTGGGCGAGTGCATCGGGTGTGATCACATTTGGACCTGTTGATGGTGGGAGTCGATGGGTTGGGTTTGAGGGTGTGTGTCGCGCTGGCGGGGTGTGGAATTGGGCGCGGAGATTCCCCTGTGCTGGGTCCTGGTTGGGGAGGTCGCGCGGGTTGGGTTGTCGACGCAGGTGAGGCATTGTTGTGGTTGTTCGGGGAGTTGATGTTTACGCGCAGAAGCTGCATTTCCTGTTGCGGTTAGCGTCTTAGCTATATGGATGGCATGTTCAGTTGTTTCTTTTCTTTGCATTGGATAAATTGATAAATTGTTTTTTGTGCTATACTACTATATAATCCAGCACTCGGCTTCTTGGTGAAATAACAGCTTGACTAGACCGGAGAGTGCAAGTTTACAGAACGAGGCTAAACTCTAGATCTATACCGACAGTGGCGATGGCCACACCCTACTCCAACTTTGGAGTGTAGTTCCCTAGATATATAATCATACTCGTTATATTGATGAACAGCTCTTCACCCTCGTTTTAATCTTTGTTCTAGAATTATGCCGGAGCAAGTTACACAGTAAATAGATCCGGATCTGAAATGTACACAATAAATTGTGTACACGAGGTATTCTTTTTATAGATTAATCCCTGGTCAAATATTTCCGAATTCCCCATTGAATGCCAGAACAATGGAGCAAGGAGAAGCAAATACCAATAGCCATCAAGGTTAGAATGCTTTGTGAATGTTATCCGCTCTATCGCTGGATCGCTAGAACAAGTACGAAGCACAGGCGACAAGGAGTTATAAAAACCCTAACCAAGTTCAAAGACTTTGTATAATATGGTATTAAATATGGCTCGCGTATTCACAGGTTTCCTGGTCCATTCCAACGCCGCTCAATCATTCCATCAAGGTGTGCGGTTCGTAGTAAAATGATGCGCTTAGCAGCAGCACTCGCAGCATTCGAAGCAGGCGAGACCAGCGCAGCTATAATATCATAATTAGCATCTAGGTTTGCGCACCTGGCCAAGATGTGATACTTACATTCCACAGCAGATATCACCACCCTCACCTCCGCCGCGCAGCTCCATCTTCATGGACTCAGGGTTCTAGAATGAGATTGTCTGATTAGTTCATGCTTTTGATGGTTGTCTTAAGCGAGTGTGAGGCCTTACCGGCTGCTGAGAGACGACCTGGTTGGCAGTCATCTCCTCGGTGTTGGAGGGCTGGCGCATGGTCATGGTTGCCGCGTCCCAGGTACCCTCCTGGGTGGGCTTAGACTCGTTCGAAGACTTGAACCAGCCGAACATTGTGAAGGAGTATTGGAAAGATGTTTAGAAAATAGGGGAAGTTGAAAGTTGTAGAAAACAGTATAGTTTAGAAAGAGGGGGACGGCACAGATAAGGGTCAGCAAAACGGATCAGCCTCAATTAATTTCCTTCTCATTTTCTAATTTAAAAGTCCCTGCCAGTCGTACACTCTACTCGGGGACACCGGACGTGTCTCAGAAACTGATAGGCCACTGGAACTACCTCAGGCAGCCGTATTCTGTGGTGGGGCGGCACGAAAGTGAGGCAAACCTCGCTCCTGTGGCTTCAGCCCTTCTTGATACGGTTCAAGACTCTGGGATTAGGGATCTAGGGACTTTCCGCCACGAAACATGACATCGGTGGCTTAGGTAGATTACTCTCAGGTGTTCAGATGCCGACTGTTAGGGGTAATATCTGCAGTTCCACATCGGAAGTATTAGGAAGTGGACCGCCAAGCTTTGATCAAGCTTTGAACAAACTTGGCACATCGTTTCCCTCTCAGCCCTATTGCCTTTCGACGTCATTGTCTTTTTATATGCTATTCTGGGAATTACCGTGGGTACTTGGAAGTCCTTCATGCAATCATAGGCCATAAGTCCTTTCACACCCCTAACTTTATACAATCTAGATGATGAACCCGAGGCACTCGAAAATGGACAAGAAAGAAGTGAAAAAAAAGAGGCTAAAGTAGGGCAAGAACAATAAATAAAACGTTTTCCTCGATTGAAGACTTCGTGTAAAGACTGTCCAATACTTCATGACACTGCATCCAGTTATGGCCCCTGCCCTGTTGTGTCGAATCCCAAGGCAAATTATTCTCTAACCTGTCTGATACCCGAAACCTGCGAGACACCAAAAGACAAAACGTCACTACAACCAATACTTATAATGAAACGAACTTTTGATTCTTGCGTACATAAACCATTTCATGCAGAGGCTCCCCTCGAAATGCCTGCCGGGTTGTGGCCCTTGAGAGTGGCTCGCATTGTGCAGAGCTCGGATCTCTAGTTTTAGACTTTGACCAACAACTTGATTTTGAGTGGACTTGTTCTTTTACTGCACTACTTACGCCTTCCCCATTATCTACATCTAACACCCCACACTTCACATCATTCGCAGCCCTTGCCTCGCGCGGTCTCTTAAGGCTGCCGATACATCCAAGTAGGCGCCAATATTCACTTTTTCAAGACACAGCCGGCTGGTCACATCCCAAAGATGCGGGCGTGATAGCACTCCTATGTCAAGTTTGAGCTTCACTTTGTGTCGCAGACTCCAATAGCCATGGCCAGTGGACTTGGACCTATGAGGCGAATCTCCCTGATTGGTCAGAAGTTCGGAAGGCGGGCCGCCCAAACCACAAGTCCGTCGGCACGGAAACGGATCTGCCGAAGGACGAACCCACCTTATTATTGCCCGTCGATGAGCAGTCCTATCTCCTCGTCACAGGGGGTGCGCAGGCGGAAGCAAACTGACATATCTCTGAATTGTGCTGTGCTGCTGTCCTCGCTCAGATCGCCATATCAAGGACAAAGCTTTGGTTCGCTTTGAACGCTCCCTGATTAGTGGTGCAATTTTACAGCTTTCTACCCCGGGCCAACATCTTAGTTCTGTAATTAAGTCTGGACGCAGTTGGGTCAAAGACTCCGATGTTTATCACAATGCTCAAGACTGTACGCATCCAGGCTCTATGGCGACAGAGCTTGGGTCGACATGCGCCGAAACAGAAGCAGCTTAGAGTGCTGTCAAGACCCTACTCGACCAAATCAGCCAAGCCAACAGGCTCAGTTATCCCCCTCCTAGGTCTCACAGCTGTTATTTCGATGGTAGCTGGATATGGCTTTGCGACACAGTTCTCTCCGTCGCCTCTGTCGGGTAGTTTAACGTTGGTCCAGTATCCCGGGAAGGCGACCATGATATCAGCAAGTCTAACATACAATCGAACGTCATCTTATAGCATTTGCTGACTGTGGATTACATCAGGCAGCGCATGAGATCTCAAGCATTCTAGGAGAGGATTCAGTAAGCTACGATGACGACGACATTGAGACACACGGCTTTTCAGACTGGGCTTCCACAAACTCGACGGGACGCGCGGTAGCCATCGTATATCCTAGGTCTACTGAAGACGTGTCCAAGATTGCAGCTATTTGTAGCAAGTACGGTGTCCCAATGGGTAAGCATTCCAATGAGGCGCTGCGTTGGCGAGGAGACATAGTCTGACTGATTGAAGTGGCTTTCGGAGCTGGATCGTCCATCGAGGGCAGCTTCTCATCACCGCACAGTGGCATAGTCATAGACTTCACGTACATGGACAAGGTCGTTGCCACCCATCCCGATGACATGGATGTGGTCGTGCAGCCTGGAGTCAACTGGGTTGACTTGAACAAAAGCCTAGAAGCCGAGGGCTTGTTTCTCCCGCTCGATCCCTCCCCGACTGCAACCATTGGCGGCATGGTTTCTACTAACTGCAGTGGTACAAATGCCTTCCGCTATGGTACCATGAAAGACTGGGTCCTTAACGTGACTGTCGTCCTTGCTGACGGCAAAGTCATCAAGACGAGGAGACGGCCTCGTAAGACTTCCGCCGGGTACAACTTGACCTCACTTTTTGTCGGAGCAGAGGGCACACTCGGTATCGTCACTGAGATCACACTGAAGTTGGCCGTGGTGCCAAAGGAGACTAGTGTCGCCGTCATCTCTTTCCCTACTGTTAAGGATGCAGCGTCTGCTGCGACCAAGGTCATCCGCTCCGGTCTGCAATTGGCCGCATTGGAGCTTATGGATGATGTTCAAATGCAAGTTGTCAACCGGCATGGGGGCGAGTCAGTACGGATGAAGAATCTGGACGAGTCTCCGACACTCTTCCTTAAGTTCTCGGGCCCTACGCAGGAGGGTGTCCAAGCAGATATATCTCAGCTCCAGAACCTAATCAAATCTTGCAACCCGGGAAAGTCCTACTTCGCGAGAAGCAAACAGGAAGAGACAGATCTCTGGGCAGCAAGGAAGGAAGCGCTTTGGACAATGACGTCTATCAAGCCAGAAGGGCATGCGCTGTGGTCCACTGATGTGGCTGTTCCCATTTCTCGCCTAGCAGAGATCATCGAGCTATCTAAGAAAGACGCAGAGAGCTTGGGCGTCTTTGCCAGTATTATCGGGCATGTTGGCGACGGAAACTTTCACGAGGCGATGATGTACGATCCCAAGAATACAGCCCAGAAGGCTGCGGTGCAGGATGCGGCGTACAAGATGGTAGGACGAGCTTTGGAGATGGACGGCACGGTTTCCGGCGAGCATGCCATTGGGATGGGGAAAATGGTGAGCTCACCCTCTTCTTGTACCGAAACGGGGACTAACGCACTCAGAATTCCCTCGTTGATGAGTTGGGAGGCGACACGATCGAGGTAATGAAGCGTCTGAAACAGGCTTTGGATCCGAAGTAAGCCTCAGTTCGTTTTTTTAAAGGATCCCAGACTAACTTCTCATAGGTGGATTTTGAATCCAGGGAAGGTCTTTGCTCTCCCGGCCGGCTCGACGGCCGTTGCAGCCAAACGATTAGAGTAGTCGACTTTGTTATCCCACGAAAAGAGTCGCGTAGTCACCAAAGCCAAGCAGCGCCCCAGCAAAATCGCTAAATTCTAGAAGGTTGGAATCCACCAACTTACTGCGGGCACCTGGCGAATATAGAGGAGCAGTCAATTCTCTACTTACCTAGTGTAACACCGGCAGAGAAGTCCCATCTATTAGCATCAATTATTCCAATAATTATTGATCTGGAAACCAATAACCATAGGACACAAACTTTGGGAATCATGTTGCAGATTGTAAGTCAAACTTGACATCCCAGCGGTAAACAAATTTAGCACGTCGATTCCTCTCAGCCCTATTGCTTTTCGACGTCATTGTCTTCATATGCAGCTATAGGCTATACGTCCTTCCACAACCACACATTTATAGAATCTACATGATAAACCAGAGGCTCTCAAAAATGGTATAGAAGAGGCAAAAAAGAGTCTAAAGTAGGACGGAAACAATGCATAAGACGGTTACTCGCTTATGAGCCCTGTTGTTACTACAGTGGGTACAAAGAACATCTTCATATGGAATACTAGTAGCAACTTATCTCTAACCCGTCTACCTGAAACCCACATACAAAAAGGCAAACTGTCATTACATACAACCAATAGTTATAACTAAACGTGTCGAGTCACTTCCGACTTGTGATTGCATCAATAATGCCACGCAGAGACACCGGTGCATCATCCTTCGGCATATGCAACTCCACAAGTCGCAATGGGGCCGGATTCTTCTCATCAAAGTTCTCGGCAGGTCCAAACTGAGGATCGACAAGAAGCATATCCAACTCAGCCCTGGTTCGAACATCATAGGTACGTACGGTATCAGGTGCGGCTTGGAAGACAGTAGGGAGTAGCTTGTAGTCCCAGGGTTGGATATCGTTATACTCCTGATCCTCGCCGTGCACCATACGTTCAACTGTGTACCCTTCATTATTGACGACAAACATGATAATCGGGAGGTTCCGGCGGACCATAGTGCTGACCTCTTGTGCAGTCATTTGGAGGCTGCCATCTCCTGTGAGAAGAATAGTGCGTCGGCGAAAGGCGTTGGACTTTTGCTCATCTTCGCGTGCGGCTATGGCAGCTCCTACGGCTGCGCCGACTGCGTATCCGATTGAGCACCAAAGGTATTGCGATAGCAAGAGTGCTCCCCGTGGGTATCGGGTCCATGTGGTGCCGAAGAGCGAAGTTCCAACGTCCGCTGCTATAATATCGTCTTCCTCTAGCCAGGTGCTGATCCGCTGCCAGACCCATTCCTGTGTTAGGGGAGATGACTTGTCGAGAATACCGCCGTGGATGTCGAGTGCATGACCCCAATAAATGCCTCCCTTGGACGGCGAGGAAGCGGAAGAGTCTGAATTATCTCTCTCAGAAGTGACGCTGACTTTACGTGCTGGCGTAGATGCCGAGGAGTTGAACGGTGACATGCGACCTTCAAGGGCATCACTGAGCTTGGTGAGAACGCCACTCATTTCGAGACTAGCAACCTCTTGACCTCGCATCTCGACTGTATCACGTCCGAATTTGATGGTCTCGATATGAGGCATGTCTGTCCTAAAACCCGCTGTATTGAGATCTGTCGGACGTGGTCCAATCACTAAAATCAGGTCACTAAGCTGGACTTGCTCGAACACACCAGGTTCCGAGATCCGCTCTGCGTATACGCCGCGGTAGTTTATTAGGCTTTCATCCGCGATGCCCTTAGCCATCGGCATGATAAAGCAAGGCAGACCCGACTTCGCAACCAATGATCTGGTCGACTTCAGGACTTGTGGTTTGCCGCCCAAACTATCAACAATGATAATCGGGTTCTGGGCTCGCAAGATCCGATCGAGAACCATATGCACGACATGCTCTTCCACTGCCATGGGGTTGGATGCGGGTTCTTCGAGGACCAGTGGACGCTCAAGCGGAGATGGATCTACTTCCGCCTGAACGAGATCCATGGGGAACCCAATATAGACAGGCTTGCTGGAGCGGTAGCACTCGGTGATAGTCTCGTCGATGCGTTTCGACGCAGTTGACTTGTCTTTCAGGATCACCACGGCACTTGAGATCTGTTCGCTCATTTTGGCGAATCGCCCAAAATCTCTATCCGCCAGTGTATGATGCAGTAAGTCTCCCTTATCCATGGCTGTTGTCGACGGGTATCCAACGATGTGGATGACAGGTACAAGCTCAGCGCTTGAGCCTGCTATAGCATTGATGGCGGAAAGCTCCCCTACACCTAGGGTAGTTGCGATCACCGATATTCCTCTTATGCGTGCGTAGCCATCGGCTGCATATCCTATTGTCATATTTTTGTGAGCTTGGAATCTAAATTGAATGGACATCTATTTACTTACCAGCGTTGAGTTCATTGACGTTCCCAACCCAGTTAAGCCCACATGTATCAACGTAGTCGATGCATGTCAAATTGAAATCACCGGGGACACCGAAGACCGACTCAATACCAAGTTGGTGAATGCGACGAAAGAGATACTACATGTTGAGAATATCATTGTCAGTGAGAGGCAGTAGTAAATAAGGTTGACAGATGTATACCTCAGCAAGATGCATGATGAATCCGGTCAAAGACAAGTAAAAACGTCCTTGAAAGTGTGATAAATATAAGTGCAGTCCAGTGTTAAAGTGCTTCGTAATTCCTCATCTTTGGCAATCCTACCAGGGCTTTTATATTGTTCTCATCACCCACATTTTGTCACTTCGATTCTTATTGCACCGTTGTGATGGATATATTCTTTCCCTCTCGCAGCCAATCTCATCCTTGTATTTAAGTGAATGGTGTCTATCTGCATCATCAGAATTACGTTTTACCCAATCATATCTAACGTGTCGTTCTAAAATTACGCGAAGGGGAGCTATGCGCAAGATCGGCGAAGTTGTATCACCCTCCCACACCCCTTCAAAAGCCACTTAGAGGCTGACGACGCCACAGCTTCGATACTGACATTTCTTTGTCGGCTGCCTGTCTCTTATTATCAGTTCAATCCGAATCGGGGTCCATATCTGCGTAAATCACTACTATCTTGCCACACAGGACTCTAATGACTTTCACGTTTACTACCTACCTAGGCAAGCTGGTGCGGTGTGACAGATGCGTGAATTAGATACTTTGATATGCTGGATGTCTTAGCCAAAGCTGCTTACGTTGTCGTATCTCAGCTATCCGATGTGTCAAGTAGGGTGTTCCCCGTCGATAGCAGCGAATACGATGACAATCAACCGTAGCTTCATGTCACGCGTTTCAACTTCTCCAGGAGGAAGTACCAGCATATGATTGCTCCAGTAATGATTAAGTACGCAAGCTTTTCCTTATTTGCACCCGCCGGAGATTCTGAGCATCATACACCTATTATGGCCGATTGCCACATCTATGGGATAGCAGACATAGTGCCGAACAAAAGGCGCGGTGAGGTGACCTTTCAGGGGCTTTTCTAGCTGCTTTTTCGGGGGTATTGTCTTCTGCGTAATGCCTAGGGAAGAGTTTGCTTGTCATCTTGCCTGGTATATGATAGGCAGCAACCCGGTCGTCAGGTAGTGCCGGCTAAGACATGATCTCACAAAAAAAAATAGTATCACAATCGGAGCGATCATCTTATCCTCATGGGGAAACCAATGCAGTATAGCACATCCCCAAGAGCTCACAAGCGGCTGCGAATATTTAGCTGCTCTGGGTTAGATACACCAGGGTCTGCAACGTCATGTCCATCCCAAAACCGCTGCACAGCCAACCAGTACCGTGTAGAATCTTCCATTATCAAACCACAATGCGTCCCATGCTCAAAGAGAACCTGATCGGCATGATAACCCCGGTCCCGGGCCTGATCGATATGGGTTTGCACATCGGTCCATCCAACCATTGTATCCTTCTTCGTGTACATGTACAGCCTCCTTGTCTGTCTCCCAAAAGTAGATGGATCATTGAGTAAATCACGCAAGTCCCGCAGAGAGCGCATTACACCCGAGTTCTGGAGTATCCTTACCACAGCGACCGAGGGATAGAGCATTGTCTTCGTGAAGAGTTGGGATATGATATCCTCACCCATCGACAGTTTTACGGCTCCACATGTCTTCTCGAAGCTGTCCTCACCGGGACAACAGTCGAAGATAACGCCACGAAGACTTGAGAGGAATAATGCACCTTGGTCGACACCCTCTTTCATTGCCAGTGCCAGTTGGGCACCCATACTAACGCCGCCATTGGAGAAGAAATGAAGCAAAGTGCCGGGATTAGTCGACTTTGCTAGTATCCGCTGGATCACTTGGCAAGTTGGTTGCAGACGCGCGCGGATCAGGCGGAGAGGCCAGAATGCCGTGTCGTGAATAGTAGTTGTAATGACAAGTATGCTGGCTCCTGGGTACAGCTGGCGATATTGAGTGATGTATTTGTTGATCCGCCGCGGGGTTGCTCCGCCATTCCAGGTGCAGAGGATGATTATTGACGGTGACGCTCCGTCAACTGTGACCTGGCCAGCTATACTTTCTTGAGGTTCATATAGATAAATATTCTCGCTCACAAGCTGCAGAGAGTCGAAGTTTGAGTTGCTTGAGTCCATGGTGGGCAATGTGTCTGACATGCGGGGGTGTTGTGAGTGTTGATCTGGCTAAAGAGCGTTGGGGCCGTGTCAGCCCGTGGGGGCGTTTATGAGATATTTTGTTAACAAGTTTCGCTTACTTCTCTTGGCTAACTACCTGGTTACCTAGTGACTACTTATGTACCTTTGTACCTCGGAGGCGACTCGCGCTTCGTCGGCTGTTCACTCCTGTTCTTCCACGGTGGCATAGTCCACATCCGCCTCCTTAGTCTTGTCCAAGTCCATTTCTTCCGCAGAGAGAATACCAAGTCTGTTCCGAATTTCCGTAATACGACGCATATCTGCCTGGCCCTGGTTTCCGCCGAATATCTTGTCCATTTCCTCGATCGGTACCCCTTTGGTTTCGGGGACAAAGAACATGACCCACACGAAGAGGATTACGCAAAATGCCAGGAAGAAATAGAAAGTGCCAAACGTGATTGACTGGAGCATCCGCGGTGTAATCAGAGCGACGATAAACTGAGAAAGGTTATTGATATACCACGACTTAAGTGCTTGCGAAACTTACATTCGTCAACCAATTGGTCGCAATAGCGATACTCACACCCTTGGAACGAACACCAGGAGGAAAGATCTCCGAGGGCATAATCCAGTTGACACAACCTGATCAATCCATAAGCCAGGTACTTAGAAGCAAACCCCAGAAATTGCTTACCGATGCTGTATGAGAAATTGGCGATATAGACCCAAATGAAAATAGCTGCTGCCCATCCGGCACCGACATTTGTTTCCCAACGGTTCCGATACACAGCATATAACGTGCCAACAATGAGCTGAGAGATAGACATTGCGGCTGCACCTAGAAGCAGGATTTTACGACGTCCCCATCTTGAAGATGAAGCCATCAGTATTAAAAGGTGTACGTCCTCTAGCATGATGAGGACACTCACCTGTCAATAAACAGAACCGTAGGAATGGTACAGAGAAAGAGGATGATACCCACAACACCAGTTGCGAGGAGGTTGACCGAGTTTCCACTAAGGCCGATCTAAAAACGTTTGATCAGCATCTCGACAAGTCCACCTTTGGGGCAGCGTACAGATTGAAACATTGTCGGAGCGTAGTAAATCACGGCATTGATTCCTGTTGTTGTGAGAAATTCGATTGCTACTAGATACTGCAGCACATACCTGTAAACTGCTGGATAAATTGAAGCATGCAAGCGATGAACAGGCGGCGGTTAAGGTGACGCAGCACAAACAGATCCTTATACTCTCGCATGGCTACTTGAAGTTTCCCCTTGCTGTTCGGGTACTTTGTTGCCCTGCTCTCTTGCTCAAATATAGTAGCCGCTTTAATTTCCAACAGTTCGAGGCGAATTCGATAGTCAGATTCTGGGACGCGGCGAAGTCGGCAAAGGACATCCCGTGCCTCGTCTTCACGGTCTTGGTAACCAGTCAGCAATGGACGACAGGTCATATTGGCCTTCGTATCTATAACGTACCGACTTTCATCAGCCAACGTGGGCTATAAGGCAACATGAAAGTGCCACATGCCAGAAGCAGCGAAGGCACACATTGCAAGGCCAAAGGTAAACGCCAAGCAGCCTGTGACTGGCCATCACCTGTCCCGCCAATATACTGTGTCCCATAGTCAATCCAAAAAGAAACCATAATACCACCCGCGATGGCCAATTGTTGTAGTGAAACAAGACTACCACGCAGTTCTGGGGGTGATAGCTCACTCAGGTATAGCGGTATCACCATCGAAAGCATGCCGATTGCCGCGCCCGTAATAAAACGCCCGATGAATATCATAGGTAGGTTCACAGCGCCGGCCTGAATTGCCGAGCCGATCAGAAAGATTATGTTCGCATATAAGATAGACCAGCGTCGAGAGAATCGGTCAGCTATAGGGCCGTTTACAAAGGCACCGAACATGGCACCCAGCGTTAGGACCGAAACCATCCATCCTTGAAGTCCTGGGTCGCTTGCAAGTTTAGGGAATTCTTTGCCCTAGTGATGAGGTAGAAGCTAGGTTAGACTAGGCAAAGTTGAAGTTTAGAAGATTGAAAAAGAAAGAAATTCTCACAAAGCTTGTCGTCACAATAACTCCTGATATGACACCCTGGTCGTAACTATGAAGCGCTTCCATATTAAAACAGAACCAAGTGATCTAAGGACAAGTGCAACTTACCCATAAAGTAAGCCTCCAATGCTAGAAAACAATGCCTGTGAAAGGAGGTAAGGACTTTTCACAAGCCCCTTGAGGCCTATCCATTTCAATGAGCTTAGTGTTCAATGGCAGTTGAAACCACAATTAACTGACCTGATGGACCGTATGAGATATCTAGTCTCCCAATTGAGGGATTATCGTGAGCAACCATCTTTGCTTCGTGATATGCAGCTCAAGGACAAGCCAGTGATAGAACGAAGGCGCAGGTAGGAATAGCGGTATATCACATCGCTTTATACAAGCACGCATACTAAATAAAGTTCAAGGTATTCAAGGAAATCCGGGGTGCGGGGACAAGTTTCCCCAGAGCCACCCCGGGCTTAGTCCCGGGGCACTCTTGGCCGATAACTCTCATGTCGTGTATCGGTGCATTCTGACCCTAAGGCCCGAGGGAGGGGATAATCACACGCCTAGTACGGTATGTTATTTACATTTGCTCACTGGGTGTAATTTAAATCCTGGCCGCCTGGGTCTGAGGATCTGAGCCACCCCTGGTCAGTATTGGATGGAACATAATCAAATGCTTCCCCCTCGCCTGTGCTGGGAAAACCATCGAGGCCTTGAAAAAGGTCCTTATCCCACAAAGTATCCTCGAAAAGCATTTGAAGTGTAGGGTCAACAGCTAGCATTGTGGAAGGAACCTCTACATCGCCGGGGACAGCTTCGTGCTGTACAATTTCTGATTGACGATTCGCCTGCGATTCTGAGGCCAAAGATGAGTGGTGTTGGGCATGCTGAGGTTGGTCGCTTATTCTTTCAAGGACCTCGAGACACCGCGTTGCAGCCGTATTGGTTCGGCTCAAGGAAGCCAAGCAGTCACGAGATCTCGTAATGGAAGAGAACCAAAGCTCTTGACTTACCTCCCCTAAGCCTCTATGAACAGATTCCGTAGGACGAAGGTGGTGGATGCTCAGAACAACTGCCGCTTGGAAGAGGTAGTATGTAGCATACCAGCTGACGCCAGTGTGCAGTATCTCCGAGTTGTCACGACAAAAGTTTGAGATATCTTGAATCGTCTCAACTGCCGTAAAGTTGCACATATTCTGTGCTTCTTCGTGATCAGACGGTGATGTGCACATTCGCTTAGTACCCCACCACAGCAGCAATCGAATGTTTTCTTCTTTCCATAGGACAATCGCTCGTGGGCCACGGAACCATTCTGGAACACTTTGAACCGCGAAGTAAGAGGGAAGTGAGAGTTTCCAGGCTTTAAGTTGGTTGTCGATAGAGCGCGAAATCCTCAGGTCCAAGAGGCTTTGGTTCGAGGAGGAAATTATCTCACTGAAAACTACATTCCCAATTGATGACATGCGAGCTTGCGCAATAATCGCTGAGTAGGAAGTAGGGTATTCAATTGAATCAGGTATAGCCGCCTCCAACGTGCACGTCTATATAGGGGTCTTTGAATTAATGAAATATTGACTGCAAAAACAACTTCTTACACTTACCGAGTCGTCCACGTTTCGTGGAAGCTTAGTCTCAATGAAAGTATCAGATACCATGATAGGTCTCCCCGTTGTGAAGCTGAAGCCACTATCAAAGCAATAAACAATCCACCATATAGCTCGTCGGCGTTGGTTGGAAAAGGGCTCGGAGCTTGTCATTCCCCCAGGAGGTTCTCGGTGAAGTCCCAGACCGAGTGCCATTCGATATGCGATACCGATAAAGTTATATCCTGTGTTTGGCCTATCCCTCTTTTGTAGATAGTTGCCCTATCTTTAAGTCAGCAAATATAATCGATATGATAGTCGGGCATCATCTGCTAACAGACCATTAATAAGAACGCTTGAACAGTAAGGAGATTTCCGGACTCCAGCATCCGCATTGACATGCGTGAACGTGCAGCAGTATAATATCTTGACTGCTCGGCCTCAGAATCCTCAGTCAATGTCCAGTGGCCAATTGCCAACACAAGAAAGAATATCGAATGCCAGCTTGACCGAGGATGAATATGGTGCCGATTTTGGTATTCCTCTCTAAAGGTTTTCTCGTGTATAATGGGGTAAGATGGATTGTACCACATAAAATATGCGTCAATCAGACCATTCATTGCGGTAGTATCCGCGAGATTTATAGGCATTGTCGGGCTACCAGTATGATTGGTGTCTGCAGGGGAGGACTGCCCCTGTTGGCTCGCTCGCGACCTGAGGCTCTTCACTGGCAGGAGATCTGAGATAGTCCTCAAGATGTTAGAGCCCGAGCTATTTCCTGGTTCCTAGTTAGTGTTGGTTCTGACCGACCACCATGTGGACCTACCAAGGTAGCCAGATTCAGCCCTTCTGCTTGGCAACGTTGCCATTCCATCCAGCGGAACATCTTGCGTTTGTGATGGAGAAAGCAATGAGCTTTCATTCCACTCAGTTTGATCGGATAAAGTACTGTTTTCCAGACCAGGATTCAGACTTCGAGATCTTTCAGCAGATACTTGAAAATCCTGATCAGGGTTCCGTAGTATTGTTTCCAGCAGAGACTCTATGTCAACATCAGGGTCTAGCCGCTGTATCAGAGATACCAACCCTGCACATCGAAGTTCAACAGCGTCCAGGTTCCTACATGGTGTCAGTGATGCTTTGATTATAGTAATATGTAACGTACTTTCTTGTTAGTGGAGTCCGGGATGGGGGTGGCCCGAAAATACAGCTCTTATTTGCTCTAGTGCAGTAAGAGCAAGGTGATATTCCAGAGCACTTGTTTTGGTCAACATAGTGGAACAGTATAAGGGGTTAAGGTTCACAATACTTTGCTTTTGCGTTTCTGCTCATTCCGGTCATTAGTTGATCATAACTTATAAGAAGTATGTCATGATACTCACCCGGCATTCGGTGCACTGTCCTTCGTCAGTTAAATTGAGTAATTGAATTAACCAGAATAAATACCGCTCGAAGCTCGTGAGACCCGGACGCTGCAGGCTTAGACTTAGGCATAGCGGAGGATTCCGGCGATCAGTCTGCGATCAGTAATACCAAACAATAGTCAATACGACGGTGCGTAAAGTTCGAACACGTAATTCTTTCGCAACAGTACAATATGTGAGTGAGTGGACGTTACAGGTTCCATGAATGATTGCATCGGTCTACTGTCGTCCGATCACGGGATATTTGATATTCCGAACTATGGCGCGGGGAAGCCCAGCAGTGATCATCTCTTGAAAGCATTGCAAATCTGTTTCTATCATGGAAAGTTGTTCTGTGCTGTACAGAGGACTCTTGCGATGCTAATATTCTTCCAGAAAAATGGCCTTGTTGGGCGTTGTTCGGGATTACAGGATTGCGATATGTATCGTGCGTCTTGTTATTATTATGTCGAGCTTTTTCGCAGTACTGCATAGTCCAAACTACCTAATACGAATACCACCAGCTCCAGCTAACTACGCTATTCTCTAAACCGAGGGGATCGACCGCACCGAACAACATTTTCGCCAAAATCTCCTCTTTAAACGCTGATCTGTCAGGGGTTGACCCATCTATCTCGGGGCACAGGGAACCGACGAAGTTCCCCGCATCTTAAGACAGACAAAATGCCACCAAAATGGTATTTCCAATAATTAACTAAACCATTTTTGACTTCTAAACTGATAAAGTAGATAAATGATATCAAAGAGTACATTACGCGACACATTTCTTGCTTGGAAATCCCCGCATTATGCCCCCCACCTTCCCCGTACAACGTCTGATTCGGGTGTATGCAATACTTCCTTACTTTTACTTGTGTTGAACTTCGTATTTAAGCAATCCGTGATGAAAGACTAAAGGTTCCGTATTAAAGACGAATCTAAAAGTATAATATCATAAGACCCTGACATGTCTCCATACAACCCATCTCGGCCAACACTGCACCGATAGTGGGTCAGTCCGGTTATGTTGGTTCCAAGTTAGCGACATTATAAAGAAGATCAGGCCCCAAATGTGGCTACCTTCCTCAGGACATGTTCATAACACCAATATAACTCCACCAAGATGTCTATGACCTTCGAAGATTGTGCGAGAGTCCGGCCCGGCTTCCCCAGGCCGTTCCCTGACACGCCATCGAATGTTATGGAGCAGTTTCAAATGAAGGGGAAGGTGGTCGCCGTCACTGGCGCTGCCGATGGACTTGGTCATGCGATTTCGCAGGCTATGGCCGAAGCGGGTGCCCATGTTGCCCTGTGGTATAATTCGTAGGTTATGCCTGATACGATGGTGTTAATTTGAAGTTGCTGACCGTACCCCAGAAATAACGTCGCCATCGAGAAGGCCCAGGACTTAGAAAAGCAGCACGGTGTCAAGGCTTCCGCATATAAGGTCGATGGTGAGCAGTTCCAGTGCCTCAAACCACAAGGGATCATAAGTTTAACCTCCATATGAAGTTTCCGACTCTACCCAAGTCTCGGAAACAATTGCCAAAGTTGTGAAGGACTTCGGCAAGATTGATGTCTTCGTTGCTAATGCTGGTGAGTACAGGCTGAAATTGCTCAACTGGATAATTAGCTGATACCCGGAAAGGCATGGCGATTTCAAAGCCCATTTTGGAACAAAGCCTGGATGAATACCGGAAGCAGATGTCTGTGAATGGTATGAAAATGTTCCCTATATTGATAAAACACCGCTGTACTAACCCCCCTTATAGTTGATGGAATCGTTTATTGTTCGAAATATGCAGGTGAGGTGTTCGCACGCCAGGGCTATGGCAATCTGATCATCACCTCGAGCATGAGTGCGCACATTGTGAACGCCCCAACTGATCAGCCCGTCTACAATGCAACCAAGGCATATGTAACCCACTTTGGAAAGTCACTCGCCCGTGAATGGCGGGAGTTTGCACGCGTCAACATTGTCTCGCCAGGCTTCTTCGATACCAAGATGGGTGCGAGTCCCCAAACCGTCCACGAGGCGTACCGTATGTCGTCGCTTGGAAGACAGGGTCATGTGAAAGAGATCAAGGGATTATATTTGTACCTGGCCAGTGATGCTTCCACTTACATGACTGGAAGTGATGTGATAATTGACGGAGGATACGTCCTGCCATAGATGGAGACCCTATGAACCACCTGTCCGAGCAATGTTTCTAACTAAATTAGAGAGATAAATAACAGTCAAATAAATTAAGAGCTACTACTATTTGGACAGAGAAGTCAATATCTTTCCCTCTCGCTAACTAAATGCTCGGTATTTGCCGAGGGATAAGAGGAACCTGTCAAACAACCACCCACTGTGCATTCCAACCTCCAACTCCTTGCTGTAAAGCGTACGTCAAACCTGCACGCAGTGCATTGGTCCTTGTCACATAATAGGCTCCAGCCCGTTGATCAAACTTCTCAACTCAATTTTCCATCAACAGAACTCCATCAAGCCACATATGTGAGCCATACAGAAAACAAAATATTTGCTATTTATAAACACACCCCTTTTGCAGACCGACTTTCACTGATTATTTTCATTGGTAGCGTTCTCCACTACACGTAGACAATTATTTGCACCTTAATCCACACGATGGCGCCAACTGTAGATCAAGGACCCTGAGTTTGATCTTCATAAGCCACACCCGTCACGGAACGTGATGATGAATCCAACCTCTTGGCATTTTCCACCGGACGAACTATCGATCCACGCTCGGGTTAACGGTCCGCCGTCCGGGAGATCCTTGATCGACATCACCCGCGAGACCCAGGCGCTAGAAACGTACAAGGGGGTTTCTAGCCCAACTTTCCTAGACCCTGAATATGATCTTCCACCTTAAAGGGATCCAGTACTTGGGTACTCCATTACAGCAAGCACGCAATTTAGTCGCATCTGAGGTAAATGTTCCACACTTGTGTACACCCCTGAATATCATCTCAGTCAAGGCTAGGGTGTTTGAATAGTATGTATGTAACTTATATGTATACTATAGCCCGTAGGCACTCGTCCCCTCAGGTGAAGCTTTAAGAGAGGAAATACGGAGCCGTTGTTAGGTGTCTCCTGCCAATACGCTAAACTTGTTGACACCGACAATTGAATGATCTACGAAGTAGACCCACACCTGCTATCCCTTGTTGAAATTCATCTAATTTCAATATGAAACAACTAGCTTCGCATAAGCAATAACAGCATCTGCGCATAATTCCCGTGATCCATTAAACCGGGTCTCTCAGCTATATGTATGAAAAATCGGTTTCATTGTAGTTGGACTTCGGGAGTTCTAAGATAGTGGCTACAGTATGTCAAATTAAGAATGTGGACATAACAATAAAATCGCATCAATTGAGTGTATAAGAGCCATAAGTCTCGTTGTAGATTCTAAACAAATATCCAACTCCAAGTATATACAAACCAACCCTGACAAAGAAAACGAACGCCAGGGTTTTTGTTCTAGACCAAAATATGAAACGCCTGAAAATGAAGATCGAGGTACCGAATCCCTTTCTGGCGAATGGGTCCCTGAATTATGTGTACAAAATGCAAATTCGAATGAGAGAACAAGTGGGGATCAGATGCAAATCACCGCGACCAAGGGCCCCTTAATTGGTTTTCTTGGTCAGGATGGGCTTAGTGAATGCGAGTCCGAACCCTTCCTTCTCAGCGTTGCGACCTGTTCCAATACCGGGGCGGGCATGGATAGTGGCGAAATCGTAGCCCAGGCGCTTTGCGTCGATGAGACGAGCCCGGATCAGTGCTTGCTGGACACCACGACCGCGGAAGTTCGGCGTTGTGCTGTCGATATAGAGATGTGCCACACGTCCATACTTGGTCTCCATCAATGCCATGGCCCCGCACCCGGCAATTTGACCATCAATCTTGCCGAAGTAAAGGTTTGTGTCGGATCTCAAGGCTGCTGTTTCGGCTAAGCTACGGAGAACTTCATCTGATCGGCCGTCATCCTTGAACCCAGCGACTGAGGCGTGGATGAAGGCTCCCATGCCTGCCTCGTTGGCGGGAGCACGGCAGACAAGCATGTTGGATCCAAAGGGAAGCTCGACGGGTGCGTCCATGTTTGGATCAAAGTCCACGTGTATTTCATGTAGAGAACGAGCGTAGATGTTGAGGAAGCCGTCGACCACGTAGTTGCGCATAGCAAGTGCTTGGAGTACACTCTGGTCGGCATATGGGCAGAGCAGGATGGTTGGTGTGAGGTTTGCCTCTTCGTGCAAGGCTTCAATGTTGGAGAGATCATCCTCGGTGACCATGCCCTTCATGCCTAGGCCAAGAGTGCGATTTAGTTGTTTGCCGAGCTGAGGAGTTGTGAGAGCAGACACGCCACCCCCAGCAACGGGGTGCAGTCTGATGTTTTCTTTGGGGAATAACTGCATGCCAATCTCAACTTGTCGAGAGAGATGGAGGATGTGGGCTTCTTCAATTTGGTGGACAGTGTCGAGCTTGTTAAACAGCCGAGTTGACATGGGTGATGGTGTAGGAGCAGGTGCTGTTTGCTTGCGGTGCTCTGAGCAGAGGTTGGGAACGGTGGTAGAGTGTGCGACCAACATGATGATGGTATGGCCTTCTAAAGACTCCGGATTGAAAAGTGTAGACAAAGGTGTATCAAAGATGGTGTGTCTGTGTGTTTGGAAAGAATAGTTCTCGATCTGGTCTTCCAAAACTCGGAGACAAGCTGCTTTATGAACCTCAGTTGTGCTCTACAACGTATCCCATGCATGAGCCGTCTCCTAACCTCCTGCATTCTTGGCGAGGGACACATGGATGATTGCGTACGTGGTCAGCTACAATGGTATCCAGATCCTCTGGGGAAGAGCATATCCCGAAGATCTACTGGGCCGCGCGGGTGGGGCCAAGCCCCAAGGAGCGTATAGTTTCCTACTATGAGATGTTTCAAATCAAATGCCAATCAAGGACGGTGACGAGTACGCGTGCGAAGCCATTGACGCCGATCAGCCGCTGAAATGATCGACCCGTCAGACCCTTGTGACTAATACTGGCCTCCTGAGCTTCGATCGTCATGCATCAAATCGTTGGTCAGACTCGGAACTCAATATTCCGCCACAGCGCAATCATTGGAGCTTTTCCTGTTTCTGCTATTTTAATTCTTGGCCGATGATGCCTGAAGATGATCAGATTGCATCAAGAAAAGCCTTAGCATGTAAGGAACGCGATCTATCATGAATGCAAGTTATCTCGCAGCTGAAGTGGACCCAGCCTATAGTACCTCGATGATCTGCTGTGGAAACCCTCCAGTTGGTCAATAATTTGAAACAGCAGGTTAGTTCTCCACCCCCAAAAGGGTATAAATCCAGGGGATAAAAAAAGCATTACAAAAACAAAGTAGAAGACTAACAAACCATGAAGCTAGGAAGGTTGGGGGCGAAGCAAGCTTGGCAGGACGTCACTTTAGGATCCCGCGGAAGATCGTTCCCCCCTGCCCATTCCGCCTTATGCCAAGACAGGCACGCGTCATGAAAATTCCTATGTTTTCCATTCCCTCTACCTCATCCGGTATGTTCGAGTTAAGTAAACCATTCAAAAGTCTACAGGACGAGATAAGAGAGCGCCAAAAAATGCGGGCGGAACGGACCTTAAGCCTTGCAATTGTCCGAGTTTTCGTAATAGGAATAACATTTCGACTACTGAAAAGAAAATGCTCCCTTGTTAGAGTACTATCGAGATATTGAAATTCAGTAATTCACCTCAAAACGGAGGGGGTGTTGAGCTTTGGCCCATGACTTTGAGAAGCACGCAAAAGCAGAGTCAAAATGCTCATATGCTCCTCAATCAATGTAAAATCTAAGCTCGCATGAAACTCTCACTACAAACTTTATCAAATGGTTGAAGTCAAATCATGAGAGATGAGTCTGCCCCTCGGTAATATCAACTAGTATTTATCTCCTTTTATTGTTTACAAATTGCAAACGTATATATCCACTTGTGTCCATTGTCCCATCTACGCTATCGAAAGTAACAAATACTAGTAGCAGTTTTCTCACTACATATATTCACCACTATGAGACACCGGCAGCCTTACTTCGCTTTGGAATTGGTTCTGCTCACACCACGCGACTGCTACCATGCTTAATATTTGATGACCTTTCTATTATTAAACCAGGGAGCATCAGATGATGGACACAATGACCACGGCACTCCACGCAATTGTCGACCTCTCTATTTTCAACTTGGCTCACTATAAGCATGTGTCCACGCCACCGGAGTTCCAAAGTTCGGACTACCGTCACTGTGCGTCCCCAATAGTTGGATCATAGTGTACCGACTATCGTCACAGGCGCCAGTGCTAGTGGTGGTAGCATGATATGCAATCCAAGTCTGCGAGCCGTCCGGACTTGTGAAGAACGAATTGTGGCCAGTTCCATAGTTCCCATTGGCCGAGGAGAAGACACATTTACTACTCTTGGTCCAAGCACTCGCTGAAGTGGGGGCTGTGCTGCCGTCCCATTCCAAGGTACCAAGGCAGTAGTTGGCAGTCCAGCAGTAGGATGCCGAGTAGGTGATATATGTCTTACCGCCAAAGTAAAGCGCAACAGGTCCTTCGTTGACGGGAGTGCCGTTCTTCTCCCATGATTGATCAGGTTGTGAGATCACATATATGCTGCCGGTCAAAGAGACATAGTCCGATCCTAGCTTTTGAAGGCAAATTGATTGGTAGGTCACGCCGTGGAAACAGGAGAACATCAAGTAGTTCCCGTAGTCATTGAATCGAAGGACTGAGGCGTCGATGGACCATTCAGTTGTCAATTGTCCGCTGTAAGTATAGGTATCCCAGGGGGTAGCACCGCCTGTTCACTGTTAGAAACGTTGCATTTGAATTGGAATGAAATTGACAAGAGGAAAGTACCCGTGAGAACATGGAGCCGCTGCCCATCAAGATCTGTACTCTCTCCCGCAGTGTAATAGATGTACCATTTGCCGCCAAGGTAGTGAACCTCGGGAGCCCACACGTTGCAGCAGTGTGAGGTAGCCGTCGTGGTATACACCACTTTCTTAGTTGCCGTTTCAAGCCCCGCCACAGTTGTTGCACGCGCAATTTCAACGTCGCTCCACGTGGTACTGAGAAGATAGTAATATCCACCAGTATAGACAACGAACGGGTCACTTCCACCCGGGTTTCGGATCGGGTTGGTCCATGCTATAGCCTGACTGCAGAACGCAAGTAAACCGAAGAAGGAACAAATGTTGAAAATCATTCTGGAGTTCCTTCAGGAAAGACAACTTGGAATTGCTTTTTACATGGCCCAATGGGGTTCGATATATAGTCCTACCAAGGCGGAGAAATTACAGTGGTTTTAGCCCCTACGTGCCCCGGCGGGGGGCTTTACTTGGTACGTTTCTTGGAGCTGCCGCTTTTGCGAAAACACCAGAAGACACAATCACTCAGTAATTCCCAGTACAGATACTCAGCTCGTTAATTGTTATAACGCCCGATCGATGTCTGATCCATAGCTTCGGCACGAACCCAAATGGTTTACCAAGATCCTGTTAAGCATTACATAATTGAGAAGTAACAGGCAACAATAAGCGATACTTTCTATTGACACCAGTTTCCGTTTCAAGAAGATGGATGGTTTTTGACATTAATTCACTAACTGCACCATAGTGCCTGGATAAATTCAGCTAATAATCAATAACAAGCGACAGTACTGAAGCTGTCGCAAGGTAGGTGACTACTACCGTACTGTGGTGGAATATATGGAGCCATAGACCTCGCAGGACAGTAAGCAAAAAGGAACAGCTCGTCCCCAGAACGCCATACGCTGACAGGAGACCAAACCACTAACCATAAGAAGCTGTAAACCTTGTAGATCTGCAGTAGCCAACACTTCCATGGCCTTGAAGCGGAAACATCGCAGCCTTGAACATACGACAGTCGTCAGCTCCCCGTGATCTAGAGCTATTTGACCTCAGCTGAGAACCGAACAGTTTCCTAACGAGGTCAAGCTTTGTTAGTTAGTGCTTCTTATCGAATCTAATACAAGAAGTAGGAAGATCAGGATGGACATATAAAGAGTTAACTGTTCCCCTGCGTTTTAGTGGGAATATAGAATAACAGTTTTACTTCCCTTCAAGATGATGACCAAGGTATGCATTGAACAATATCAAAACGATAAGAGCCACTCAATTACAATAGAAACATTGAAATCTAACATAAAAAAGCAGGCAATCACTCTCATCTCCGCCCTCACAGTGGCAGGAGTCGCAAGCCCCACAATCGGTTACGCAGGCTACTTCTATGCCGACTGCGCCATCCCAAGTATCGACGCCGCCAACGCCTACGCCGGATCCTGCATCAACGTTGAGAACTTCCCGATCAAATCATTCACTGCCTACGTTGAGTCCGGCTCCTGCGGCGACGGTACCTCTGCCGTATTGAACACCTACACTGCCGCTAGCTGCAATGAGTCTACCCTCTTTGAGAGTTTCAGTGTGGATAGTAAGAAGCAGTGCTTTGAGGCTGATGTCACTCTTGTTAGCTTGAAGGCTGAGTGTATCTAAAGTACGAAACTATGCTACATGGGTGAGCCGGGTTGAATCATGTAGAGGCCTAAAACAATACATTGCATCTATTGAATAAAATTTTCACCTGAATAAACGTAGATCACTCAGCCGCTAAATCCAATTTGGACATTAGCGACCAGCGGCATGAGCCACGGAAATCTAACTCGCTTAGAAGCGTGATCAATTCTACAAGTAAGCAAAAAGCGGCGAGAGCCTAGCATCCAAAATGGACAAGGATATCATACACAAGTAGGACAATTCGTGGATATTTTGTCAAACTTTTTGCCAATAGTTCCTGTATCGTGCTACCATTATGACGACGCCAGGCTACGGCCCCGCACATCCAAGAATGTGGCGCTGACATGCAGCCAGCCCGCCGGAATGTTACGACTTCTGGCCATGCAAAGCAAGCCTGTAACCGCATTGATCGGATTTGATTGGTGCGAGCCGTTCTTCACTGTCCCAGGTTCTCTGGGCGTCGGGAGTAGCGTGGCTATGTCGTAATTTTCTGGCTTTTGCAGGGACATGTACATTCCAGTGGTGGATCTGAGTATTGGTACTATGTCTTGAGATAAGAGTTCTACTAAATCTTCCAATCAAGTTTGATAGCGATATCTGCTGAGTTTGGGTTGAATTTGGGACAATTCAAGTTTGAGCCGAGGCAAAATTTGATGAAAGTTGATTTAATTGCATCATGTTGAATAGATGCAGTAGAATTGAAATGCGATGACGCGTGTTGAATGGCGTACAAAACAGGAATAGCAAATGTAAATGAGTGGCAGGAGCTTTATGCTCCGATGAGCACCTTAGAGGGCTCAATAGTCATCGCCGCGGCTGATGACTTCCTTGTTTGATCCGCGCAGCAGAATTGTCTAGAGTGGTTAGTACTTTAGATGAGTGTATAAGACAATGGCGCACTCACATGTTCAAACTGTGCGGAATAGGAACCTTCGACGTCCATAAGCGGCTTATAGGCTTCAACGACTCCATTGTTTACAAGAGTGTTCATCTGCTGAGAGTTAGAGGATTGTCTCTGGCTTCATAGCTATAAATATGAGAACTCACGCCAGCCAGATAACGCTCAACGCCTAGCCGTTCGAGATAACGGCGACAGAAGACAATAGAGCCAAAGTTCTCATTGATCTTCTGATACAGGGAATTGGCGCTGGCGAGATGGGTCTTGATTTTCTTCGGCGCGAACGGGTCTTTTCCATACCCGTATATACCGATCTAGATTATTGTCAGTATATGGACACATAAAATGATCAAAACCAGGAGGAAAAATGTACCCCATCGAACATGTGGCCTCGGCCAGTTGTGCCGAATGTTTCGATAGCAAAAACCTCTCCCTCTTCCATTTTGGTGTTGTCGTTGTTCTTGACGAATGGAATGGATTTGCCACCGTGGATGCGATATCGATCGATGTTGTGTCCACTGAGGCCTCGCACTGCCTTAACCGGGATCGATTTACCATTGATCTCAACCTCGTAGCTTTCCATCGCTTCCTGGATGGCAGCGCTGACATCGCTAATACGAACGTCAATTCCAGCATTCTGGGACTGTCAGTCATAACCTTGGCCTTGAGGAAAAAGGTTGATTTACCTGAATACCAGTATTCGTTGCATCCTTGACAGCAGCAAGCAGATTGTCGTAGGTTGGTTCAAATGACATGGTGAAAGCACTGTCAACAATCCAGCCATTGATATGAACTCCAAAATCGACCTTCATCACGTCGCTCGATTTGAGAATCACTTCTTTCTGACCGGGGTTGGGTGTGTAATGCGCAACACAATTGTTCAGCGCAAGACCAGTCGGGAATCCCATGCCAGACACGAGACAATCCCCGGTACCAAGACCATCGTTATCGAGCAGCGCTCTCACGCCGTCTTCGATGCCCACGGCAATCTCCGTGAGGGTCTGACCCGGCGCGACGTTCTTCTGCGTCCAGTGTCGGACCTGACGGTGAATCTCCGCTGCCTTGCGGTAGTCGTTCAGGAAAGTTTCGTCTTCAAGGCGATTACGAGACTCATATCGGACCTCCTCACCCGTGGTGCGAGCCGTATTCTCGACAGGCGCATATTTCAGCAATTCACCGGTCGGGTAGTTGCCGGCAGGGAATAGTTTGGTGAGAGGGACTCGTGGTGGTGAAGATTGCTTGGAAGAAGACTTCTTCTTAGGCTTCTTTCGTTTCTTCTTTTGGGATTTAGCCGGAGATGCGGAGTCGGGTGTCAACGGCAAGGTAACAGCACCGGCGGCATGGTCGCTGTCGCCGTCGTCACCGCCATCGTCATCCCCGAGGGTACCATCGCCATCGCGGGACAGATGGGTTCCACGCGGTTCTCCACCAGTGGCATTGGGCTTAGTAGAGCTGGGAGGAGCATCTGTTGGGAATCAGTATCTAGTCTAGGATGTGTTGGGTAGTAAGGGACTCACATTCGCCTCCCTGGCCCTCATTTTCAAGTGTTTTAGAGCCCATCTCGACATTAAGAACTGGAATTTGTGATCTGCAATGGAGACCACGCGGTGGAGATGTCAATGTTGTGCGTGGGGGCCGGACAGGGCGGTGTGTCTGTCGGTCTGGATATGTCAGGCAGTATATTTATCTCCACGCTGTCGTGTTGTCCCTTTACTTCATCAGGAAAGACACAAACAAACTAATATTGGCTGGCTGAAATTCGTTAAATAGGCTAACTCATAATCAACATTACACGCTGATTTGTGAAACCTACTCTCACAACCGATCAGGAACAGCACTCTATGCTGAAAAGACCTCGCCACATCAACACAATATCAGGCTCGACTCTTTTACAGGCATTTACTATGCACCTGAATCTCACAACTTTCCCTCCCCAAAACGGTACCTGAGATAGCTTCAACTCACTCCCAAAGCATATACTCAGGGAAGAAACGATCATGAATACGGCGTGCATATTCGACCAGAACGGGCAGACTCTTGACAACTTTCTGCGCCTTGGGACACCTGGAATAATGAGCTTCTATTGCACAACAGCATGAGGACAGGAACTTACGCGGTAGAAGTCAAAGCCGCAACAATAAAGCCGAAACAGACCGCATCTGCCTCAGTCGGCGTATCTCCACCAAGCAGCCAGAAGACCTGATTTTGCTCTGCGTTCTTTGATGCAGACTTTGAAGAGATAAGCAACGAGCTTATCTCTTCCCAGATGTCTCGTCGCATTGAGGCAATCTCATCATCCGTGAAGCGAAGTGTTCCTTGGCCATAGAGTGTCTGGGCCATATTTCGATACACCAACAATCCTACTCCGACACGCAACGGGTAAGGGATCGATCCTAGAACGTGATCTCGCATGGTATAGTAATTCTCGAACCATTTTTCATGACACTATACCGACGGTTAGCATCACGGATCACATAGCTAGTCCATTACTTGCCGTTAGGAAATATAGCCGTTCTTCTAGTAAGGCACGCAAACCCAGGTCGTGTGTCCTTGCCAGGGGACTCAAGGATGCATTTAAATCTTCAATTAACCCTTTCTCAACAAGAATTTTGATCATAAGACTCGAGTCGGAGAGTGTTTGGATTTCCGATCCATCGGATTGCGCGAGTGTAAGGTATGGAATCTTGCCACGAGGACCATCACGAGGCGAACCAGCCTGCTTGGAATATTTGAGAGCAGAAAAGCGTAGACGAAGCTCAATTTTCGTGACGAAGGGCGACCAGGTATATTTGTCGGATCCTGGAAACCCTCGGTAAAGGGTCAACTGGGGTTGCTTGGCCATCTCGAGAGTATAGCTGTCACTTCAGTTGGATCAAACAATACTCTTTTTGTTTTCATTGTAGAAAGAATGCGTTTGTTTATTGTACAGCAGACTTCGCTTCGGCCAAAGCCCGACTCCGACTGCTTGGCTCATGTTGCGACCGCAAAAGCCGAAGTAAACACCCGTTAGTAACCCATGCATGATCCCAAACCACGCAAAAGCCGAGTTGCAGGAAGTCGAGATAACTGTACAGCATATCTTAAATGTTTAAGTTATAAGTTAGGTATCCAATTTGACATGTTTGTTTTGAATTGAATTGAAATTACCCCACACTTTCGATCTCGTCATTCAACGTGCGGATCTCGCAATAGAGCCGACCCAGCCGACAGCCCGAAAACTTTTATGCTTCTACAATGTTGTTGAAGGCTGAGGAACAGCCCCTCGCTGAATGGTATGGGTTCAAGCAAGTCTTCACGATCGCGGTTTGGTAAGTGATCACGCCGAATACAAGGGATGCAGCTAACATGCATAGGTTGCCGCACATGTCGCGCCCGCAAAGTGAGAGATGAGCCCTATGCGCGAGGTGATGCAGCATTCTGATAATCAAATCTACTTTGTGCAGGTCAAGTGTGATGAACGACCAGGCGAATGTGGCAACTGTGCTCGGTTGCGACTGGTCTGCTCGGGTTATTCCACGCCGCCGAGGTCGCATGCATCGGAGAGTGTGATCGATCAGTTGGACCGCTCGAAAAGGAAGCGAACGTATCGTTCTTGTGCCGCTTGTCGTGTATCGAAAACGAAATGTTCGGGCGAGAGACCAGCGTGTCAACGATGCCTGGATAAGAGTTTACGATGTGTTTTCGCTGAGGCTTCGCAGCCTACTTGGGTGCGGAGGGTTAATGTGATATCAACGCACAGTCAGAAGTCGCCATCCGTAGAGCCGCCTGTGGATCGGTCTCCTAGTTATACCCCGACTCGACAGGATGTACGGAGATTATTGGAAACTCCGCCAATCTCACAGCAGCCTTTTCCGATAGTTGAACCTACCCCTACTGAGAGTCCATCATCGCCCTTAGACTGGTGAGATACTTACGTGCTCTGGAGCAAATTTTGAACTTGATCTAATAGATATAAGGCTGTCATCACGTCAACTACCCAGCCTGTCACGGACGAGGGCGCTGGTCGAGGAATACTTCAACAATGTTCATCCTCTACGCGCTTTTGCTTTCATGCATAAGCCCTTATTTCTACAAAGACTGGATGGGGAACTTGCGAAGAGCCGTAACAATAATGCTTTGCTGCATATTGTCTGTGCATTGGGAGCCCAGTACAATTCACGCCCTTCATTCCGATAGCTGGCCGCAAACTGACAAAGTGAAAGATTCTTTGCCCTCACATACAGTGAGACTATAGCTCCTCTCGCATCGAAGTTCGTTCTCCATGCAGGGGCTGAATGGGCCAAGATAGCCCAACGTATCATCCTGGAGGCCCTAGATTCTGTCACCATCGAAAATCTAATGGTATGTGCCAGCGTGAGAAGAGTTTGAACCTTCCTGACATTATTCTAGGCAGCCGTCCTTCTCCATGATTATGCCGTTCGCTTAGGAAACTTCTCGAACGCATTCATGTTAAGTGGAATCACCACGAGGATGACACAAGCTTTGCAAATCAATCTCGAATACAACACAGACATACTGTGTCAAGAAGTTGAATCCAATCTTCCAGTGACCGCAAGAGAGTCTCGTCGTCGGCTGATGTGGAGTTGCTATATCATGGACGCTCTCGTCGGCAGCGGAGTTGACCAACTCACGCTGATGGACGAGAGGGACATCAAAATTCAGCTTCCATGCAACGAGCGAAACTTCACTCAACAAGTTCCATGCCTTACTGAAACCTTGAATCCTGGAAATCGACTCAAACTTCTTCCCGGAGATCCAGATGAAAACTCTCTGTCGCCCAACATGGGAATAATGGCATATTTCATTCGACATATCGCACTTCGTAAGAGGGTTCTACGGTATGTATAACAAAGACTTCTATTAAACATCACATAAATCTGACAAACATCTAAATAGATACATCAAACACCTAGGAGAAGCCATGGTGCCATGGTCCCCAGAATCCGAATTCGCCCTCTTGGATGCAGACTGCCGAGCATGGTACGAATCCCTCCCAGCCAGTCTTCAGTTCACACCAGATGCAATCTACATTCGCAAAGACACATCCCAACTAGGCGCTCTGTGTGTTTTACACTGTGCGCATTACCAAACGATTTGTGACTTGTATCGACTAGGAGCACCAGCTCTCTACAAACTCCGAGCAGCCTTCGACTTCCCCCCAGAACAGCACGAGTTCCTTAAACATCTGCAGCAGGTTCTGTTTGATGCCGCTCGCGCTTTGGCTACTATCGTTGGTCAGACGGCACACCATGGTCCTCGGATGCTGGCGGATTCTTGGCTTCCTACTATCACCTATGATAGTTGTCGGATTATTGTTTATCACCTTACTCAGATCCTTGATCCCCGAGAGGAGAGTACAAAGACGCTTATTTTGACGACTATCCCTTTGTTGCGGAGTAATATCGCTGCTCTTAAATCTATGGGTTCTCTAAATGCAATTGCCAACACGCTAGTAAGTTGAAACCGTCTCTGTTTTCCTCATTGGCCACAATTGGCTACAACCCATGTTAAAGTTACTAACATTCAATCTTCCAGGGATGTGCAGCAGAGACAATGCTGGACCGATCTGGTATCGAGTCCGAGGTGGTAACACACAACATAATCCCCGATGATCCATACCACCCAGACGAAGAAGAGGACACAAGGTACTAACAACCCCCTTCCCAACCCCAGACTGCACATACTAAAACTCAACCTATAGCGAAAGCATATCAGGAACACCCATCCAAAGCGCCCCAGACTACGTCTTAAACCCACTAACAATCTTCCGCATGGCCCGCAAAACAATACCCGAACGCCACGCACCCGAAAAATCCGGCACATCCTCCGCACCGAACAGTGTCCGCTCAGACCCGCATGCCGATATCGAGCGGTCTTCAGCGCGAGTCAGTGATGGGAGACTGTTAGGTGGGAATGAGCTTGATGCTGGGCAGGCGAGTCTCGAGGAGTTACAGACTCTTTTCATGTCTGATTTGGGTTGGGCGTGGCAGCCTGCTGATACGGCTGTTGGATCTGGAATTGACGGCGCCGGGCTTTTGCCTTGGGCTGGTGGGTATCCTGTTATGCAGACGGAGCCTTGGTTGCCTGTTTTTCCGTTTCCGCAGCAGGGGTGATTGGATTCGTTGGGGGCTTACGGTTCGGTTTTTGTACGTATCTGGCGAGATGTATATAAATGTAGTATTCTGCTTTCTATCTGTGCTATTTTGTACTCGCGGCAAATCATATCACAATACTACAACAGGGTTCATAAGTGTGTATACAGTGACATGAAGTATTGGCCGGTCTCTACACCAACCCCAGCGTCGACGCAATTGTTTTCGCCCTACTTTGGCCTGACTTGACCTCTTTTCTGTGCATTTTCGAGTGCCTCGGTTTACGGATGTTTATATATAAGTGGGAGTCTGAAAGGACTTATGGGCTAGGACTATATGCAACTTCATTTTGTGTTCGACCATTATGGAGCGGAAGAGCTATCGCATAGTAACATATACTATAACAAATACACAAATAGCCCTCACTCCGCATCCAAAGGACAAACAGGAGGCGTATCATTAACCTGAATCCCACCCCGTTTCTTCTCTAACGAATCATGATAAGGAAGTTTCCAACCACCCTCAGACTCAGGCGCAGCCAACCAAAGCCTCATCAAATGACGACGCCGAGCTGGCCGACCCTGCTCATCAACAGCGCCAGGAGGATGATCCGTATAAGCAGTTCTCGCATGGAAGACCTGGGCATTACTCAAGAACTGAATATCACCAGGCGCAAGAATCATATGCAAAGAAAGCTCCGCACAGACCTTCTCAAAGACCTCCAGTGCGTACTTCTGCTCATCAGATAGCGGAGGAATGCGCGCGTCAGGACCAGAGTTGAATCGTGCGAGTGAGGTCACGTTCATAGGGTCGAATTTGGCGTAGACGCGGGGGTTGCTGCTGCGGTCGTTTTCGAGGTAGAAGATACTACCCCGAATCCATGGTTCTTCGCCTTCGGATACTTCGCCTTTGCGGTCGAAGTACCAGTTCGGTTCGCACATTGTTTGGGCTACATCTGGGTAGCGTTCTTGTAAGACGTTGAAGACGTGGTGGGTGGATGAAATGTCGGATTCGCCGCCAGACATTGATTTTGCTACGCAGAGGAGGCCGACGAAGTCCGCTCCGTCTGTGTGGAAGTATTGCCTGAGGGATCGTTAGATTTTGGAACTGTGGTGTTACTCGGACTGTCATACCGAGCATTGGTTCGATAGATGCGGACTCTATCGGTTTTGGTGGGATCTTCTCCGAGATCCTTGACGTGTCCCAGGACATGGCCTCGTCCATTCTGGCTGACAAAGTAACCTAGGTATGTGCCCAGGCCCATATACGCTGTCGCGCACTTTTGGAGATCCCATTCTTGGACCGGAAGACCTCGGAAAAGGAAGAACCCCTTGCCATCAATGAGATCTCTTCGAAGCTCTTCCATTCGGTTGGATAACTTTGGGAGGTGGAAGTTCGCCTGGACAAGGTCAATACTAGTTTTGTCCGCGATGTCTGTAGTCAATCATACCCTTGAAATGCCAGTTAAAGGAGCTCCGCTCTTGATAAAGTCTTCAGTGGCATTGCTTATCTCTTCGATCTCTTCGGCTGTGAATGTATGCGTCCATAACTCGGGGTTGTTGCGATAGTCCTCAGCCTTCCACAATGTGGGTCCCGTTTGGAATTTGGGGAAGTCGGCGTAGGGGCGGACTTGTGAATAGATAGGAGGGTGTTGTCCAGATGTTTTGTATCCATCTGGAAAGACAGATAACTTGACTGGCTTCGGTGTAGGCTGTGGGAAAGCACTTGAATCCACGAGACCCGGAGCCATGATGATAGGGATGTGATACTAGTTAAACACAAAGAAGACTGTTGTTAGGGGAATATGTATCCTCGTGGCTTAGACAGTTAATTTAAATTCTCCGAAGGAGAGGATTTCGATCCTTATATATCAGCAACTCGGCATTTCTCTAGATGTCGTAGGGTTGTAGTTTCTCGGCTCGTCGTGTCGATCGGCCGTGGCCGCCGCCGGTCGCTGTTGATGGGCGAATAACCTCACACACGCATAGTAATTCCTTTTTGGTGTGACTGGGGATACAGAGACATTTTTTCTTGGTAATATCGCGTCATATCAACTTGAAATATAGGATCTGGCCCGTGTTATGCTTCAGTGAAACGACACTCAGTGACGGCTTGTCGTCACGGCTGGTCGGCTGCTACCCCGACATATGGCAGAGAAGGTATTGCGCAACAAGTTGCCATATACTCGCAAGCACAAGCGACTCATATCACTCGCGAGTGTTGTTCGGCGGAAATTGAGTGTTCAGGGGTGAAATGTTTGTTTGGGGATCAACCCATGACCTCCCGAATTTCATCCAACACCGTTAGAAACCACAATACCCATCCAACACACTTAGTCACCGATGCGAATTGCCCAATATCAGATGTGTGTTGCTAAAGATTACATCTAGTCGCAACTATGCTCTGGGTCTTTTGGATTGTTAAATTAGCCACGACTTCGGCATTCACACAAATTGGGCAATTACAAGATCTCAAAAAGCCGAGCGATCGCGATTATATTAAGTTGTCATAAGTATTAAGACATATTGCAATGCAAATTTACCGTCCAACTCCATTTCAGCGACTGAATGTCTCTACGCATTTGTGCGCGTTTCATGATCAATGACACCAGCCGAAGCCTCAATATCGGTCTCCTTCAGCGTCGCCTGCTCCGACTGAAGCGGGCTATCAAAATGCTTCTTGCCATACAAAGGCAAAGAATTCAAGTCAAGCAGGTACATATACCAATAGTAAGTACCTATTATCCCAGTCAGTCCGAATCCAAACAGCTCCAGCATAGCTCCGAAACCCGCAACCTCCAAAAGCCGTACAGGGACGTGCGCGATACCCACGTCAACAAAGTACCCAGAACGGCTTTAGAAGCTGGACCCGAAACCCGAGCCGTTTGTGGAGATTTGACATATTCTAGAAGAAAAAGAAGAAGAGTATGACTTACCACAAAATACACCGCCACCAACGATATTCCCTAGAAGGGTTGGAATAATGCCCTTCCAGATGTATAGACCCACACTAATATCCGGCGCTCCGACCCAGATCGCCATCGGGATGAATGTCATATTGGCAACAACGTGGTCGAAACCCAGAGAAACGAATGCGAATGTGGGCCACCAGATGCCAATCACTTTTGATGCTAGGTCGCGGCCTTGCAGGCTGAAAAAGCATGCTAGACATACTAGCCAGTTGCATCCGATGCCACGCAAGAAGATCATGTGGAATTCGGGCGTTACTTGCTTTTTGGTCGCGAACGAGATTACTGCTGATTTGAATGGTTCTGCTGAAAATACGTTGCCGTCTAGGTTGTTCGATCCTATTGTTAGCCACGCCGATATGAAACGCGACAGCAGGGCAGATTCGACACTTACATCCGAAGATGATGGCCACGATGAATAGGGATCCGGCTAGGTTTCCGAGGAATGTTACTACCCAGTGGATCAACATCTTTGTCCACGGTAGGCGTCTGTGGAGTGCGGCTGTTGTGGTAAACTGGAATACGCATGTTAGCCACAGCATAATTCGGTCATTGAGTATGTCACCCCAGCTATATCATACCATGAAAGAGCCCGTGCAGAGCTCTGCGCCTGTCAACAAGATCATGCACAAGCCATAGGGGAAGACCATTGCGCTGATAGTTCGCATCAAACCCGGGGCATTGGTCTGGAACCATGGTGTAGCATTCGTGCTAATTACAGTCCCGCATGCAAAGGCAAGCAAAGCGCCCGCAGAGACTGCGCTCATGAACACCTTGTCTAATCGCATGTTTCCCTTGAGGACTCCGGCATTTGAGACCATCTCGGTCACCTCCCGAGGGGAGAAAGCGTCGAATGTCATTGTGTATGCGACCCACTCGGCTGTGGAAGAGAGAAAAGGTATTGATTTCACTGGCAGTTACTAAGTAAATAGAGATGGACTAACATCCAAGGCATGGTTATATATCTATTCATCAGCTCGAGTATAAGGCTTATCTTTCCAAGCTTCCGTGACCATTGCCGGCATAAGGGTTAGAACAACTCCGCATTATTGAACTACAGGCAATTATTTGAAGATAAAGCTGTGGATAACGATAACGCATTGGCGATCATGTTCTTTTTGTTGACATTTGTCGAGTCACAGTTCATGCGGTTATCAGAATCAGGGTCTTGGCAAGATAAGGATCCATGTCAAGTTCACACATCTCCGCGGGAGTACAACACCGAGTATTGTTCTATAATCTTAATATTAAGCCACTATGGCTGCCACAGCCACCTGTTGGCAATGTCCAATCACCGCCTAAGTTAGTTATAATGACTGAGTAGTTGAACATGACTGCCAAGTTTTGACGTAAAATGTAGCAATCCAACAGTCTAAACCAACAAACCCCCCCCACCCCCCACCCAAAAAAGTCACAATTCCTAGCAGTAACATTATTTTTCTCCATATTCAACGTATTGGGTTGAACACCAATTTTCCAAACACTTATTACCAACCGAAACAATGCCCAAAGACAACGTCACCATTATTAAGTAACCCCAAAACTCAGTATAAAAAGCAAAAAGCAACATCAAACAACTTACCTAGAGAATTCAATAACTTCGTGAACATGAGCCCGGAAGAACTCTAAGAATTGCTTGAATAAGAACAGTTTGTATCCTCAGGCTTGCTAGGCGAATCAAGCGGAACAATTGACCACGGAAGGTCAGCCGAATTGTGTTTACCCGGGCGCATAACAGGCCCTTTCCGGGGTAAGTAAGAATGAGAAGGCTAATGCAAATGAATAGCGGCCGTTGGATAGTCAGCATTCTCGAGCTTAGGCATCACAATCGTTACGATCTTATGCAGGAAAACGGGGGATTCTACGCCAATATGGAATTCGCGCAGATACGTCGAGTCGTCGCCTATTGTAGGAGGCATTATGGCGCAAGAGCAGAGGGCTATGGTGATCAGAATATTAAGAGTTACCGGTCACTTCAGGATTGGGTCATGATTCGCTGAAAGAGTGATTTCTGGAGTAACGTCTGCTCGAGATTGAGTCTTTTGGTTCGGAGTTAGGAATTGGGATATCAAACATGAACTGGTTCCTTCAATTTTTGAGCTTGTTTTGGGTGATGGGGAATTTTGAAGTTTGCATTGTTTTGTCTAGGTAACAGCTGTCAATTATAGGCTGTAGACTATACTTCTCGTATAAGCGAGGTTATTCGGAGTGGGAGAAATTGGCGTGGGGTGAAACGTGCCTGAGGCTGTCAGATCTCGGGTTCGTCGGTCAACTTGATCGTGTCTTCCATCTTTGTTCGCTGGATAGTATGTTCTAAGTCAATACCCAAGACGCTTGGACTATCGCGGCTGACAGAACCAAGACTAGTCACCGACGGCAAATGAAGTAGGGCATGTGATGGATATATATCTGGGCTGACACCCTTACTCGGGGCATAAGTCGGCACGTTGTGCGCCACCACGATCAGATACGGCTCTAACAAAGGCCGACCCCAGTGATCGGTCTCTTCAGTACCCGAGTCGTGAGAGAAAGAAAGCAAAATGGGCACCCCCACGACCCCGAGTTTCGGTTTGCCTCGGCAATGGCCGAAGGGAAAAGACACCCGTGTCCCCCGCATTTTCGGAAAGGAGGGAGATTGTAAACGATTGGTCTGGAGCAAACAACCTAGTCGACATGTGGCAAAGCTCACTCGCTATGAGCTTTGACTATTGTGGGGTGATCTCGATTTGACTTTTTGTGGCGGACGCGGAGACGTGGGGGAACACGGGGAAGCAGGAATAGATGACGAGGGCGTGGGGTGGGATGCCCTATATATCCCTTGCAGCTGGCCAAGAAGGATTACCCATTCACACGTCGCCCTTCACAATGGACAACACCATGTCCAAACCAGACGTTATCCACAATGAGACCGCCGAGCAGCAGAAGGGTGACAAGGCCGTGGACAACAGCGGTATCGAGCGTGTCCACATGACCGAGGAGGACAGCAAGCGCATTTGTCGAAAGACCGATAAGACTATTCTTGTTGTGCTTGTCTGGGTGTACTTCCTACAGATCCTCGACAAGACAGTCCTGGGCTACGGTGCGACTTTCGGTTTACAGGCGGATACGGGCTTGAAGGGCAATCAATACTCTCTCGTTGGATCCATTGGCCCCATTGCACAGCTGGCCTGGCAACCATTCTCGTCATATCTTATTGTTAAGGTCCCCCATAAGATCTTGATGCCGTCTCTGTGTCTTGGGTGGGGTATTGCGCAGACATGCATGGCTGCGTGCCACAACTTCAATGAACTTATGGCTGCTCGCTTCTTCCTTGGTCTGTTTGAAGCTGGATGTCTGCCTCTGTTTGGCGTTATTACCAGTCAATGGTATCGTCGTGCTGAGCAGCCGATCAGGATCGCTGCATGGTACAGTACCAATGGTCTGGCTACTATCATTGCTGCTGCTTTGTCGTACGGATTGGCACAAATCAAGTCAGATGTGTTGAAGGCGTGGCAAATGTAAGTTCCCCCTTTCCCCCGTGAGAGGGATAGTTCCTCATTCTAACTGTGGTTAGCATCTTCCTAGTCGTCGGCCTCATTACCGTCATCTCCGCCCCAATCGTCTACTGGCGCCTCGACAATGACATCGCAACTGCTCGCTTCCTAAACGAGAAAGAGAAAGCCCAGGGAGTGGAGCGTCTGAGGGCCAACCAAACTGGAGCAGGCAACACGGAATTCAAGCTGGGTCACGTCTACGAGGCCTGCCTCGAGCCTAAGACCTACCTATGGATCGCCATGGCCTTGCTCCTCAACATCGGCGCCAGCGTGACCAACATCTTCGGACCTCTCATTCTGAGTGGACTCGGTTACGACAAGTACAGAACTACCCTTCTTACCATGCCATTCGGCGCACTGCAATTCATCATCATCCTGCTGGCAAGTTATCTCGCCCAAAGAGCCCGCGTGAAGAGTGCTATTCTCGCGGGCTTCATGGTCCCAACGATAGCCGGCCTCGCAATCTTGTTCGCAGTTCCCAGAACCAAATCAGTGCAGGGCGAGTTGTTGGCCGGCTACTACCTGCTTGCATTCTTATTCGGTGGCAACCCCCTAATCGTGACATGGATCATCGGCAATACTGCAGGAACAACCAAGAAGTCTGTTATAATGAGTTTGTACAATGCCTCCAGTTCCGCAGGGAACATCATTGGTCCTTTATTGTTCAACGCGAAGGACAAACCCGCCTATACCCCGGGACTGCGCGCGTGCCTGGGAATTTTCAGTGCCCTAACTGCGATTGTCCTCATCCAGTGGGCTAACCTGTGGTTTCTCAACAAACAACAAGCACGCCGCCGTGTCCGAAATGGCAAGAAGGCTGAGATTGTTGACCACTCCATGCAAAACCATTACCATGGGATGGAGGAGGGTAACCAGGAAGAGGCTGGTCAGGAGACGGTCCAGGTTGGAGATAATGCCTTCCAGGATCTGACCGACCGTCAAAATGATGAATTTGTATATATCTATTAAGACCGACTTGAATAGCTCGCGCTCAGCCAGAGATGTGGCGGCGAATAATGAATGATACTCCTTGAAGCGCTTTAACAATCACGTCCCGATCACGCCTGTCAGCCACTGCTATTTAGGCAAAATTGCATGCACGAGTAACATAACGACATTAAGATACAGCCACGGAGAATTTAATTTATGATACTCCAGGGTTGTTCTATGCGATGTTGTAACGCGTTGACAAAGCAAACAAGCCAAACATGACCAGGGGTCAAATCTTACCAACACCTTGGCCAACGCTAGGCACTTTGATGCGGAACCAGAGTTCCAATCTAGGCAGGTTATAACTGATCATGATATGCATATGCATATGTCAGATGTTTTCTACAGACACTAGGATTTATAGTCTGTTGCCCTTTTTTGGGATCGACCTGCAATGGTGGGTCATGTGTCTCCTCCAAGATATCAAAGTGAGATCGGCTCGAATCTCGGCCATGTCTTGTACCGATCGTGAGACATTGGATGAAAGTTTGCCGGGCTTTAGCTATCATAATATTGGCAGCAAAGGCCCCAAAATTGCTGATGTCGCACGTGGTGGCCAACATACGAAACCAAACCAGGGGACCACCAAGGAACAAGGGATTATGCAACGCATTGCAATCCGGCCTGGGATATCTCCGAGTCTAAAATATGATGCTAGGAGGGTTGGACGTCAATACTACGATCTAGTGCCACCTCCAGGCACGAGCAGTCGGACTCGGAGTCGGTCTTGAGATTCAAACCGAGTCAAAAGCCGGAAACGCCACAGGTTCTACAGCCTGTTTCGCAGTCGTCAATTCTAATTTGTCCACTATATGTCAATAGTTCGTTTACAACACGAGGCAGGGACAGCCCAATCCACATGGCGGAAACATGGTGGACCCCCTTGTTCGAATCGTGATTTGTTTCGTTTCATACCACAAACCCAGCAAGGTACTCGGAGTCGGAACCAGCTGAATGATACTGACAGGATGATGCGAGAATCAATGCCCGAATATGTCACAATCCGACCACCATAGCGAGCATCGGAACCTTGATATGTACCGCTGCCCGTCCCTGGAGCTGGAGGGAGAATGTTGCGGAGCATTACTTGTCCCGATTGTCCATGATTCATAGTCTCTAGACTTTTCTTTGCATACTGACAGTCGCACAATTGGTCGTACCAGCCTGTGAAGAAGTCAGTCAAACCCTGCCAACACAATGACGGGTGATCGTGAACAAACTGGGGAGCCAATTGCCATTGTGGGAAGCGCCTGTCGCTTTCCTGGTGATGCAACAACACCATCGAAGCTGTGGGATCTGCTCAAGGACCCCCGTGACGTCTTGACTGAGATTCCGGAAAGGCGATTTAGCACCAAGGCCTTTTACCACCCTGATGGTCTGCACCATGGCACGACGAACGTCCGACACTCCTACCTCTTGTCCGACGACCACCGGCTGTTCGACGCCCAGTTCTTTGGAACGAAGCCAGTCGAAGCGAACTCGATTGATCCGCAGCAGAGGTTGCTGCTGGAGACGGTCTATGAGGGCTTGGAAGCTGCCGGTATCCCTATGGAGGGTCTCCAGGGATCCAACACCGCGGTTTATGTTGGACTGATGACAAACGACTATGCCGATATGCTAGGACGAGATGTCCAGAACTTTCCTACATACTTTGCCTCCGGAACTGCGCGCAGTATCCTGTCCAACCGAATCTCTTACTTCTTTGACTGGCGCGGCCCGTCCATGACCATCGACACAGCCTGCTCTTCTAGCTTGATTGCACTACACCAGGCCGTGCAAAGCCTGAGAAGTGGCGAGAGCAATGTCGCAATTGCCGCCGGAACCAATCTCCTCCTTGGACCTGAGCAGTACATTGCAGAGAGCAAGTTGAAGATGCTTTCTCCAACAGGGCGCTCGCGAATGTGGGACAAGGATGCTAATGGATACGCTCGTGGTGACGGTATCGCTGCCGTCATTCTCAAGCCATTGAGTGCTGCTCTGGCTGATGGTGATCACATCGAGTGTATCGTCCGGGAAACAGGTGCCAACCAAGATGGTCGCACGAAAGGAATCACCATGCCGAACCCTGTGGCTCAGGCGGATCTCATTCGGACGACATATGCTCGAGCTGGACTCGATCTTTCTAAACCCAGTGACCGACCGCAATACTTCGAAGCTCACGGAACCGGTATGTTTTGACGTATCTGGAAATAATCTCGTGGGGAATATTGCTAACAAGAGATAGGTACCCCTGCCGGTGACCCAGTCGAGGCCGAGGCCATCAGCACTGCTTTCTTCGGAAAGACCGCTAATTACCACCGGAAGAGTAGCCACGAAGACCCCTTGTATGTTGGATCTATCAAGACTGTCATCGGACACACCGAAGGTACAGCTGGCTTGGCGGCCGTTCTCAAGGCATCACTAGCATTGCAACATGCAGTGATCCCGCCAAACCTCTTGCTCAACGAGTTGAGTGCAACAGTGCGACCCTTCTACAATGACCTAGAGATTGCCCAGGCTGCCAAGCAATGGCCTAAACTCCCAGATAATACTCTCCGTCGTGCTAGTGTTAACAGTTTCGGCTTCGGCGGTGCAAATGCGCATGCCATTTTGGAAGAGTACAACCCGCGATTGATTGGATGTACCTCGAGTGAGGCCAAAACAGGAATTGTGTCCCCGTTCAATTTTTCTGCATCTTCTGAGAAATCGCTTCTCGGAAATGTGGCTGCATACTCGGCATATATCAAGAGTCACCCTGATATCAATTTGCGCGACCTCTCATGGACTCTGAACTGCCGCCGGTCCACATTGCCGGTGCGGCTCGCGGTCTCTGCATCGAACACCGAAGGCCTTGTTGCAAAACTAGATGATGCAGTGCAATCATCCACTGGTATTACACCAGCCACCCAGACAGCAACTATCCGTGAGCCGAAGATTCTTGGTGTGTTTACGGGTCAAGGTGCACAATGGGCTCGAATGGGCGCGGAGCTGCTTGAGAGTTCATCAATGGCACGGGAATGTCTTGCTCGTCTTGATCGCTCCCTACAGGAATTGCCCGTAGAGCATCGCCCAGAGTGGTCCTTGAGTGAAGAGCTTCTCAAAGACAAGAATTCTTCCCAAATTGGTCTGGCGACATTCTCACAGCCCCTGTGTACCGCTGTTCAGATTGTCCTAGTCCAACTTCTCCACGCCGCTAATATTAAGTTCAAGACTGTTGTCGGCCACTCATCTGGTGAAATTGCTGCAGCATACGTTGCAGGTTATCTCAATGAAGAGGATGCTATTCGGATTGCTTACTACCGCGGATGGTCCCTTCAGTATGCGAACGACAAGGAAGGACCGAAGGGTGCTATGATGGCTGCGGGTACATCCTTCGATGATGCCAAGGAGCTTTGCGAGATGCCCTCGCTAGAAGGTCGAATCTGCGTAGCGGCCAGCAACTCCGCCGCCAGTGTCACGCTCTCTGGCGATGCAGATGCGATTGACGAGGCCCAGGAAATTCTCGAAGACGAGAAGAAGTTTGCGCGCCTTTTGAAGGTCGATAAGGCATACCACTCTCACCACATGCTATCCTGTGCAGCACCCTACATTGCAGCAATCCGCAAGTGTGGCATAACTATTCAGTCTCGGCCCAGTGGCAGCCCTACATGGATCTCCAGTGTATATGGCGAGAATATCGACGACGTCCACGACAATCTTGCTGACACTTACTGGAGCAATAACATGGTCAATCCTGTTCTATTTTCCCAGGCAGTAACCTATGCCGTTGGTGCCGCCGGCCCATTTGACATGGCATTGGAGGTTGGACCTCACCCAGCGCTGAAGGGGCCCGCAATGCAAACTATCCAAGAAGTGTCTGGTCAATCATTACCCTACACGGGAACCTTGAACCGTGGCAAGAATGACCGGGAAGCCTTCGCATCCGCTCTTGGCGCCTTGTGGCTATCACTAGGAGAGAGCGTCGTGGACTTTGCCGGCTTCGAGAGCAAGGCCACACGGAACACTGAACAACCGGCATTGATCAAAGGACTTCCATCGTACTCGTGGGATCACGACCGAGTTTACTGGCACGAGTCTCGGTCTTCCATTGCTTTCCGCACTGAGAGTGAACTTTTCCATTCTCTGCTTGGTGTTAAATGCCCAGACGGAACCGACAAAGAGCTGCGCTGGCGCAACTACCTTCATCCCCGTGAAGTCTCTTGGCTGGCTCATCACCAAGTTCAGGGACAGATGGTGTTCCCTGCGGCCGGGTATATCTCAGCGGCAGTTGAGGCAGTCGCTCAGAAGTATGGTCTGCAGTCCGTGAAGCTGATCGACTTCCATGATGTGATCATTGGCCAAGCCTTGGTCCTCGAGGAGAATGGTGGAGTCGAGACCATTTTCAGACTCTCCATCGAGGAGGTCCGGAGTGATTCAGTGTCGGCGTCTTTTGCTTGTCATTCCAGCGCTAACAAGGGATCATCCAATATGTCCCTGCATGCATCTGCCTCACTGCAAATTATATTGGGCGATCCAAAAGATGATACTCTCCCCCCTCGACCGGAAACCCATGGAATCTTCCTCGAGTTGGAAGCTGACCGTTTCTACAACACAGTTTCTGAACTTGGGTTTGGCTATACGGGTCCCTTCCAGGCCCTCTCCGGCTTAAGCAGGAAGATGGACGAGGCCACAGGTCTCATTGCTGTCCCAGAAGTTGATGAACATGAGAGACCATTGATCATTCACCCGGGCTCACTCGACGGTGCCATCCAGTCGATCATGTTGGCTTATTGTTTCCCAGGAGACGGTCGTCTACGCACCCTCTACCTGCCTACTCGAATTGACAGGCTTCGTCTGAACCCTTCTGCTTGTGCTGCCCTCGCCGCGCCTGGGGCAACTATGCCGTTCTACTCCACAGTCACGGATGCCCGGTTTGCTGAGCTCTCTGGTGATGTTGATATTTTCTCCACAGACGGAGAACATACCTTGGTTCAACTTGAAGGGTTGCATACTACTCCGCTCAGTCCGTTGACACCTGCCAACGACGTTCCCTTCTTCACGGAGGTGATTTGGGATGTCGATGGGCCGACCGGCACCAAGGCCACTACAGAAGTGACACCGCAAGACCATATCCTGGGATTGGATCTTGAGCGCATCGCTCACTTCTACTTCAAGAAGATTTATAGTTCGATTTCCCGGTCGGAACGTGCGAAGGCCGCCTGGAACCATGTCCATCTTTTGTCTTATGCCCAGCATTGCATCTCTTCTGTTGCTTCTGGAAAGCACAAGATTGCAAAGGCCGAATGGGCTAACGATACATTAGATGATATCACTCCAATTTTGGACCGGTGGGGTCCCCTCTGCTAGCTTGTGAGCAAGCGCCAAAAGCTGCAACATATTAACCAACTTATAGTAACGCTGAGAGCATCGATGTCAAGGCTCTCTCTGCAATTGGCGAGAATCTACCTGCTATCATTCGCGGTGAGAAGAACCTGCTTGAAATTCTTATGCAAGATAACATGCTTGGTAGTTTCTATGCCAAAACTCTTGGAATTGATTTTTACCTTGGAGAAATTGCCCGCATGTCTAGTCAGATCAGCCACCGATATCCCCACCTGAACGTCCTAGAGATTGGTAAGTTTCTGTTCATGTCTGCGACCTTACTATGTACTGATAATTTGCAGGCGCTGGCGCTGGCGCCGCCACCGAGAGAGTTCTGCCTGCAATGGGCTCGGCGTTCACCTCCTACACATACTCTGATATTCTGGACAGCCAGTTCGATGATGTCCGTGAGAAATTCTCGGAGTACCAATCCAGGATGGCATTCAAGGTTCTGGACATTGAACAGGATATTATCGAACAGGGGTACGAAGCGGAATGCTTCGACCTGGTGATTGCTCCCTTGGCCCTTTACGCCACGAAGAATCTCGAGGCTACCCTCTCAAACGTTCGTAGGCTTATCAAGCCCGGTGGTTACCTGATCATGTTGGAGATCACAAACCCCGATGTTATGCGCTTCGGCCTCATTCTTGGTGGCCTACCTGGTTGGTGGCGGGGCCACGAGGACGGAAGAACACTATCCCCTTGTGTCAGTGAGAGCAAATGGGATCAGCTAATGCAAAAGGCAAAGTTCTCCGGATTGGAAGCTCTCGCGCCATCTTCCTCGACCTCCCTTCTGCCCTTCTCCGCCATGGCTACCCAGGCCGTCGACGGCCGCATCAACTACCTCCGTGACCCCTTGGCCCATATCCACCAACCACTCGGTGTTGACTCGTTGACAATTATTGGAGGGAAGACCCCATTGACTGCAGCCATGGCCGTTGACATCAAGACCGCAGTTAGTCGCCATTACGGCAACATCCATACTGCCAATTCCTTGAGCGATATTGTCTCCGCAGACCTGCCGGTTATGGGAACCGTCATCAGTTTGATCGAGCTTGATGAGCCGGTTCTCAAGAACATAACGCCCGAGAACCTTAACTCATTCCAGGAACTGTTCAAACGGAGCAAGAATGTACTCTGGCTGGGCCATGGAGCTCAAGGCGATAACCCGTACGGCAACATGTTCACTGGTGTTCAACGTACACTGCTCATGGAGATGACCCACCTCCACGTTCACTTCCTCAACCTTCATTCCTTGCGTGAAGCGGATGCAAAAACCATCGCAACAAAGCTCCTCCATCTAGAGGCTGCCGAAATTTGGGATCAGAGTGGCCAACTTGATGGAATTCTCTGGTCCAATGAGCGAGAAATCGCACTCCAAAACGGAAAGTTCCTGGTTCCTCGTTTCCGTCTCAACTCTTGCCGAAATGACAGATACAATTCTTCCAGGCGGCTCATAATTAAAGACGTTGAACGTGCCAAGTCCACTGTGACTATCCAGCAATCTGAAATGGGATATCAAATCGAAGAGAAGGATATTACATCTTCGCTATCTTTCCCCGATGGCGTCGAAATTCATGTTACACATTCTTTGCTTCGAGCTGTCCGCATCACCGAGACAGAGAGTCTGTTCTTGGTTGTTGGAAACAACGCTCGGACTAAGGAGCGAGTGGTTGCTCTGTCGCATACTTTGGAGTCTCCACTTCATGTGCCGCATAGTCTAGCAGTGCGTTGCGGAGATTCTCAAGAGCAAGCCATTAGTTCAATGCTCACCATCTATCTGCATTTCCTGTCTCTCTCCATGCTGCGGAAGCTTCAACCTGGCACGGCGTTGGCGGTTTTGGATCCCGACTACTCTCTGTCTCCAGTCATGACAAAGCATGCGAACGAAAGGGGCGTACAGCTGGTTCTTCTGACCACGAAGCAAGGTCCTTGCTCCTGGCCATGGATCCAAGTCCACCCGAACACCACCAGACGTGAACTGATCACCAAACTTCCTCGGAATATCGCCAGACTTGTCACAGTGGGGGGCAATGATGATGTGCTTTCGGTTCTCAAAGGGTGCCTACCGGCCATCTATCCGTTTGAGAATGAGACAACCCTTACTACGACTTCCTGCCAATCGCAACTCACTTCTGACATGGGTCAGTTGTCCATGCAGCTTCAGAATGTCTGGATGAGAGTGCAGTATGACTTGATGCCGGTGAACCTGCACAGGTTCGCATCTTTCAGTCTACAAGACCTCATTCGCACAAAAGAACCTCTGGCCGAGCAGTCCCTAATTGCCTGGGGTGAATCCAAGCTTGCTGTTCAAGTCCGCCCAGCCACCAGACAGGTGAAGTTCTCCAAGGACAAGACTTACTGGCTCGTTGGACTTACGGGTGGACTTGGTCTGTCTCTGTGTCAGTGGATGGCCAGACAGGGTGCACGGTATATCGCACTCTCAAGTCGTAACCCCAAGGTTGATGACCAGTGGTTGAAGAGGATGGCTACGGCCAGTTGCACTGTTCGTGTCTTTTCAAAGTAAGTTATTTTCTCTATGTCGGCTTTTCCTTCCTCGTGTCAGGAATGGACTGACAGCATTCAGTGACATCACAAACCGTGAATCTGTCCAGTCAACCTACCGCCAGATATGTGATAGCATGCCTCCAATCGCTGGTGTTGCACAAGGTGCTATGGTTCTCCAGGATACGATGTTCATTGACCTGGATCTTCCTCGCCTGGGCAAGGTCCTTCGCCCCAAGGTTGACGGTAGTATCCTGCTCGACGAGCTATTCCCAGAAAACACTTTGGACTTCATGGTCTTCTTCTCATCAATGGCTGCGATGACAGGAAACCCCGGACAGGTGGCGTATAACGCTGCCAACATGTTTATGGCAAGTTTAGCTGCACAACGCCGAAAGCGTGGCTTGGCAGGACATGCAATCAACATCGGTGCCATTGTCGGTAACGGGTATGTTACCCGAGAATTGAACATGGGCCAACAGTCATATCTGTACCGAGTTGGACATTCTTGGATGTCCGAGCAAGACTTCCACGAGGTATTTGCCGAGGGTGTTTTATCCTGCTTGGATCGTGTGGGTGCCGCCGAGTTGTGCTCTGGCCTTAGAATCGATGATGATGAGTCTAAGAGTTGGGTTTCCAACCCCATGTTCCAGCATTTGGTCTCCAAGTCGAGCAGCCTTGTTGTCTCTGACAAGAAGGGCAAATCTGGGATGTTGATCAAGACACGCCTGTTTGAGGCGACATCCATGCAGGAAGTGATGGAAATCTTGATAGGTACTGTGATCCGGAACTTGCTGCAATAAATTGAGAACTAACAGTATTCCGTGTAGACGGCTTTGTTTTGAAGCTCCAGTCCTCTCTTCAAGCTGATCCGTCTACTCCCATGTTAGACATGAGTCCAGATGAACTTGGTGTTGACTCTTTGGTCGCCGTTGACCTTCGCTCATGGTTCCTCAAGGAATTGGGAGTAGACATGCCGGTGCTGAAGATCTTCAATGCGGCATCGATTCGAGAGCTGCTTGCCACAGCTGCCGAGGTCCTTCCGGGGACATTGATTCCTAATCTCACCAACGGTGATCAGCCCCCTAAAGTTCCAGCGCACCAGCTCGCTCCTGTAGTGCCAGCCGCAAACATCACTACTGATATTTCCGAGGATGTCCGAACGCCAGATACAAACGAGACCCTCGAAGCCTTCAAGTTCGCAATTCCGGACACAGCAAACACGTATAGTGGCAGCTCAGCAGCTTCTTTGAATACCAGTGACTCCAATTCTGAAGATAATGCAGACACTTCTTCGTCAATTTCCACTGATGACAGTGAGATGGTGTCCCCAAGTCGCGAAATTCAAAGGACGGCCTCAATGTCTTATGGACAGTCACGGTTTTGGTTTCTGGGCCATTTAGTCAAGGATAAGACTGCTTTCAATATCACACCGACATTCGAATTGACTGGTCGGTTGAAGGTCAATGACTTTGCTAGAGCCATTGAGGCTGCTGGTCAGCATCACGAAGCCTTGCGTACATTCTTCTTCACTGATGACAAGCAAAACCATATGCAAGGTGTTTGGGCAAAGTCCAACTTGCGCTTGGAACAATTTGCAATTTCCAAAAAAAAGGAAGTCGAAGACGCCTCGAAGCAGATGAAGGCACATGAGTTTGACCTTGCCAGCGGTGAAATTATGCGTGTCCAGCTCCTTTCACTCAGCCCAGAAAAGCACTGGATGATCTTCGGTTTCCATCATATCAACATGGATGGGATCAGTTTTGAGGTGTTTTGGTCTGATGTTGAGAAGGCTTATCAGGGTATACCTCTTTCCCAGGACGGTATTCAATACCCCGATTTCACCATGAGGCAAATCCGCGAATATGAAGAGGGAGACTGGGCAGGTGAGCTGGCTTACTGGCGAGCACAGTATGTTGAAATCCCGCCAGCGATCCCTCTGCTCCCGTTCGCCCTTCAATCCGTCCGCCCCAAGGTTGCCCGGTTTGGATCGCATACTGCTCAAATGCGTCTTGATGCCAATACTTCCGAAGCGATTGAACGGTGCTGCCGAATGTTCAAGTCCACGCCTTTTCATTTCCATCTGGCGGTCTGGCAGATTCTACTCTTGCGCTTCTTTGATTCAGACGATATTTGTATTGGTCTGGGTGATGGAAACCGCACCGAGGCCGACATTCTGCGAAGTGTTGGATTGTTCTTGAACCTCCTTCCTGTTAAATTCTCCCAGCACCCAGGTCAATCCTTCGGAGAATCTCTGAAAGACGTTCGGAACATCACACAGGGCGCATTTGCGCATTCGCGTGTGCCATTTGATCTGATTCTGACGGAACTTGACGTTCCGCGATCCGCCTCCCACAATCCTCTTTGCCAGGCCATGTTCAACTACCGTCCTAAAATTGAGCAGTCCAGGAGTTTCTGCGGATGCCTTGCTGATGGTGCACTTTTGGGCGGTGGTGAGACTTCATTTGATCTCAGTCTGGATGTTGCCAATGTGGGCGCAGGCGAGACCCTCATTCACCTGTCTGTCCAGGAAATTCTCTATAGTATGGATCACGCTGAAATTCTACTTCGGTCTTACTCCAATCTGGTTCAATCTTTTCTGCAGAACCCAGCTACCCGAGTGACTTGGCCAGGTTTGTATTCGAAGGATGATGTTGAGGAAGCAGTGACTCTTGGACGAGGCAAGTCACATCACCCCTTCTGTGTACTTATCTAACCGTCTTACAGGACCCGAGCTTCGAGAGGAATGGCCGACCACTATTGTTCACCGCTTGGATGAGATGGTTAATCTCTATCCCAACCGCATCGCTTTGAAGAATCATGATGGAACTTCAATCACATACACCCAGGTCAAGCGTCGCGTCGATATGATTGCCAACGAGCTACTTAGCAACGGAGTGAGTCCTGGCACCCGTGTCGGGGTTCTCCAGGCTCCAAGCGCAGACTGGATTTGCTCTCTTATAGCCATTCTCCGTGTCGGTGGCGTCTACATTCCACTTGACAAGAAGGTAGGAATGGAAAGATTGGCAATGATCATGAAAGAAACCAATGCCCCCGTTGTTCTGCTTGATACCGCAACCATATCAGACTATGGCCTCTTGTACACAAAGGCCGAGCCGATTGATGTGCGTAACCTGCGCGAGTTTACTGCAACCTCTGTCTCCAATATGGCAGCACCAGATGATACCGCAGTCATCATGTATACCAGTGGATCCACCGGGATCCCCAAGGGTCTTATGATCTCCCATTCGGCATACATCCATCATGTCCAAGCATCTAGTGCAAAGTGGAATGTCAGGCAAGGAGACGAGACTATCCTGCATCAGTCATCCTACGCATGGGATGCGTCTCTGTGGCAGATCATGGTCTCGCTCTGCAATGGGGCAACACTCGTGATCGCATCCAGCCACGCAAGAGGTGATCCCGTTGCTCTCACCGAACTTATCGCTTCCGAAGATGTGACTCTCACCCTTGCAACTCCGACGGAATATCTCGCTTGGATGCAACACGGTCACTCCAACTTGACTAACTCCTGCTTGAGAACCGCTATCTGTGGAGGTGAATTTGTGTCAAGTGGCCTGATCGAGGAGTTCAAAGCGCTACAACAACCTGGACTGACGTTGATCAATGGCTACGGGCCGGCGGAGATTGCCATCGCCTGTTCTGGTACCCACATTCCATTGGATTCGACCGCTGCTTCTTCTGTGCAAGCCCTCTTTACATTGCCAAACTACTCCGTCTACATTGTTGACCAAAGCTTCAACCCTGTGCCGGTTGGAGTCCCTGGTGAAGTGGTTATTGGGGGCGCTGGAGTCGCCCAGGGCTACCTCGATAACGTGAAGACAAATGACCGCTTTGCACTTGATCGATATGCAAGCCCCTTTTTCAAGGAAAAACACTGGACAACAATCCATCGAAGTGGAGATCGCGGCAAGCTCACCCGGAGCGGTGGATTGGTACTCCTGGGGCGCATGGATGGTGATAATCAAATCAAGCTGAGAGGCATGCGGATCAACGTCGAGGAGATCGAGAAGGCAATTGTCAATTCTTCCGCCGGAGTTATTGCCCAGGCTGTGGTATCTGTCCGTTCCGATGCCGGGCACAGCTCGGATAAATTTCTCGTTGCCTTTGCTGTGATGACAGCTGCAGATAAGGCCGAAAACGCACTCAGATTCCTCAAGCGCCTTGCCCGGGAGCTACCTTTGCCACAGCATATGCGACCAGCTGCTCTAATCCCCATCGAGACTATTCCTCAGAATACCTCCGGCAAAACCGACCGCGCCGCGGTCAGCTTACTCCCCATTCCATCTATGGCATCCCAACATGTAAATGATGACACTCTCAAGGAATCTGAGCAGTCACTGCGCCAGCTTTGGAAACAGGCTCTTCCACGAGAGCTTGCCAGCTATCATTCAATTGAGGCCAAGTCAGACTTCTTTCATGTCGGTGGAACTTCGCTCGCCCTTGTTGATCTCCAAGCTCTGATAAAAGAACGCCTGGGGCTATCCATGGCTCTGCACCAACTTTTTGAGTCAAGCACACTCCGAGGCATGGCTGCAACCATTGAAGATTTGTCCTACCCCGGACAAGAGTTGGAAGTTGATTGGAAAACTGAAGTTGAGATTGATTCCAGTCTTGCTTTGTCTCTGAGCGGTGGGGCTACCCACATTATTCCCTCTGGTGTTAGAGTCGTGGTGCTTACCGGGGCTACTGGTTTCCTTGGCAAGGAGCTCCTCCGGTTGCTCTTGAATGACACCGACGTTGTCTCTATCCATTGTCTGGCTGTCAGAAAAGAATCCTCCGAGCTCCCAGAGATCTTCTCCCACCCGAAGGTTCATCTGCACAAGGGCAATTTGGGAGCTTCTCGGCTGGGACTCTCAAATTCTGATTCCAGCTCAATCTTTTCTTGTGCAGACATCGTGATTCACAATGGTGCCGATGTCTCATTCATGAAAAGCTACCAGACCCTCAAACTGATAAACGTGGCATCCACCAAGGAACTTGTCAAACTCGCCTTGCCTCGGCGTATTCCTTTCCACTTTGTCTCCACAGCCGGTGTCGCTCGTCTTGCTGGACAGGAGAGCTTCGGGGAATTGTCTGTGGCATCGTTCCCACCTCCATCAACCCCGAACGATGGGTACATTGCCGCGAAATGGGTGAGTGAGGTATATCTGGAGAACATCCAAAGACAATTCGGTCTTCCTGTGTGGATTCATCGTCCATCTAGCATCACTGGTGCCGATGCACCAGAGCTTGACCTGATGGGCAATGTCATTCAATACATCAAGGAAACCGGCAAAGTGCCGGACTCGAGCTCATGGTCTGGGGTCTTTGATCTCATATCTGTCGAATCTGTTGCGAGTCAACTTCTCGAGGCCGTGCACGAATCCAGTCTCAGTCATTCACAGGCAGTCAAATATTTGTATGAGTCTGGTGAGATGCAACTTGGACAGGAGGACATTATGCCCTTGATGGAATTGGGAACTGGCCAAGAGTTCCAGACTGTTACTATAGAAGAGTGGGTGACCTATGCCGAGCAAGCAGGAATGAGTCGATTGCTGGCAGCGTATCTCCGCACAGCATCGGATGGACAAGTGCTTCTTCCTAAATTGGTGAAAAGCACAGATGTTACTGGAAGTCATTGAAGAGGGTCCCCGGAATGATATGGCCAATTGAGCTATTGTCAAACACAAGAATGACAAAGGAAAGCAAGGATGTAATACTTCGAAGGCTATATAGAACCGAATTGAAGACGAATATAACTTGGATTCCAAATAGCTATCAATATGCCCTACGTACACATATCCAATACGAAGTGGTCCTTCCTTTCCAGATAACGCCAAATATCAAATTCTGTATCTTTTGCCATGAACGAGAGCATGTGGAGTCCATGGCCATAGTTCTGTATGATGCAACCCAAGTTGTTCTCCATGTTAGGTCTCTAGAATTATTTGGATATAATGGCGAGATATCTATGCGTAAGACGATGGGAGCCTATGACAAGGCCTCTACAAGATGATGGCAGACTGCCAGCCAAAATATCACGGCTCTAACACGTAGGACTTAGCAATATTTTCCTTGGCACCGCCTAAACGCCATCACCTGCAACTCAAGGTGGCTGGTTAAGAAAAAGCTTACTGGCTCGGAGTAATGAGTTCGACCGTGCTGACGGTTGCAACAGACAAGCATGGAGTCCAATTCCTCCGCACTGATTCCAGGATTATGATACCCTGACATCAATTGTTTTAGTCTCACCCAGCGGTCTACGTCTCATCTAGAGCATTCGATTACCAGATTTGCTTTTAGTCTGCAGTCTGTGCTGGTCATATTTGCGATTTCACGAATGGCTAAAAAGGTATGGGCAACAATTATAGTGAAAGCCCTTTTATGCCGCCGTTGGGTTGGCAAATCAAATCTCTGGTAGGCCGACGTTGCGAAGTACAAGCAATAAACTTGTTTTCACAATGGTAAGACCCTGCAACAACCACTGCGTCAGGTGTTTCCCTTTTGAATTAGACGAGCTAGATGTTGTATCTTGCATTGCCAAGCTTTGTCGTGTAAACATATCACAGGTTCGGCCAGACTGGAAGACGCTGCTCTCAACAAAGTGCATGCCCAGAAAAATGTCCGACTGATCACCTATATTTATAGTTCCCGGGAGTTTGTTTGCCATGCCCCGATCTATATAATTCGGTCCCCCAGATTGGAGGGCACCTTGGATCAGACATCCTCCCTTCAACTTCATGTATCGTTTATATCGCCAACCTTCATCTACTATGGCAATCCAATCGAACTTGCCCTCTACTCAGACGGGTATCATTCAACATGAAGGGGGACTGCTTCAAATCACTCCGGGTCTGCCTCTTGCAGAACTTGGGCCCCACCAAATGCTCGTGAAGACGGCTTCTGTTGCCTTGAATCCCTGTGATTTCAAAATGCCGTTGAGGTTTCCCACTCCAGGTCTCTGGGATGGCTGTGATTATGCTGGCACAGTAGTTGCGCTTGGTGTTGAGGCAGCAGCACAAGGCCGATTCAAGCTCGGCGATAGAGCTTTTGGGGCTGTTCAGGGATCAAACCTCTCAGATGCAATGTCTGGAGCCTACTGCGAGTATATTCGGACCGAGCCTGATCTTGCCTTTCATGTTCCAAGAGAAATGACACTCGAGAATGCGCCATCCATTTCTGGTACGGCAATCGCAACTCTCGGCGTTGCCCTGTTTTGGTCACTTCAAATCCCTGGAACTTTGGACACTCCAGCAGCCAAATCCGAAGATGTTCTGGTATATGGTGGCAGTAGCACTATTGGTCTTCTCGCCATCCAGATGGTCAAACTGTGAGCTTAAACCCTACAATATATATCTGGATAACCGTTGACATTATTTGTTTAGATGTGGCCACCGAGTCATTACCACTTGTTCCCCTCGCAACTTCGACCTGGTAAAATCCTATGGGGCAGATCTAGTATTTGATTATAGCTCTCCAACATGTGCGGAGTATATCCGAGCAGCTACCAAGAGTACCCTGCGCTATGTGCTCGACCCATTTGCGGAAGCAAAGACTCTGCGGTTGTGTCATGCAGCCATTGGTCGTACAGGTGGCCGGTACTGTGCTCTGGAACAGTATCAGGAGAGCCTTTGCTCACGCAAGACAATCAAGCACGAACTTGTCATGGGAGGTGCTATTTCTGGACGAGGTGTGGAGCTTCCAGACCCGTATGGCATTCCACCCCGACCTGAGATTGGAGTATGGGCTCGGTCCTGGTATCGAACGGTCCAGGGTCTCATTGATCAGGGAAGAATCAAACCCTGCCCATTTGAAACCATTCCTGGTGGATTTGAGGGTATTTTGAATGGGTTGGACATGCTCCGGAATGGAAAGGTTTCGGGGAAGAAACTTGTTGTGCCAATGGTACAGGAGAAGTAGTATAGCTCTTAGTGTCAGTGAAGTAGCGGAGTTAGGAATCTAAATATCTGAGGGCTCTTTGACTATTCTACATGCACATATCTAATGTCAAGCCCCAGCATCAGAGGTTCTGACCGTCAACCAACCCTCAGCCGTTATGCTTCAGATTCAAGAGAAGATTCGACAGAGTTATTTTAGAAGGCTCAGCGATGAAAAATCACCAAACACCGAGAAATTGAGATTATTTTCCGGGCAAGAAACTTCTCTTCGCGTTCCATGATCTAGTCTATGCGGCTACCTATTTCCAATAGCAACCAAGCTTCATACAGTCAAGTCTAATTCTCCAAGTGATAGACCATCCTAGCAATGACCTTGTCATTGCCCTTAGTGGTGCTGATGTTCCTGGTAAGATACTTGCTCCCCTCAATCTCCTCAAACCCCCAAATCACCTCAGCATCCCAACCCTTCGTGGAATTCTTTGCTAGTTCCTGAATCACTTCTTTGTTGATACTGAACTTCTCCAACTTTTCACGGATGACGTCCTCCAATATCCCAGAAGTGTTGATAAACTGCAAGCGCATCGTCAGGTCTCCGAAAATCGGCAGCGAAAGCTCCTGTGGGGTCCCATCAACAGGATACGTTCCTTCGCTGTCGAAATTCCCGGGGCTCACGACCTGTTTCAAGCGAAGCCTTGTAACTGGCTCGCTGGCGTCAGTCAGTCCTGGGCTGCCATCTGTTTCTCCTCCTGAGCTTGCATTGGACTTGGTTTGCCAGAGTTGTAATGACAATCGGGCATGTTTCAAGGCCTTGCGAACAATCCAAGGGACGCCTTGCTATTTTCTTGTGAGCGCTCAGCGGCCAGATCCCTTATACGGTGGAACTTACCAAAGCAAAGACATCCTCTGGATCAGTTGAGTACTTCCGGTTCTAAATATGATAGTCAATGCATGTTCTTTTAACATTTAAGTACTCCAGAGATCTTACCAGTATCCAAGTTCCGGTGATGTCGGGAAGATTCTTAGACTCAAGGGCAGACATAATTTCGTATCAAGTTCCAAGTTCTGAACAAATGCTGCGAGGGTATGTTCTACTGTGTTGGATAAATAGCTTTGCTTGTTAGACAGAAACGATCCTTTTAAGAGCGTTTGGCCTGGTAAATTAAATGCTGCGCACATGACATCCGAATTCAAATTGGACTCGGACTCGGTGTCGGAACTATGCAGGGCAACTTGGTGTTTCGGTTTTCACCAAATCAATTTCTGTCCAGATGTATAATCAGCTATAAGTCAGTCTACGTGTCCTCTAGGACTGATTGTTGTTAAATGGGCGGTCCGTGATAATACAGTATGTCGTTGGTCCGTTGGTGGCCCTATTTAGAAACAACATAGCAAAGAACCATCGTTATCAAGAGGACCCTGGCAAGATAGATGCATGGCCTGAAAATACTAACTGTGATTCATTGAATCAATTTAACTTGGTGCCACAACTGATTGAAAAGAAATACATTTGTGCTGCATACGCCCATAATCCAAATTTACAGCCGCTTAGTGGCCCAAAAGTTTGTTGATCTCTTGCACGAGCTCGTCGTTCTTCCCGTTGGCTTTGATAGGATCCAGACCCATAGCTACTCTGCCAGCTTCAGACTGGATGTCTCCAACCTGTGCTCTGTCAGAGAACTGGGACTCGCCAAGACCACCGGGGAAGTCTGGTGGGGGAACACCCTTCAAGAAAGCATCGCGTTGCTGAGCGACATATTGCTATGTGATGTTAGCGCCAATTTTGTATACGCTTGATTTGGATCATAATCATACCGCGTTGCTAGGGGTCAGCGGGACGGATGGAATATAGAACACACAAGCATCGTTCTTTCCTGTGTTCACAGTCTCCGTACCGTGAATTGTATCGGCACTCCAGAAGACTATAAAAGAAAGTTAGCATGGCTCGCTATATTCAATCAGCAATAGTCATACCGGTGTCACCTGGCTCAACAGTAGGGTACGGGATCATAGTTTCGCTGAGGTTGAGATGGGGATGGTGGTCAGGGGTATGCTCTTGGGCAGTTCCCGGGTTGGCACCATGCAGATAAATTTCGCCCTCTTCATCATCAAGGGAAAACTTCCATCCATCCAAGGAACCCTTGCGAGTAGGTTTGAAGAAGGGTCGAAGCATCCAGTAGGCAGTGCTGGGCTGCAGGATGGGATGGACCACAAGAGTACCTGGCATTACGAGCAATTAGCATTGGGCTAGCCTTATATGTAACAGCGACTTACCTTCCTGGGGTCCATGGCGAGACAGTCCGAGCCAGCTCTGGAAGGCTCGGAAGACAGAGCAACCTCCTGGTGCTTCATACATGTTCATGTTGGCGTCAAGACGGCCAGTCAGATCCCATGGGTTATACTCCCGCCACTGTCTTGATATTAGTTGACTATACTCGCAAAGTAATATGGCATACACATACCTTTCCTTGGAAGATCTTGCGGTAGACATGGTTGTAAGAGTTGTCTTCCCATCTCTCAACACCTCCACCATCAACGTGAGGTGGAAGCCCAAAGTGTTTATCACCAGGTGGACGGATTTGGACACGGTCACAATAGGTGAGCGGGACCGAGAGATCAACTAGTTCCGTCAGTGAAGTCCGGTACGTGTTCTCATTGCAGAGTGTCTTACTCTTCTGGTCTGCGTCGGCACGATAGAGTTGATTCATCCACGACTGCGTGGCGAGCATATTTGGGTGCGATCTCGCCTTGACTTGTGAAGGACTCCAGTAGGATTCGTAAATAACCTGAATCAAGTCACTATGAGTTCAGAAAGAACTGACAAAAACATATTACCTTCTTCTCCGTTTCAGAAGGGAAGCCTTTGAAAGCATGCCCATCAAAATATTGACGAACATCGGAGAGGAGGTCTTCAGCGACGCCTTTTGGCACAACTCCTCTGATGACGGCAACACCGGTGCGTCGAATGGCTTCAATATCGGCCGGAGCTACATTACCCGCTTGAATATCGGAAAAGTTTAGTTGAGGAATGATCTGACTTTATTAGTATGTAGTTTTCAATCAGGAATATGTGACGAACGTACAGCCTCTCGCTTGGTAGCGACTTCTTCAGTCCGGACTTTCAGACTCTCAACTAGATCGTCCCAAGACTTCTGAATCTCCTCTTCGAATCCCACAGTCAAGCTTCGCTTCAGGTCACGAAATCGATCGGGCAGTGGCGCGCTCTTCCTACCAGAGAAAGTTGAGAATACTGAGGAAATATCGCCCTCCTGTTTGTCCTTGCGAGTGAATGGTGCGTCAGTTGCGACAAGTCGCTTGGCTGTTTTCCCCGTGCATTTACCGGCGCGAAAGGTAGGACATTTGAGACACTTCGGTGAAACAAGTCTGTTCATTTTGAGAGTCTTGAGCACCTTGTTATGATTGATCAATTCGCACAGCTTAGCAACCCTGACATCTTGACTCTACCTTGAACTTATATAGCCTCTTTCTGAAATATTTCGGTGTAGAATCCGGTTGCCGCAAACGATTGACAGCCAGATTTGGTAACTCTCCGCAACAGCGGCCGATCCCAGTAAAGTAGGTTACCGGTACTCCGTAGAGTTGACTTGGATGCGGAGCAGCTTCGAGCAGGGCCCCGCGGGGAAATCTCAATCCTGGAGCGTAGGTCATAGACCGGTGAGGTTCACCAAAGATATGAATGGTCCTAGCAAGCGAGGTCGGAAGCAGTACCATTTACAGCTCTTAGACTATAAATGTGCATATATAAGCTTCATTTCATACCTAAATTCGGCGGCGTGGCCGGAAACCCCAATTAGGAAATCTAACCGCCATCCGGATGCACTTCTGCTCCTCAGTGGCGTTTAACAGGTTTGTATAGAGAACTATGGAAGTTTGGTGTCTTGAAGCCAGATTCCTTTCCCGTGCTTGATTTACCCCCTGCCACAATCGTATTGCTTCATAATTTAGTCCTTGCTCCTCAATTTCTTTACGCAGAGCTCGTTGACAACGAACCATTTGACAACCGTATTTCGCGCAGCATATGGCAACCAACGGGATGAAAACAACTTCGAATTGCAAACTCAAATTAATCCAGGCAATTTATAACTATGGAAGTCCATTAAATCAATTGTGCATGTACTTTTTTATGGCCTTTTTCCTAGCCAACCTATCTCTCTTCAATTTCGATCTCGGATGCATGATGACGAATGTATATGCACTGGTGCAACCAGACTATAGCCGTAATATTCATACTGACATGCCTAGATCAAAATCGACACCGCATTCCAATCTGTTTTCAACACGTTGTACGGGATGTCATCGAAATCGTCTTTCGCGCGTGCGTACTGGTCGAATTCTTCATCGCTACCTTGAAGCGCCTGATAAAATTTGTAGAGCATAGCTGTGGTTTTCTTTTCCACATCCGAAGGATTGGGCTTTTTACGACAAATGTCCCACTGCGAAAGAGCGTACGCGATCAGCGTTTCGTTTTCCTGGTTCGGTTTGAAGTTGAGGATGTATGGAACATGCGAAGCAAGAAGCCATTCATGAGTATGATTTATAGGCAGCGCTTTGACAAGGTCATCCTCGGTGTATCTGAGCAGGCTTTCCAGAGAGGTTGGAGGCTCAGCGAAAAGACAGGAAGGCTTATTGATCACAAAATCCTGGTAGTAGTCTTGTAGGTAATTCACAGCCGTGTGCTGGGGAGATGCGAGGTGAATACACATCGTCACGCAGTCGACCAGCTCTGTGAATGTGCCGATGGCCGGGAAGTGTTGCAAATCGGCACCGTCGGGAGACTGCATCTCTTTCGACCAATTCTGAATAGATGTGTCACCCTTGACTTGCTTATCAGCATCGGGCCCTGGGTAAGCCAGAGAAAGCATGCCTTCCACATAGTCCCTGATCTTCTTCCACATGCTGTTGATGCATCTAGCGTAGGTGTAGTTGTGAAACTTTGGGGTATCGAGTTGCTCTGGAGGAAACCCCCGTGCGCCGAGATCTGTTGGTACGTAGCTTCCCTCGAAGTCAAAGTTCCTGTATTCGTTCTGCATAAACTCAAGGGTTTCGTCTTGCTGAAACCCTATTATCGGGAGAATGACAGAGGGAACGAGAGTGCTCCGGGCAGCCCCATTTAGTGCCAGGGTTTTCTGCCAGTGCGGACGAAGTAGCCGAAACACAGCGTGCTCGGGTTCAAGTTGTCGGTTGGCGGCGACGATGATGGACTCTTCAACCAAATGAGTACGTGTAAGATGTGCAGTGACTTCATGCCGAAGCCAGTCACTAACTTGCACACATGTCTTGGCTATACCGAGACCGAAGAGTCAGCGCACAACGTAGGGAACGTATTTGGTGCGGGAGATTTACCATATCTCCAAGGCCAGTCATTAACCTCGTCGGTTACGGTCACCTTTGGGTCATGCTTTTCGCTTCCTGACCGGATATCTGTCCGCTTGAACAATTCCCGGTTGTAGATTGTCACGGAAGTCTCAAGACTGCCCCGCCAATCCGTGACAATAGCTAGTGGGTAAAGCTGGCCTTTTTCATTGAGAAAGAATAGGCACACCGACGCGCAACCATACCGATAGCTTCCTTTGTTGTTTTCGTCCTCACATTTTATGTCGGCAGCCGATTCCATACCAGCAGCCTTGCGAAAGTAGCTGTAATCCTGCATGTAAAAGGACTCTCGGCAGCTGGTACTGAGATCAGTGATGGTATTCTTAGCCACTGCATCATCGGATGTCTTTGCGGCTTGGATAAAGTGATCTATCCAATCATTTGAAGCCCGCTCAATTGTTGTAGGATTCGTCCCTGTAAAATGTTGTTGTGCAAATCGGGAATCGCTGTACCAATCTTTCAAATCGCCCACGTTGGGACGATTGAATATATCGTTGTGTCCAGACTTCTCGCGTTGCTGCTTATTATATTCCTCCACGTTTGCGAGCGTCTTCCCTGCGTCGGGTGTGCCTACACCACCATAAATCAACCTTGGCAGAATACCTTTCATGACCAAGAATAACTGAATCAGGCGTCCAAAATCAAAAATATGAGTTTGAGAGAGGGTTGATTCCTCGTCCTGGTCTGGCTCGTTCCCAGCTTTTACCCATTTCTTGTTTAGGCTAAGATTAAGATGGGGTGGAAAGCCGTCGGTTTCACTCTTTGTGAATTGAAAGAAGTCACGTTTATCTTCCAGGGCCAGAGTCGACGGAATCAAAGGTTGGACCTGGGCTACATCCATGAAGGACACATATCTGTCTAGCATATTAGCCAACTTGAAGGAGGAAAAGGGAAAAAATGATTTAGAAAAAGGGTTGGTGTAAGTACCGCTGTTCTATAAGATCGTAGAGCTTAGTGAGCGCGAGCTGAGTCCCCCGATATGTTCCCTTCTCAATCCTAGGAAGCGGCTCCTTTCCACGGAGGGTCCAAATTAGACTGTCGGGGTTTTTCTTGCAGGCTTCCTGTTCGTCGGGAGTCAAGTCAAGTTTCCCAGGCAGAATTGCAAGTTTCGCCAATTCATTGACGAGTGCACCAGAGTCCATGTCATTGATAACAGCGTCTTCGGGGTTTTTGGGCCATTTTCTTGGAGCGTCGGTATCACCAGGCCCGACGCCAACTGGGGTGAGATTTCGAACCATAATTGCTGGAACCAAGGGGCAATGTTTGGTAAATTTAGGTTAGACTCAAACGCGTGCTAGTCACTGGCATAAATATAGGACAGTATAAGATGGGATTAGCAGGGTTTAGATATGTCAAACCTACATTAGTAAGGTGATTTTATGAGTACTTTACTGCCTCGTGATGTCATGACAGTGATCGAAAACATCAACATAGATGCGTTATACTTCGTTGCTCTCGTATTCCACATTGCCCATTGACTTTAAGTTCGGTGGACATTTGTCCACTGCAAATACTAGAGTTCTGAGACCACTGGGGTGTTGGAGGAAATACTTGTGGATCTACTGTGGACCATGTTCGGAACGTCCTAGAACGGTCTGAACCATGACCGAAAGCTTAGGAGTGGCGATAGGATTGATGCAACTCGAGGTCATTGCATTGGCAGTGTATGACTCGTGCTATTGCCTGGGAAATGCAGACGCCGCAAATGGACCAATCAGCAATTCTTTCCGCGAAGCCCTCATAGCCTAGCCTATCGGGTCATCGACAAAGCTCGCTGCCCATCACTGGCTTTTGAATTATTATATTAATCGGTGTAATGGACTGTTAGTAGTCGTGCATACTCGGCTAAATCTACCACCCATGGTTTCTAGCATGGTTTCTAATACTAACAACGGTCGGAGAAAGTCTCATGGAAGAGGGAGGCATACTAGGGAAGGGCTATGCAATCTAAAGCAATGAGGTGAAGGGGAAAAGGCACCTCTGAGCGACCCCGCAGCTGCTATGAAATATTCATACATTCTGGACACAGCTATGTTTGATCAGTCGCAACTGGAATGTTTCTACATACCTTAAACCCACCAATCCCGGAACGTTAGCCACGGACCGTACCGAACCCGAAGCTGAATTTCCAGAAACAAATACAGAGAGACAGCAGAAATCTGCGTAGCAGGGAGGAGCGTTGGTATAAAAAAAGGCGTACTGATGGTCAAACACAAGTTGTTAGAATGGGAGGGGATTTGCGTGCCGATTTTAGCCGCACTTACTGATTTCTTGACCGAACAGAATGATGATGTACAGTACATGCTGAACGGACTGTTACATGACAGGGAGTGGGCGATCTATGTCTCATACTTGAAGTTGAACCATGACTTTCCATCCAGTAGCATCATGTGTCCTGCAACTTGCTCACCTCTCCTCAGTGACAATAATTGAGCACCGAAATAGAGAGGGAGCGCTAAGAAGTGACAGAGGCCTCAATGCAGGGAGATTCATCAGCATCCTACTTGACACTTTCTCTTCGACTATACACGTAGCTGAGATTTGCGCACTATCTCTATAAGTTTGTGTCCCAATGTCCCCAATGTAGCATAAATGTCGACCCGTTATATGAAGAAATCCGTTATTAAACTGGTCAATATCAAGAATAATTCATGCAAACATAGGAAATAGTAAATAAATATGTAGGCGAGCTCCAGCTACCCTACAATCAATGAAAAGCAGGATCCCGAGCAAGTTGCCGTAAGCATCTCATTAGATCCACCAAAGACATCTCATACGGATCTTGCTCCTGCGCCAAGACAAGATCTCGGATGGCGGTTGACCAGTTGCCTTCCCCAACTGCTGCAGGTAAGCGAATCTCTCTCTCTTCCTGGGTCTGATCATAGCTTGATGGCAACCCGAGAACCTCGTGGATCTGACCCATCATGCTAGAGCAGAGATCAACGAGAACTTGGACTTGAACAGCGAGATTGCCATCCGTGTGAAATTGTCCAAGTTGGAGTTTGGGTAATAGCAAATACATTTGCGCGTCGACAGGAGCGATGATGAGGAAGAGCTGATACAAACGCGTGAATATAGCACGGTAAAGGCGAACCAGATAGCAATGTGCTTCTAACACGCTCAGCCACACTGCAATATCGTGTATCGGACTTGGGGTGACCACAGTCCGATCCGGGGAAGATGTCATCGCTGTTTGGTAACTGGAATCATGGGATGATATTGTAGTCGCACATTCATCCAAGTTGGTGTCGCTGACGTCTTGAAATAGTAAACTTGAATTTGCAAGTCCCTGAGAGTGACTCTGCGTTGGTAACTTAGCAGGAGTCAAGTTGGACGTCTTAGGTACTCTGTGCAGAGACTGAATTATTTCAAAGAATCGGTACGAATGGTTGAGCATGCGATAGGTTGGAAGATCGAGCCGCGCGACGGATGGATTGAATAGGTCATTCAGAAGGGATTCGGATGCCAGCGCCACGGCGTCCGTTTCCAGCATCTCTAGGTCCTCGAGAAGCTCGATCTTCAACTTCAAAATCTCCTTCCGCATATTTCGGAAAGATGTGGGCATTTCTTGGGCGGGCACTCTAGGAAGACGTTCGGCCGGGTTTGGGAGGTTCTCAAGGTGGCCCCAAAAGGATTCAGGGACATCTTCTGTTCCAAGGAATGGTTCTGTTCCGGGATATATGGGTTGCTGGCTAGTTGATATGCTTTCGTTTCCGGCATCCATTGAGATATTAGTACCAAGAATCGGGGAGTAAAGAGATTCGTCACTACAATGATGTGTGAGCTCTGGCAAGGCAGTTTCAGGAGGAGGCTGTATTATTCTGAAGTTAGTAGCTGACCGATCAATAACATACTCAACATATCGACACACCACGTTATAATTCTCCTTAGACCAGCAAGGCTGCTGATGACCCCACGATTCGAAGGGAATTGGAAAGCCCCTTTGATCTAGCGGTATGCTCAAGGCTAGATCGCCGGGCGACGGAAAGGCGTTTACTCCGGAAACATATGACAGTAAAATCTGATCGTCGCAGCAGTTTGACTGTAGCGTATTGGGCATCCTTGAGTTCGTGGATGATGGCAGAACTAAGCTTGTCCCTTTCGCGCCGGATGAATTGGGAAGCATAGATATCAGATCAGGGCTATGGCCAAACAATTGACTCTCCCGATCTCTTTGAACAATGCTCTGATCATGGTTTGTTGGAAGGAAGACTGGTGCTGGGTGGCTTATGCTGGTGATACATGGCTGTTGAGCCTTGAGGCAACGTTCACAAGACATGCCATTAATATGGCCACGCTCACAACGCAGCTTCTGCCCGCGGCATTTATCACAAGCGGACCGCCGTGAGTGCCGATAGTTGAGAGTCGGGTGCATCTTGAAGCAAGAATATACCTGTTGTATGTTGATGATATGAAGGAAGATTGTCGTCAGTGATCGAGACCCCAGTCTCATATGTACTTTTGCTTATATCTAATCCAATAGAGATAGTCCTCAGGAACCGATCAGTTAGTTCAAATGCTATCTATCAGCGCATCCAAACAGACTTCAGGCTCGAGGAAAGGCAGTTCTATTGGAAATTAGGGCCCAGGGAATCGGTTAGGAAAGCGCGTGGATAGGTATCACTGCGTATATGCCCTTCCTTTGGAAACTTTTTGGAACACAAGCCTTGGTTATGTTGGACACGGTCATTCAGAGTGATTGGTTGTCTCTGCTTGATTTGGCATATTGTGCCTATGATATCCTCACTTTCGAGGTGAAAGTGTCTGAGCACTCGCACAACATGTGTATAGACGTGCGGATATGCAGACAAGAGCCCAGGGGGGATTTTCATCGCATCCATGACCCCAAAGCTGAGTTCCCATAGCCCTGGTACAAGGTGCATCACGATTCATGGAATCCGTTACACAGGAGCAAAGCCAGCGAAGTATGGAGGAGCATGTTGTCCTGGTACCACATATGATGACTTTGTCTCACATCGCCCTGGTGTCCCGGGCTCGGTGTCTGTTCGGCAGGTTCTACGGTAAAAGGCCCAAGGGGTTGAGGAAAACGCCTTTCGCCAACCGTCTATCCCGTGCAACCTTGAATTACTCGAGATGTACTTTAAATGGTTGGAGATTGTCGAAATGAATAGATTCAAAGTATACGGTGATCTCAGACACGTTTCAAGTGGATCACGCTAACCCATTCGTTAGCTATGAAACAAGTCACAGCGCCACGCTAGTAAGGCAAACTGTCTGCCCAAATGTCATGACCTTGCAGATACTACCGCATGAAGTCCCAGGAAGACCCGTTGGCGGGTATTTGGAATAGCGGAGCTCGTTGAACCCCGGGCCAGATTGAAGATTCGGAAAATTGCAGGCCACCTGGGCAGCCGAAATTCTTCCTGATTAACTGGTCTGGCTAAACGCGCCTCATTTTCTTTTCTTTTCCTTTCCCTCTTCCTTCCGTGTTCGTCTTTGCTCCTTTACTCTCTTTCGCCCGCTCTTTCGTTGCTGACCGTCACGAAGCGGAGAAAGCAGGAGATTGCAAACCTGACTACGCCCCTGGCCAGTGCTCAGCTATATTTAGAAGATTTGGAATGATCATCGAGCGGTTGGAGAATAGGTATGATATTTCGAGGGTAAGACCCTCGTCTAGAAATTTGCGCCTAGTCCATCCCCCAGCTCAGCTTCAGTCTAGCCAGATATTGTGGTCATGACAAGCAGAAGTACGCACTTGAATGTCTTTGGAGGCGGGGATACCCCGGGCTTGGAGATAGTGAAGTAGCGAATTCTGTCTGGTTAGCTCTGTCGGGTCGTCATTGTATGTACATTAATGAAAGCAGCAAAATAACAAAAAGAGAGCAAGAATCATGAAGAGGTTCTGCTTGTCGCGGGACTTTCATTCCACCCTTTGATCATGACACGAACACCTTGGCTTCCCTCTCTAGGGTGACCATTGAACATGTCGCGCACAATACGAACATCATCGATCGTAGTTTCGTACAGTTCCATCTCAAATTCACGGAAGATTGTGGCCACAGCCAAAAGAATCTCAGCCCGCGCGAGACTGGCCAATAAATGTTAGCTCGTATTCCAGGTCACACAGTCAGGGGAGCATCACGTACGGAATACCAATGCATTGTCTGGAGCCCTTGCTGAAGGCGACCATGTACCTTTCGAGGTACTTCCGCTGATCTGGATCCATCCAGCGCTCTGGGATGAAACTTTGCGAGTCCGGGAAGATGTCTTCATTATGGTGCATAAATATGCTTGTCATGCCAACAGGCGTCTATGTTGTATTGTTAGTGTAATGAATGATAGAGTCGCAGATGATATATTACTCCAGGTGGAATGACCCAGTCCTTGTATTTCATAGGATCAACTGGCGAGCTGCGCTGAAGCCTTGTCGAGATAGCGTTTGTGAGTCTATAGAACGGGTCAATAACAATGCACTTGGCAGCGTGCTGCTTCCAATAGCAAGACGACAGAGAGCTATTCATACCTTAGTCCCTCGAGCATAACCGATGTCTACTATTGTTAAAAATCGTCCGTTCTCGACCGATGGCATAAATTGGCACTTACCAAATAGGGCATTGTCTCATATTCCACCAAAGACGCCGTCCCATTAGGATCAAGGCGGTTCAATTCGTCGCGTAGCTTCTGCAGCTTGTCGGGATTATTCAAAAGATGAAAAGTGAGTGTCGTCAAATTCTTCGCAGTCGTTTCTCCGCCCGCGGAGATGACCGTGAAAATCTCCTGGCTTAGGCGACTAGCTGATTTCTCCTCCGCAGGAAGCTTGCTGTCCAGCAGCGCATGGAACAATGTGTCTTTTGGCAGACCGGACTTTTTATCCGTCGAGTTGGCACTGGATTTTTCACTGTCGATGATCAAGTTTGCCAGCCGGAGACTTTCTACCTTCTGGTCGATAACCGGGCCAATGTCCGGGTTGAGGCTAACAACTAGCCACCGTGGAAGCAATTCGAAAAAACCTATGACCCAGCGGAATTGCTTCAGCTGTACACCCATCTGGACAATTGACTGGATTGTCTTAGACCATTGTGGGGTGAACTCAGGGTCATCTAGATAGTGGAATGACTCGCCCATGGAATACTCCACAACCACATCTGTAGTGAAGGCATTGAACGCATGATACATATGCAGAGGTGTGTTCCTTTCTTTCCAGGCCTTCATTCCCTTGCGCAGCTTATCCATCATTCCACGAAGCATTGGCTCAAGGTGTCGGATCCGTTGCTGGGAGAAGAATGGGTTCATGGGTTGTCGGCGTATGCGATGACGACGGTGATCGACAGAACCGAAGGCAGAGTCTGGTGCTCCAAACATGCCGGTCAGGTGTACTGATTTGTTGCGAGGCTTGTCTCGAGAGTACAAAACGTCGTAGTACTCTGGGTCGTCAATGTGTAGTTCATAAGGACTGATCCTCACAATCGGGCCATATTTTCGGTGCATTTTGCCGATTTCGAACGTATATTGACCACCAAGATATGAATCGTAGTAGAACTCGTACCACATGGTCAATGCAGCCAGCTTAGGTCCTGGGAAATGAGCGATTGGTGACAGGTACAGCCGATATACGGCCAGGGAAAGCAGATAGCCCGCTCCAACCACGCCGAGGGCGAGGCATGGTTGCGCGACAACGAGATGCCACCACGTCATGTTCCGAAATTCCAGTTGCGAGCAAGGGTGAAGAAATCCAAAAAAAAAAAACACCCCAGCTTCGCCCTAGAGGGCTCCTTTTGTGTGCTGTGGTTGTGGGGCCACTCCTGTCAGAAAACAGTGAAGAAAGACATGATGCGACATAATGCAACTAGACCAAATAGATACACAAGCGTGATTGGAACCCATGATGTCGGGACTCTCTTGCGTTGGACTTGTGAGCTTTTGGAAGGAGAGCGAGGGAACCTCTGGGGCGCCGTGCATGAGAAATAATATCTTCAACCTATCGCGGGACATCCGTTGGAGGAGAAGTGGCTTATAAAAGCGACGCTAAATTGCCCGTGGGTCTGGAAAATCCTGTCCAGAGCACCGGGATCGTCTCGAGTCATCCATAGAAGATATCCGTATTTGGCATCCCGTCCCAAAAAGTTATTTTATGTGCACGGGGACTGAGTGGAACCATCACAGGCTCATCGGTGAATACGAGGACAAAGCGTAGTGATCTTTTATGGGAACATAAGACACAACCGAGTCATGTTGTACTATTGTCAACCAGGATACTCGCGTTCAACCGTAATAGTTACCCTTTAACATATCTGAAGGACCTAAATGATGCGGAGGTGCAAGGATTGTGATTAAAGCCAAGGCTTTATTTCCCCATTAGGAATAGTAATAAGACGTCAAAGTACCCGCACAAAGCCGTTGTTTATTCATAATTTTCTTCATGATTCAGGAGACTCAATCCCCTGATGCGGTAGCATTTTGAGGAGGCACGTTCAACACCCGCGTGAAAAGGGTATAAAACTATGAATTCTGTCAATAGGGAGATCGACCATTTGAGTTTCCCTATCGTGTTCGAGCGGGAATTTTATCCCTCTTTTATCCCTCTTTTATCCCTCTCTACTCAAATCATGTTCCCGACAAGCTGGGTCAGGCTGTGGCATGACGCCGAGGTTCATTTTGCCAAGCGTCTGGGCCCGCGATAACGTTATACAGTATTTTGTTACTCCTCTGGTTCATATATGGAGTAGTCGGCATTGAATAGATTTATACTCAACATGTTCGCGACATGACAAACCGCATGTTCCGACTGTCTGGGTCCTGGTTGAGGTCTGCAGGGCCATCACACTGCAGGGTGGGGGCGGGGGCTGGCAGACCTCATGGGCTGAACAAGCCATCATCTGAGAGCCATGTCGTCCAAACTCGATCCTTCGGCATTAAAGTATGCCTTGTTTCTGTGTTGCGGTCGGTCGGTTGCCTCACACGAGCAAGGCGCATCTTGCCCACTAGCAGTCCTGGACCAGGCCGGTAAGTGATTAGCCTCGATGCAGCCAATGCACGCTCTGACGTCCTGTAGAATCGCCTGATTTTGAGGAACAACTGCGGTCAGAGGCACCCGCTGAGAGCAAAGGACATAGCCCTCTGCATGTTATGTATGCTTTTTCCTCCTGACTTTGCTGGCTTCTGTTGATCCGTGTCAGACTGTTGAGCCCTGAAGCGGGGTCGTTCCCCGGGGACTTGGAGGTCAATTCTCTCTTTGAGGAATATTGGGATATCAATCTTGAATCCGTGGCTCTTTTGGCTTCGCCGTTGGTGTCTGGTTATCACAGTCGATGTGTTGACATCAAAGGCCGACCGTGCCTTGGTCGGTACCCCTTTCCCCAATATTGAAAGTGAGTATTGTGGGCTCACGAAGACAGAAATATGCTATAATGTCTCAGAGTCACTATCATATGTAGCGAACAACACCAGTCCCCTTGATAGTACCCCAACCATCAGTTCACGAGGCCCGACCGACATGGTGCTGCATCATCAGCCTGAGCCTATTTACTTCCGCCATGATATAACGACAGGTCACAGTGTTTATATGTTCCTCCAGGCAAAAAGCGACCTCCGCAATTTGGTACATGGCCTTTATGAAGGCCTCCGACAATCCGAGCCTTGTTCCTGTACGAACAGCAGCACCTGCAGATGCAAGGGAGACTCAAGCCTGCATCCACTGGCCTTACATTCCGCGATATTATTCTACATCCTCTCAACGCGATCAACCGAGCTCGACAATCTTGTCAAATGGCTCCTATGGATCGAAACACAGCTTCACCAAGGCTCGCTCTTCGAGATAACCGACTCCGATCGCTTCTCGAAATACGTCCAACTGCTACACAAAATGTCTCGGAACCTAATCACACTCGAACACAATAACCAGCGGGACACATCAAACATCGACCATCTATTACAGGACCATACACGACTCGGTCGGCTAGCGAAGCGTTACAACGGCGGTGCAAACATAAAAAACAGAGTCCACGACCGTGTTCGAGATGATCTCCTCGCTCTACGTGACTTCTGCGAGGACAGACATCGCCGTATTCTCAACCTCCGTCAACGGACTAACAACTTTATCACGCTTCTCTATAACCTAATTACAGGGCATGATAGCACGGTCAATTTGCGCATAGCTACCCAAAGCGCGAGCATAGCGCGCGAAGCACGTAAAGACAGTATGTCTATGAAGATCATTGCGGCCGTGACATTGATTTACCTCCCTGCCACATTCGTGTGTAGCTTGTTCGGGACGAACTTGGTCGCTTTTGATACGTCTCCTGGTTCAACTCGGTCTGACTTTGTCGTTTCCCGGTGGTGGTGGCTTTATCTTGCTTTTGCTGTACCGTTGACTGTGTTGACTATATTTGGGTTTTGGCTGTGGCGGCGATTTCGGGAGACGCCAAGAGTGAGAGAGAAGAAGTATACTGACTAGGGTGAGAAATTGTTTGAGTAAGGTCTTCTGTTGCTGCAATGGGGGGTTATAACGAGGTGGTGTGGGTGAGGGTAGGGACATGTCAATATGGTTTAGGGTCATTATGACATCCTAAGGGCTATTTTCACTCTCAAGTCATAGATAACTCATCACATTCTTCGTTACTATTGCATTAATTTTGCTTCGAATTGCGGTTGTACTTTGGTCATTAGCCACTTGATCGTCAACATGTCAACCGAGACGAGATGCGCGCCGAGGTCCGAATGCGGGGAACACATCATATAGATAGCCTGGCCGAGTACAATCGTCCATAAAGCATTGCCATCATGAATTTCGAGCTCCCAACCGAGCTTAAAGCTCACCTAGAGTCTATAGATTCGTTTATCCATTCAAATATCCTGCCGCTGCAGCATGCTGATGACAATGATCGGTTCTTCGATCACCGTCGTGAATATGCACGAACTGACTGGGATAACAACGGGAATCCACGACAGGAATGGGAAGAGCTGTTAGGTAAGTAGAACAATATCGGTAGTGGCTCCAGGCTGATTAGGCTAGGTGAGGCGAGGAACCGAGCCGATGCCGCTGGTCTCTACCGATTCGCATTGCCTCGAGTATACGGCGGCCAGTCACATCCAGACACCAACTTGTGGATGTCAGCTATCCGATATCACCTATCCTCACACCCAGTATACGGCGGTGGCCTAGGACTAGCCAATGACTTACAAAACGAGCACAGCATCGTGGGGAATTTCCCCGACGTATTAATGCTTCACCATTTTGGGAACGAACACCAAAGGCAAACCCTCATTCCAGCACGTCTGAAAGGAGAGTTCCGAACAACATTCGGCCTAACAGAACCCGACCACGGAAGTGATGCAACATACATGTCCACAACAGCCCGCCAGACCCGAGGCGGGTTTGAAATCACGGGGGCAAAAAAGTGGCAGACAGGCGCGCACCACTGCACGCATTTTCTCATTTTCGCCCGGACCTCCGGCCAAGCAGGATCTGCACGAGGGATCACGGCTTTCCTGGTTCCCCGTGACACGGCAGGACTTCGCATTGCCAGCTACGAGTGGACGCTCAATATGCCCACTGACCACGCAACCGTCGAGCTGGACCAGGTGTGGGTGCCCGAGACGGCGGTTTTGGGATCCGTTAACCAGGGACTAGCCATTGCGCAGACTTTCGTGCATGAGAATAGAATTCGTCAAGCGGCCAGCTCATGCGGGGCTGCGCGGTACTGTCTGGATCGGAGCATTGAACGCGCCCGGTCACGCAAGATATGGGGCGAGGGGAAGACTTTGGCTGATAATCAGGCTATTCAGTTCCCGGTGGTTGAGCTTATGACCCAGGTTGAGATGCTGCGACTGTTTATCTTCAAGACGAGCTGGGAGATGGATCGTGTTGTGGCTGAATGTCAGTCGTCGGGAAAACGACCATGGGTAGAGATTGAGCGCCGACTGAGTGATCAAGTTGCCATGTGTAACTTCTGGGCGAACCGACTGTGTTGTCAGGCTGCCGACCGGGCCATTCAGGTATGCTGGCATTCTCAGATAGTTCACGGATAAGACACGACTGACCGATTAGATACACGGGGGCGATGGGTATTCTCGACACTACCCTTTTGAGCATATATATCGTCACTTCCGTCGGTACCGCATCACTGAAGGGGCAGAGGAGATTCAGATGCGGAAAATTGGCGCGTATATATTTGGATTCGCAGGCCCAAAGAAGAAAGACATCGCTGATGAGCACTCCAAAGCCAAAATCTGACCCCTGAACTAAATAGCCAGGTATCGAGGTCAATCTAGGCTGGTTTGACACTTTGTCTTCTGTAGTTAGCATTCAAATGGAACTTGAACCAGAGGATGAAACATGTTCGTTTCAGAACCCCCTGCATATGCGTCAAGGAATGTAAGAATGTTGAAGGCTTGCGGCCTAACGTTGCAGGCAACACTATGACATGACTATTGAATTAATTCACTTATTGTTTCTCGCCTTCATACACTCGATTGCGAAGTGTTGAGCCCCTGTAGAGTGATATACATCTTAGTCCCAATGGCAGGTAGCCTTATAGACCCACTCATGGAAAATTCTGGCGTTCTATCAAACATTTAAGCTTAAGTCTGCAGGCTGATCTTAAGGGCTACCATACGTCGACATGTCGATATGACAGTATTTAGCTATGTAATTTAGAGAGAAACAGCAAGTAAATGCCAATATCAACCACCAATATATCGTCAAGTCCTTCCTTTCCGGATCGTTCGACTTTTTACCTAAGAAATATTCTCCACGCCTCCGAGCCCCACTCTTCAAGCGAAAACGGAAATTCGACCTTGAATGAAAAATTTCAACGTCTGCTCTTTCTTAATAACTCGACTGTTTTCTATTGTCAATCCATCGCATTTGCGGTGCTTTGAGACACATAATTGTGGTAGTCCGACATGGCTTCCAACGACGCCTCCACCGGCGACATCAAGAGCTCTGCGAACGAGATATCAACCGAGCCTAAAAATGCCTTCCAAGATACCAAGCAAGCGGACGCCGAGCAAAGCTATCCCGAGGCTAACCCCGGAGAGCTGAAGCGCAAACTGAAGAGCCGGCATCTTCAGATGATTGCTATCGGTATGTCTCTCGTCTCGCCTCTCACAAGCAACGTGCTAACCATATCCAGGTGGAACAATCGGAACAGGTACACAGCCATTTTGAGCTCAAAAATAGCTTAATCTAACTTGCTCCAGGACTCTTCATCTCCAGTGGCACTGCAATCGCATACTCCGGACCCGCAGGTGCATTGATCGCCTATATCTTCGTCGGCTCCATAGTATACTCGGTCATGAGCTCCCTCGGCGAAGTCGCAACATACATCCCAATCCCCGGTGCCTTCACCTCATATGCAGCGCGCCTAATAGACCCCAGTCTTGGTTTCTCTATGGGCTGGATCTACTGGTTCAACTGGGCATCCACCTTTGCGGTCGAATTAACCGCCACCGGTACCATCATTCAGTACTGGAATGCAGATTTGAATATTGCAATTTTCATCGGAGTATTCTGGGTTTTCATTACTGCTTTGAACTTCCTTCCCGTCAATTTCTACGGCGAATTGGAATTCTGGTTCTCGACTATCAAGGTGGCAACCGTCATCGGGTTTATGATCTTTGCCATTTGCATCGATGTCGGTGTCGGAGAGCAGGGCTACATCGGCTTCAAATACTGGCACAACCCAGGAGCATTTGCTACGTATATGATCGATGCCCCGGAATCCATCGGCAAGTTCGTTGGCTTCTGGGCTGTCCTTATCCAGGCTGGCTTTTCCTACCAAGGCACTGAGCTTGTTGGTGTCGCGGCCGGCGAGACTGAAAACCCTCAGAAGACTGTGCCCTCGGCCATCCGCAAGACTTTCGTCCGCATCCTTCTCTTCTTCGTTCTGACCATCTTCTTCATCGGCCTGCTCGTCCCATACGATAACAGCCGACTCGCCACCGCCAAAACGAACGCCTCCTCCTCACCTATGGTCATCGCAGCCGATCTAGCTGGAGTCAAGATCCTCCCCAGCTTGATCAACGCCGTCCTTCTAAGCGTGGTCTTATCTGCCGCAAACTCAAACGTATATAGCGGCAGTCGAGTCCTAACTGGATTGGCCTACGAAGGCTTCGCCCCGGCCTGCTTCGGCTGGGTCACTAAGCACGGTGTCCCATACATCAGCGTGGCATTCACTGCTCTATTCGGTCTGCTGGGTTTCATGAACGTTTCCAACGACGCCGGCCAAGTCTTCAACTGGCTCGTCAACCTCTCCAGTGTTGCCGGGTTTGTGACATGGGCTTGCATCAACGCTTCTCACATCGCATTCATGCGCGCATTGTCTGCCCGTAACATTTCTCGCGATACCCTTCCCTACAAGGCCGTCCTCCAGCCCTACCTTGCCTGGTACGGCCTCTTCTTCAACATCCTCATCGCCCTGACCCAGGGTTTCACGGCTTTCATCCCGACTTTCAATGTCTCCGACTTCTTTGTCGCTTATATCTGCCCTATCGTCTTTGTTGTGTTGTACGCCGGACACAAGATCATCTTCCGTCCTGCGTTTGTTCGTTCGGCCGAGGCTGATCTTGATACTGGTCGTCTTCACTACGAGAAGGTAACGGGACCTCCGAAGCCCTGGTACTGGAGGGTCTGGGGATGGATTACCAAGTAAGCCGGACACACATCTCGAATCTGACTATCCGCGGGGACATGTGCAATTATTTCTCATTAGCGCAAAGCACAGTTGCCAAGTGAAGTGGTATATATGTAGCATATCTTTTTTTTCACATATATTGACGAATTGTCTCACAAAACCAACCCTATTTATCACCCAGTTCAACCTGTCTCAAGCAGAAAATAAACCCAACTTATATAGAACAACTCCCGTTCACGACATGTTCGGTGTGCACAATAGGCACAGTTCACACAGTTATATCCACTTGAAGTGACGCGCCACAACACAGATCCCACCCGTCAGCGCAGTGGCGCCGGTGCAGACAACCAGTGTACCGTAGCCACTCCCATAGGCACCATATGCATGTCCGCGCCAGTTGTCTGCTTTGAGGAGAGCCTCGCTTAGCGGACCACTGGCGACATTGCCGATTCCACGGCCAGTCTCCATGAATGGGAAGATGACCGTTGCGTCTGCGGCGGGGTTGGCGCGTTGTACTTCGTTGGAAACACCCGCCCACGTAGACGAGAAACCGCCCGCGAGGAGGCCGTAAGCAATGCAGAATATGTATAAGGGCGCGATGGAAGTGGCAAAGCCCCAAAGGAAAAAGACGGCTAGGACGGTGCCGACAGTCGAGATCAAGATACATGTTGTGATATGATACCGGTCTGAAAGGAATCCCATGCACACGGAGCCGAATACAGTGGTCAGGTTGACCAGGGTCACGGTGAGCGAGGCCATAAAGTCATTGGCTCCGAGGCTGCGTGCGAATGTGGGGAGGTAGATTGTCGGTAAGAAGAATCCAACTGCTTCCAGGGTGTTTCCGAGTTGGTAAACGATAAAAGTCTTGTCGTATAAGAAATGGAAGTTAAGTCTGTGGTACGCAACCTCAGTCATGGGGATTCTGGGTCGGTGGAAGTAGAGAAAAGGCGCGGCGAGAATGAATAGAGTCACTGCTGAGATGCGGAGTGTTGCTTCTATTCCATACTGGTCAAGTAGCCATTGTATAGCGAGTGGGAAAATGATACCCGATAAACCGGACCCGGCCTGAAAACATAGTTAGCTTTATTCGGTATAGAATGATTGCAACGCAATAGATCACTCACCCAGACAATTCCAAAGGCAAGGCCTTTTCGCTTGGCAAACCACTCTGACATGAACAAGATTGTGGGGGTGTATGCTAAGCAACCACCAGTGCCAAAGCCAATTCCCTGTGACAAGATGAGGTGCGTCACACTGGTGGAAAAAGAGCTCATTGCTAAAGAGAAGCACATAATGCAAACGCCAGCTGTAGATACCCACCGAGCAAATGAAGGCACCAAAATCATGAAAATGATTGCCGCTGGAGCGAGGAGATACGCGATGCCCTACATCACGTATTAATTACATCCAGTGCCATCCGCAATTCCGTGACGACTCACCATGGCACAAGTTCCAATAACAGCAATATGCCCCGACCCTTCAAATGGCGGATGTGAACTGTAGTAGTCCTGGAAGATTCCAAATGCAAAAGCGTAACCTGCTAATTTATCAACTCCCATCCAAAACATGCAATAGCATCAGCTTACATACCCCATACTAAAGACTCAAGCATTGCAGAAGCTATAAGAAATAGCCATGCTTGTGTACCTCCATCAACAGGAGGTAACTTCTCGTCATCCGTGATAATCCTGCTGTCGGACTGTTGATCTGATGGAAGAAAGTCTGTACTCCGACTAGTAAAACTGGGAGGATAGTCCTTGGCTTCCATGATGCTCAGTTTCCCAGACAATTAATAGGAAGATGTTTCAGTTGAAAATGTAGTGTGTCGAAAAACACGGTCGAACCTCCCTTGAAGAAGGGGTCTGTCGCAGGCAATGATTAAAAAATAAAGCTAGGGCAGGAGCTTATAGGAAAAATAAGCTAATCAGAGCTATCGGCATGACGAAATAAATTTTTCTGACAAGATTCCTTCCAATAAGCTAGTGCAAGGCACATACCTGGAATTCAGGCGGACTTTGGTCCCAACAATGTGATCCTAACTCCTTAGAGGTGCCATTTCAGTAAGGTTTCGCCAGGTCATGTGTGCAACAGTATCTCATTGGTGAGACTGTGATCTTAATTCGATGGATTGCAGGCGTCAATGTTGAACTGAAAGTGCACCTCATATATGAGGTACATGGTGCCCGCGGTCCATCATGATGAAACCACTTCATTTTCCCTAGTTTACACTGCCGATCGGCAGCGTTATCTGCTCCAGCAATGATCCAGGGAAAATACCAACAGCCTTGTCATGGCTTGACCAGTTTTGCGGGTGCACGAACCGCCCCGCTCGGGGTATTAACTAGGAAATGGAATGTTGATCGGGCTACTGCATAGCAGAACTGGTGCTCTCGGAGACTTATCTGCTGATAACCCGGTATTATTGGCAGATGCAAGTCCCAAAGGGGAATATCTCATGCCCAAAGGGTGAGAGAATCGTGCCCTTGGTGGTTGAAGCTCAAGCAAGCCCATAGAGCAGGGGTAAAGCGTCATGTTGAAACTTGGAATGGATCTTGAGCTCCCTTATCTGTGAATGCAGATATTTCGATTAGGTCCTTTTTTGGTAAGACTTTTCCCCGGTAATGTCACAGGGCCTGGGGAGTTGCTCTCTGTAAGAGGGGAGCTGTTCACAATGACATTCTTGTCAGTGGAGCTAATGCAAGCTTAACCAGTCAGCCTACCGGACGATTCATCCACACCCTCTGAGGCTTTCATGCTGTCATATTATTCAAGGACATATGCCCATCAATTCCTGAAACCCCTGCTGGCCACGGTCATGCATCTCCTGGGTCGGCGGATTCTTGTTTTATCCAATATCCTGCATGAACACGCGTCGAATAATGACTGTACTACCGGAGGAAAAAGACCCGGTTTGAATAACTGACGCTCTTTGGAAAAGGATGACTTGAGGGGATGCTCATGTCGTCCGGACCATGGCGCGTGTGATGATTATTGCCTGATTTGGGGTGCTAAGTCATACCAAGATGGCCTTGGAGCCTTGTGGCCTTAGAAATGGGGAACGAATATCAAGTTTGTTCTGTTTGCATTTTCTATACCAGCTCGCTCGTCAAACGAACATGTTGGACGTTATCAGATCAGATAGCTATCTTGCAGGACTGTACAATTCTGGCTCGCTTAGCAGCTTGCACCGCTTGGGATGTTGGAACAAGAGCCACTTGTCTTTCCACCGGTGACACTGACACCTTTCCACGTCCAGTTAGAGCATGCACCTTTGGCGCAGAGAATATAAATGTTCGTTGCACTGCTTTTCACGGTGCCTGTCACACCATCCAGAGTTAGACCGGTAATTGGCACGCCATCCGTAGGGGTTCCAGTGGGACTGCCGTTCTCGTAGTCTTGCTCGAGCACAATGCCGTACTTTGCGATCCCGGAAAGCGTAATGCCCTTGTAAGTGACGTTGTTGACGGAGCCAGTTGCTCCATAGACTGTCTTGATTCGTACACCTGTTTGAGTTAGTGTTAGTGAGATTGACAATTTTTTTCAGCACTCGCCTCTTATGTTCACATACCATTGTCAGAGTCCTTGATGACCGAGTTTTCGATGTGCACGTTGTCAACTATGTTGTCACTTCGCCCTCCGACAGACCCAATGGAAAGTCCATGACCTCCCGAGCAGAGACCTCCGGTGAAAGTGATATCCTAGTCCACATTAGCGACTGGTCTATTTTATTGTGTGTTTAGTCAATACCGTTCCAGAATTAACCGCCAGACAATCATCCTGATTGTAGACAGTTGCACCGGTGATAGTAATACCCGAACTTGATCCCACATCAAAGGCATCGGTGTTGTGGCCACCCTCGACATCGCCGTCGCTGTTATCAATGGTGATACCACTCAAGGTGAGATCCTTTGCTCCATTAATACTAAAAACCTGGACTGGAGAGTTGATGATCTTGATATCACTGATGGTGGAAGAAAACATTTTATGGGCATAGAAGAACTTCGGCTTCGTCTTGCCACCGTTCGAGCCCTTTCCATCCCACCAGCGACTTCCGTCTCCATTCAGAGTCGCTCCCGATGCACCTTTGACGGTAATATCTGTTCCGGAGACTGAGACAAGAGGACCCGACCACTCTTTGTAGCCGAAGGTTGTTTCGCCCTCAAAAATGACCTAGATGAGAAATTGTATTGGCAGCGTCCTTCGTACCAGGGATATAGGTCACTCTACCGTTGTTCCATCTTTCAGGCCGGTCAGGTCCAAGGTAGTCCCCGACGGGACCGCCACTGCGGACAGCACAATGGTAGAACAGGCGGTCTTCGACTTGCTAGCTGAGGAAGCACCATTCGATCCAGAGAAGGTGCAAGTGGTCGCTCTTTCTTCCAACTTTGCTGGTGCCGTCACCTGGGGTACCGCTGGCTCTGGGAGAGCATTTGCAATGGCCCCCAAAAAGCCAAGAATGTAGAGGCTTTTGCCTGCAATCATAATGAACCACAAGATCTTGGTGAATCGATACTCAGAGTAACAAAGCTCAATGCAAGTCGTGATAGTCTGCTATGGACATCCAAGCAGCCCACGGTTCATTTTATACTTTCCGTCTTCAGCCTTACACCTCCTCCCGCTTCGCTTCTTCAGGAGACATTGCCAAGCCGCTCCTAATTCAGTGAGGACATCGGTCCGTCCCAGACCCTGCATAACTTCTTCATCTTTCAGGGCCATGTTTCGACTTTGAATGGAGGAGCATCGCTGGCCCAGGGACAGAAGCAATTGCCACGAATCGGGAGCGGCTGGAACCCGCCTGCGCGATTTCATTCGTGGACAAACAAGTGAAATTAAGCTTCCTGTCGGACGCCACTGTGTATCACCCGGGTGGGATGCCATATTTCCCCGGATATTAGCTGAGTTGATGCACAATGCTGTCAGCCAGCGCAATTTATCCGTAGATGTGGAGTGGACCCTGGGGTACATGTATACTTGTTCCTGCGGTTTACCCCTTTCGAGATATGATTGCAGCGGCATAAGCGTAAATTGTAGAATGATTGAAGGCTAACGCTGTATTTTCAATTTGGACAATGTTTGGTCACCTAAGGATCTCTCTTACACGGTCACTGAGTGGTGGATTGGGAAATTCGCGGTCCGCTCCAGCGTTCTGACCAGATATATATAGCAAGGACAGACCAAAATACGAACACCAAGCGTAACTTTCCCTGCCGTTCAATTTTATCATTTCACCATTTTGGACATATGAAGAATTCAGCATAACAGTTGGATAATCGATGAATTCAATGTAAATCGAGTGCCAAATTATTGTGTACCATTGTAAACATGCTAACTGCGGAGCGGGCTTCGTATAGCGTAGAGAAATTTGTAAATTGCAGATACCTGTCTCGCGCAGTTTGAATGGTATAATGGTGCTAATGCATTTACCACCGACTTGTATTTTCTGAATGCCAATGCTAATGTATAAGCGCGAGATCAGAAGAAAAGGTCGGATAAATGCAGTCACCGACACGAGGCCGGATCCTAGACATGAATACCTCCTAGACCTAGGTTGACCCCAAAGACTCAATGCGTGGTCGTACAGAATACAATGATAAACGTGTTCGTATTTGCCAACCCTTAGTCCACGGCCAGCTACTAAACAGGCGTCGGTAGAATTCCTAACTAATTAGCATGATGGCATAGAATGTTGGAACCCACTGTGACGATTGACCACAAATATGCAGATGCAGATGTAAATTATCTCGATGGGTGTGACTTGGTTAAAGTTCTGGGCCCGGCAATGGCATAAAGCTGCAAGTGCCGATCGAAAATTTTTGAGGACCCAAAAATCCAGTTATTCTTTTCACTTGGTGTAGATTCGCACATTGTTAGGGATCGCCATGACCCGCTGATAATGAATTATGAATGTCTTTTTCACAGAGCCTAGGAGGTTATTGAGAAATGTCAAAATTGAATCAATACAGAATACAAAATACAGACTACGAATACTCCACCAGCCGCGGCCCGCGGTCGCCGAAAGCCAAGTATATAGATGCTCGGCTTGCCGAAGAGGTATCCGATCGGACTCCACTCGTCACGCAAGCATCAGATGTTTCTTATCGGACCCAAATTATGCAGACCTTTCACAGTTTGGTATTTTAGTTATTTTAAAAAGCTTCNCCCCCCGGTTATGAGCTTATTCCCGCTAGAATCCCCCCATGGCAAAGGATACGGAAAGTGATGCTGTCAAAGCAGCGCTCCCACGCCGGATACCACACTGGCGGATCTTAACAGACCAGGGCGTGGTGACCCCTGAAATCGTCGACTATCCATATGTTGGTTCCGGCACAGAAGGAGACCCTTATGTCGTCGAATGGATCCCCAACGACCCGCGCAATCCTATGGAGTTCAACACGACTCTGAAATGGATGTATACCGTTACCGTCGCTTTTGCCACATTCGCCGTATCACTATCATCATCCGCTTACGCTGGTAGTATCAATGAAGTGGTCACCGATCTCGATACGAGCGAGGAAGTGGCTACTTTGGGAGTCTCAATGTTCGTGATTGGATTTGCTGTCGGGCCCTTGCTTTGGGCGCCACTCTGTGAACTCATCGGTCGCCAACTCGTCTTTCTGATAACATTTCTTGCGCTTTCAGTCTTCTGTGCGGGTGCAGCAGGCTCGCAGAACATCTGGACCTTGATTATTCTCCGCTTTTTCGCTGGTTCCTTCGGCTCATCGCCTCTCACAAATGCCGGCGGTGTCATTGCTGATATCTTCACCGCTGAACATCGAGGTCTAGCGACGAGCTTGTTCGCTGGTGCCCCGTTCCTAGGTCCAACAATGGGTCCTGTGATCGGAGGATTCCTAGGTGAAAATGCCGGCTGGCAATGGGTCCAAGGATTCCTGGCAGTATTCACCGGTCTGATCTGGATGGTTGAGAGCCTCCTAATCCCGGAAACATATGCCCCAGTACTCCTAGCCAAACGGGCGCAAAGACTATCTGCCATCACGGGCAAAGTCTACCGCAGCAAAGTCGAGATTCAGCGCGGCCGAGTATCACCACGAGACGCATTCACCACAGCCCTCGGACGCCCATGGATCCTCCTATTCTCAGAACCCATCGTCCTCCTCCTATCCCTCTACATGGCCATCGTCTACGGCACGCTATACATGCTCTTCGACGCATTCCCAATCATCTTCCAAGAAATCCGCGGCTGGAGCGAAGGAGTCGGAAGTCTCCCGTTCCTAGCGGTAATGATTGGAATGATGGCCGCGGTAGGCGTAAACATGTACGACAACAAACGCTACGTGAAAATCCACAAAGCACACAACGGCTTCGCACCACCCGAAGCACGCCTCCCACCCACAATGTGGGGAGGTCTCGCCATTCCCATCGGGCTATTCTGGTTCGCATGGACGAATTCCGCATCAATACCGTGGATTGTATGTGTGCTTGCAACCGCGCCGTTTGGATTTGGAATGGTGTTTGTCTTCTTGGGGATCATGAACTATCTCATTGATGCGTACACCATCTATGCTGCTTCTGTGCTGGCCGCCAACTCGATTATTCGGTCGTGTTTTGGTGCTGGGTTCCCGCTGTTTACGACATATATGTATCACAATCTTGGGATTCACTGGGCGTCGTGCGTGCCTGCCTTTTTGGCGCTTGCTTGTTGTCCGTTCCCTTTTATCTTTTATCGTTATGGTCCTGCTATTCGTCGGAAGTGCAGGTATGCGGCTGAGGCTGATGATTTCATGCGTACTTTGGCGAGGAAGGCGAATGTGAAAGGTCACAATGATGAGAAGAAAGATGAGATAGTGGCCGAGGCTGTTGTGGATGGGACTCAGGCTCCAGAGGCGATGACTGATGCTGATGCTGCGTCGCTCTCTTCTCAGTCGTCTTTGGAGCGGACTGGGACTTACGAGGCTAATCCTTATGATATTGACCGCGTGAACACTCGCAACTCTGCTATCACTCAGCGGTCGCAGTCGGGCAACGGCTGGAAATTGTTTTGGCGCAAATGAGAACACCATTTTTCATTGTGAATGATGAACTGGGTTGCGGATAAAAAACTATTTGATCGCCCTCCTTTGCTGGAGATTTGAAAGGGCACAGACATGAACTTTGTCTTCATTTATAATACCCCAGCCCTATACTATGTATATAATGTTAATAAAAATTACAGATAATCGTTTGATATCGAGCATATTGATTCATGGGTCATTATCATTGAACTTATATAAAGTCATCATCAAAAAACACCTCTTCCAGCTATCAACAAGCCAGCCTAAAAGTCCGCCGCATCAGGCAACCTCTCAGGGGTATCATCCCGGAATTTATTAGTGATCAGCCCACCGAAAGAAGGCGACCAATCAACACGAGGCGAAAGACTCTCAAGCCCCCAAAGCTCCTGCACAAACTTGATAATAGAAGTATGAGTAAACTCATTGCCCGAACCAGGCGCATGCTGAACAACACCCTTAGAAACCCAAGGCGAGATCAAAACCGTCGGCACGCGAACCCCCAGCCGATCGAAGTGGAACGTATACTGCTCGCCGTCTCCGGCAGCTTCAGTATAAGTCAAGCTATCGCCAGCGGGAACATCTGTGGGCGGCGAGACGTGGTCTGCGAAACCGCCGTGTTCATCCCAGGTTAGGATGAATAGGGTCTCGTTCCACTGCGGGGAGTTGCGGACAGCTTCGTAGATGCCCTTGACGAAGTTCTCGCCCATGTTGATTGGGGAGGGCGGGTGCATGGACATGTAGTTGCAGCATTCTGGGTTGATCCATGTGAACTGGGGGAGGTTTCCTGCTTTGGCGTCTGTGTAGAATTGGTCGATTGGGAGGATGTTGTCTTTTGCGTTCTTTGCTGTCCAGTCGTAGAAGAGGGCATCTGGTAAGAAGGCAGGGCTGGACTGTGTTGAGTTTTCGTAATTCTTCCATGTGATGCCCTTTTCTGAGAGCTGTTCGAAGATGGACTTTTGAGGCAGGGCGGATTTGAGGAAATCGTCGTCGTTTTTGCCGTGGCCGTGGGATGTGCCTGAGGTTAGATAGGCACGGTTGGGGTTTGTTGGGCCTGGGACGGCGGCGAACCAGCGATCGAAGAGGACGTAGTTTTGTGCGAGGGAGTTGAAGACTGGGATGTGGTCTGGTGTGAAGTAGTTGATTGCTTCTGCTGCCCGGGCCAGGTCATCCTTGGGGTAGGAGGCGCGCTGCTCGCTGATGAACCCGTTCATGCCGGGCTTGGCCTTTGAGACGGGGTGATAGGTGCCGAATACTTGCATGTTACCACCTGAGATGCTGTGGTTGGGGTCGTCGGATGCGATATTCTTCGCAATAGGGTTGGCGCAGACTTGGGGTGAGTCTGGCAAAGAAACATTGGCCGGGTTACAGTATTGAGGGTGCTGCGGGCCATCGATGCTAGAATCATAGTCCAGACCGCCAGCGAAGTGGTCAAAGGAGAGATTTTCTTGCACCAAGACGACAATGTTCTTGATATTGCTGGAACCCGACGAGGCGGGCAGCGCAGCGGCGCCGAGACTTAGGGCTGTGAGCAACAAAGAACGCGCCATGTTTGAGTTGGAAAATTTAGAATCGAAGAATCGGCCATTATAAGTATTTCGTTTCCCGTGCAGCTACCCCCAGCATCCTCTCAGATGCTCCTTTGGCCGCATGTGCAGCATGGTCCAACTACAATATGCAAGAGCAGCACGCTGTCGATCATCAACAGCCCTGGATCCCCCGCGTCGGTGCATGGGCCGCGGGCTAATTTTTATTGGCCGAACGACCCCCCTGTCTCCGAGCCACGATTTTAGGAAGATCAGATGTTCTTATCTTCTTCTTCTTACTGAGCAGAAATGAACATCTGATGTTTGTGAAATGTTCAGAGGGGGTGGTTGAAAACACCCCGTGTTCTGTGCTTGATTTGCAGCATTAACCGTCTTAAACTTATGAAAATTTCTACGCCTTCCAAGGTTTGCTTGATGCAGGTTGTACGGTGAGTCGGTAAGACCAGCATTAGCTCAGGCCAGGGTCCATTTAGTCCTCTTGGCTGAACCAGGTTTTGCCCTTCGGACTTTCGAGGTACTTCACGTCACAAAGAATCACCGACATACAGTTCAATAGTTTCAGACAATACGTCATAATACTGGTTCCCTAACTTATCTGTTGCAACCGAAAACATTTCCCCGCATGACTTGTATGCTTCTTGATTACTATGTCGCAGGCATGAAGCGCTGTCCAAGGAATATCTATACTGTGATCATGATTTCCAAGAGATGATCTGGTCCTATGACTGCCGAATTTCCTTTTGAAATTCGTCTGAATACCACCCTCGGGGCTAAGCGATCTATTTTATATGTCATAAGATCACAACTCTCGTGGACGAAATCGGGTTGACTCGGTGAGTGGGGAAAGTCCATATGAAGTTTAGACGGTCGCGGGGTATTTTATAGGGAAGGTCATCGGATCAACTTCATATTTGGAGTTCTTTGAACTGCGCCGATATCAGCCTCGGAGAAAACAGATGAAAAGTTCTTGTAAGTGGACTACAAAATAACGATGCCTAACGGGCGAAGTAAGACGTAAAATTATAAACATAGCCTCCCGAGCCTATGGCCTCACTAAACGAACGGACCAATAAGATCTTCGGAAAAATTAGGCTGCTTTTTAACTATTATAGAAGACATCAGTTGGTGCTGAATTCAGTCAATCAGCTCGTTCACTGTTGGTCCCCAATCTTGGCTGGATTTGGCTCCATCTCACCCTATGCCTGGACTTGAGATCGCCGTCGGGTTGATTGGTTGGTGGTTCTTCAGAAATTGTGAAGTATACGATTCGCAAAAATAGAATCAAATCATCGAGTTGGAGATATATAAATCCAGTGTAGAATGGCCTCTAGAAGGAACATTATCAACTCACACTTCAGAGCTATTCGATCATGGCCCCGACCGCGACTACCTCGCCAGCATCGGCTACGGCCACCTCCACAGCATCTGTAACCTGTATTAGCGTTGCTCCTGGAAAGAATGGATACCTTCCACCAGAGTCTTGCGATGCCCTTCTCTACTATGTTCCATCGTTCGCGGCCGCCATCTTATTCTGTGTCCTATATGGGTTGACCACCATCATGCACACCATCCAAGCATTTATCTACAAAAAGGTTCACTCGATTCCCATCAAAGCATCACCGGAACGGTAGCTGACTTTCCTGTAAGCCATACGCCTGGGTAATAAGCATGGGTTCAGCCTGGGAGCTAGTAGCCTTTATCTTCCGAGCCCTTCAAACACGGCATCAGAACAATGAGAACTATGCTACCATTTACACCATCTTCTTCCTACTAGCACCGATCTGTGAGAACCATACCCCGATCCCAATTACCCATCACTCTACATATTCTAACATAACCCGCTCAAGGGATCAACGCCTTCCTATACATGACCCTCGGCCGCATTATCTACTTCTACCTCCCCCAACGCAAGCTAGCAGGCATCTCCGCCCAACGCTACGGCATAATATTCGTCACCCTGGACATAATCGCCTTCCTAGTCCAACTGGCAGGTGCCTCACTAACAAGCAATACCGGCACGGAAACAAAAACCGTCCTGCTCGGTTTGCACATCTACATGGGCGGCATTGGCATGCAGGAATTCTTCATCCTTTGCTTTTCGGGGCTAGCGATCCAGTTACATCGAATCATACTTCATATGGAGAGAGATGGGGTGCTTGGTTTGGAGAAGCTTCAGCAGGGTGCGTTCTCCTGGCGGTGGTTGTTCTATTCGGTTTATTTTGCGCTGGGGATGATCACTGTAAGTGTACCGGGAACTTTGTCTCTATGTATCAGACCAAATTCTAACTTTCACTTTCTGTTGCAGATTCGTATTATCTTTCGTATTGGACAGTATGCGCAGGGAACATCGACCAAAAACCCGGTTCTCACGCATGAGGAGTATGAATACGTGTTTGATGCCTTGCCCATGTTGTTCGGATTGATAGCCTTGAACATATTTCACCCCGGTCGCATTCTTCAGGGGCCGGACTCGAGCTTCCCGAAGAAAAGTCGAACGGAGAAGAAAGAGTTGAAGGCACAGAAAAAGGCAATTAAGATGGAGAAGAAGATGGAGAAGAAGAGGCTGAAGCAGAATGCTCGTTCGCCGATCGAATTGGAAAACGAGCAATTCAATGAGCCTCTAGATGAACGGGCTTATATGCCGGAGAACGTTGGTTCGGGGCGATTCTACAATGTCTGATGGGATATGATTTAGTTTAGTGGTTAGCATAGACGGGTGCGCTTAGTTGGTTAAACGGCAATATGGATATATTTGATGCCTCAGAGCTCAGGCCACAGAGCGATACTCTCTTCCCAATCGAGTAATCTGAAGCGCACACCGCGAGGCGTTGCCAAATGAGGGGGTTCTGCGCTCTCCCCACCATCGTGCATTTTTCCGAGGTCCATTCGCCGTATTTTCTTAGTCACTGCCAAGGCTTCATGTAAGGTTGTAGGTTGTGCATTCCAACTCGGTGCATGGTTGGGCAAATATGAGCCAAGTGATCCTTCGCAAAGAAGAACCACTGTCTACATACTGCCTAGTCTGCAAAGAAGCTTAGTTCTCATACGCAACACATAAGATCTGAAGATAAATAAAAGTTCTCAAAACATCAATTTTAAACAGAGATGTACAAGAATATGCAAAATATATATACGTATCCAGCTCGAACAAAACAGGCCGGCATGCCCATACCCAGCCCAATCTATAGCCATTACCAAAACATCAAACATGAAACCATCACAAAATCAAAGCTCAACAAACTCACCCCGAAGCAGCTCATCAGCCTTAATCTGCTCCAGATAACCTGCAACCTTAGTAGTCATCGTCTCAATCTCATACCCAAAGAACTTGTACGCAGCCTTGCCGGGCAAACTGTGACCGAACCGTGTGATATGGATGCCAGCATCCGCATACCGCTCCCAGCCGTTAGGAGCATAGGGCTCGATAACGACAGCGGGTATACCGCGGTGTCGGCGCAGAGTATCACGCTTGTACTGGAGAGACTGCTTCTCAAACAAGCGCTGGCAAGGGAAGCTGATAACACGGGCAGTGATACCCTTCTGTGCCTTGAGTTGCTCGGCAACTTCCAATGCGAAGGAAAGCTCGGCGCCGACACCGATGAGAGTGACCGAAGCTGATTCGTCCTCTGACAGGACATATGCGCCAAGGGCGACGCTGTCGCGGCGGGTTTGGGAGAGCTGAGGCAAAGTCTGACGGGAGGTAGAGATGATACTGGGAGTGTTCTTAGCTCCGATGGCGGCGAGCCATGCGCCGGCTGTTTCTTCGCTGTCGCCGGGGCGGATGTAGAGCAGGTTTGGCATGGCGCGGTAGAGGTTGGCTAGCTCGATTGGCTGGTGGGTTGGTCCGTCTTCGCCCATGCCGATTGAGTCATGTGTGGCGACGTGAATGATCTGGAGGTGTTGGAGGGCGCCCATGCGTACTGCGGGAGCGGCGTATAGGTAGAACATGAAGAAGGTGGAGGTTACTGGGATGATGGTGTTGGGGGAGTATGCTGCCAGACCGTTTGAGACGGCGGCCATGGCATGCTCGCGCACACCATAGTGAATATAGCGGCCGGTATAGTTGCCGTTGATGCCGCAGTTTGTACGGAGGTCGGGCTATAGATATATCGTCAGTAAGAGTCTCGGTATAGCAATATTGGGTTCCACTTACATGCTGGAAGTCGACCTTGCCAGGCCAGATCATGTTCACTGATGGCGAGAGATCTGCAGTGCCGACCATGAAAGAGTTCACATCTTTAGCGATAGGGTTGAAAACCAGACCGGACGCAGCACGAGTAGCAGTGGGCTTGTCTGGGAAGCTGGCCGGGATCTTCTCCTGCCAGTTCGCAGGAAGCTCGCCACGAACACGAGACTGAAACTCAGCTCCAAGTTCGGGATACTGAGCAGAGTAGTCCTTCACCAGCTGGTCCCATTCCTGGACCCATCGCTCTCCACGCTCGGGCAGGCCCTGGAAGAACCGGCGCACAGTGTCACCAATGACAAAGTGCTCCTCCGGGTCGAAGCCATACGCGGTCTTCATATCGACAATGCTCTTGGCACCAAAGGCAGCACCGTGAGCGGTAGCAGTACCAGCGACGCTGCTGTGCAGGCCGATAACAGTCTTGACATTGATGAAAGTGGGCTTATCGGTAGATGCACGAGCCTGCTCAAGCGCACTGACAATACCCTCGATATCGAAACATCCGTCCGTAACATCAATGACGTTCCAACCGCAAGCGCGCATCTTCGCGTTCACATCCTCAGTGTTGGTGAGGTCGACGGAACCATCGCATGTGATCTGGTTGTTATCATAGATGACGGTGAGGTTGTTCAGGCGGAAGTGTCCAGCCAAAGAGATGGCTTCGAGACCAACACCCTCCTGCAAACAGGCATCACCGATCATACACCAGGTGTGGTTGTTCACCACGTCGAACCCGGGGCGGTTGTAGGTTGCCGCGAGGTTCTTGGTTGCCATAGCGAGTCCAACGGCGTTTGCGATACCTTGACCCAGGGGTCCAGTTGTGACTTCGATCCCCTCGTGTTCGATCTCTGGGTGTCCGGGGCATAGCGCATCTACGCGGTCTGAGTGATAGGACTGGAGCTGGTCGAAGGTCATGGCCTTGTAGCCGGTAAGGTGGAGGAAGGAGTACTGGAAGAGGCAAGTGTGGCCTATACTTGAGTGAGATTCTTCCACCCGGGTCCGCATTTTTCAAGCTTACCGTTGGATAAGACGAAGCGATCGCGATTAAAAAAGCCTGGAGTGTGGGGTGCGTAACGCATCACATACTTCCACAGCGAAACACCGATCGCGGCCATACCAATGGCACCACTAGAGTCGCATTAGTTTTGCAAAAGATTATGGTCAATTCCGAGAGTCGTACCCGGGATGTCCGCCATTAAACTGCTGGCAAAGGTCGGCAATCAGCAACCGGAATGTCTTGAGCACCAAGTCATGATCCTTGGATAGCTTCTGCACCAAAGGCAAGGCCGACTTGTGGCTGATGCCGTTCTGAATTTCGACAGTCATGATGTATAGAGCGAATGTACAATGCGAAATTTCGAAATCCAAAGCTGCAGGGGAGCTCCTTCAAATAATGCACGCGGTGATGCTTAATATTTCCTAATCAGGTTATAGCCAGCCCCGCCCAACAGGGCATCTTTCGCCCCTCAAGACATCGGAGTTGTCTTTGAGATTTTTCGGAATGAAGCATACCAGATGTGAATGCGTCATTTTGATTATCGAGACCCTAGCAGGCGCGACCTGGTGTTTAGACGCTATTTTCAATATTATGAGAGTCCGGCGACTTAGGGTTTGGTGATACCGAAGTATACCTATAGATGTACCTGCCTTCAATATAAGTGAAATGTCCGGAGTAAGAGCTGCATACTTCCCCTACCCCCAAGATCCCTCTACTATGTCGCACTATGTAAATACTTCACTAAATTCCCGATCCCCCGCGACCCCCGACTGTCGCCAACTCCACAAAACCGGGGGCCCCACAAAACAGAACGGGTATATCGAGCCACAACCTACTGAATCAAGTGGTCATTAACACTTAAGAACAGCTCTTCCTCTTTCTGTAACTTTTGTCAAAAAAAAATGGCTCCCTCGGTACTCGTCGATCAGAACAACTTGGTGGCAGCACCAACAAAGTCACAAGTGAGCGATCGCGTCGCCATCAAGGCCTCGCACCCAAATCCCTCACTGCAAGTAACAGCCGATCACAAGCTGAAATCAGTCGAAGCACCCATCTACGCCCCAAGGGCAGGTGAGGCCCTAGTTCACATCAAAGCGACCGGAATTTGCGGTTCAGATATTCATTTCTGGAAGACTGGGCGTATTGGCTCGTTAGTGTTCGAAGGCGACTGCATTATTGGCCATGAAGCATCGGGTATTGTACTGCAATGCGGCGAGGGCGTTACCCACTTAAAGCCTGGTATGTATATCGAAAGGCAATATTACGCATGGAAACGCTCGACATTTGGCGCTAATATACTTGGAATAGGCGACAGAGTGGCTGTCGAACCTGGCGTTCCATGTGAACACTGCTTCCTCTGCGACGACGGACGGTACAACCTGTGCGAAGACGTCCAGTTTGCCGGCGTCTACCCATACGAAGGCACGATGCAGCGGTATAAGAACCACCCAGCGAAATGGCTGCATAAGCTACCCGACAACGTGACTTTCGCCGAAGGTGCTCTCCTCGAGCCCCTGTCTGTTGTCATGAACGGAATCACATCGGCCGGTCTGTCACTTGGTCGGGGTGTGGTGGTCTGCGGAGCTGGTCCTATCGGGTTAATTGCGGTGGCTGCTGCGCGCGCCTCGGGAGCTCATCCTATTGTTGTCACGGACCTCGAACCTGCTCGGTTGGCTTTTGCCAAGGAGTTTGTTCCTTCTTGTATTACCTATCAGGTTGATCGCACGAAGGATGCGCAGGGAAATGCGCAGGCTATTCGCGCGCTCTTTGGATCTCGGGAGTATGTTGCGCCGGAGACTGTGCTTGAGTGTACGGGCGTCGAGAGCAGTGTGTGTACTGCTGCGTATACCGCACGCCGAGGAGGTACTGTTATGGTTATTGGCGTGGGCAAGGCTATTATGAATAACCTGCCCTTTATGCATTTGTCCCTTGCCGAGGTGAGTTCTTAATTCCCGGGTGAATTTTGCTCTTGTTGACTTTGGTAGATTGAGCTTCGCTTCATTAACCGCTACCGTGATACATGGCCTCCGGCCATTGCCTGTCTGAGTGGTGGTATTTTGGACTTGAAGAAGCTTGTCTCCCATGTCTTCCCGCTTGAAAAGGCGCAGGATGCTTTGCATCTTTGCGCTGATACTAGAAATGGTAGTATCAAGGTTTTGATTGTGGACGAGGAGGAGGCCTCGCTATAGATATGCGCATTATAACACATTTGAATGATAGAAATGCAAGATTGACGAACATATGCTCATCCATACTCGTATGTAATCGATAGGAAATACGTTGCTTCCGACAGGTGGGTTTGCGTTACGGTGGTGCCATAGTGAGATGGCCAGTAGTGGTAACTGGAGACGATGACTTTTTGCAAAGTAATGAAATGTTTCATTAATGTGGTAGTAAGCGATGTCCCGGACTGATATGAGAAGTCACGTTGGAGATTTAGCAATAGAAAAAGGTTCAATGATAATACAAGCCAGTTCAAACCAGGTGAGAACTATAGAAA